AGGCGAAGATAGGCGTGCGGTTGGGGGACGTGAAGAGTTCCGGTTTGGAGCATGTGGAGCTGCCCTTGGAGCTGAGCAGCGGCAGCACCACCACAAGGCAATCTTCCCTTGTGAATGGGGGAGAGGAGGCCAAGGATGCAGAGGAAGAAGAGGAGGAGGTTCAGCAAGTGAGCGAGCGTGCACCGACACTTCCTTCTCGCACTACGAGTGCTCCACGGATCCGAGTCACCCCGCAGCAACGCCAAGGCCTTCATGTCCCTGCAGCTGAGGAAGAAGGAAGGGGCAAAAGGAGAATCCAAGCCCCAAATAGGCTGACCTATGAGGCACTGGGAAAGCCAGCCAAGTCAGCATTGGCCGGAGCGGCACTTATAGTTGGAGAAGACGAGGAGAGTGACTACGAGGAGTGTGCCTTCGCATTCTTCTCTCCGGTGGAGATGCCGGGGGAACCAGCAACTCTCAAGGAGGCCTTGGAGAGTAGTGATGCTGAGGAGTGGAAGAAGGCAATGGAGAGTGAGCTGAAGAGCATTGAGGAGAACGGCACATGGGAATTGGTGGAGCTACCGGAGGGGCGTAAGGCGATTACGTCCAAGTGGCTCTTCAAGATCAAGTTCGACGCCGACGGCAAGATCGAGCGCTACAAGTCTAGGCTTGTGGCGAAGGGGTACCAGCAGAAGGAGAAGGTGGACTATAAGGAGTTGTTTGCTCCTGTGGTGAAGCCGACGACGCTGCGAACCCTACTCGCGGGAGCTGCCATCAAAGGATGGGTGGTGAAACAAATGGATGTCACAACGGCATTCCTCAATGGCGTCCTTGAGGAAGAGATTTTCATGGCGCAGCCAGAGGGGTTTGATGATGGTAGTGGCAGAGTTTTGAGGCTGAAGAAGGCCCTTTATGGACTGAAGCAGGCCCCTAGGCAGTGGTACTTGAAGCTGCGAGGAGTTTTGGAGGAGATCGGCTTCACTCCCTCAACGGCCGATCACTCATTGTTCATGCTTGGCGAGGGGGAGCAGAGGAGCTTCATGGTGGTGTACGTGGATGACATCCTCATCTTTTCACCCTCATCTGACCTTGTGAAGGAGGTGATGCTGAAGCTTCAGGACAAGTTTAAGTGTAAGGCCCTTGGTGACGTCAACTTCTACCTTGGGCTTCACATTGAACGTGATGTGGAGAAGCGGTGCATGCGGGTGCATCAACGGAAGTACCTGGAGGCATTGGCTGCCAACTTTGGGCAGAGTGAAGGCCATGTGGCTACACCCTTTCCCTCTGGTTTCAAGTGTGTGAAGGGACCAGAGGAGGAGAGCGTTGGTGAAGAGGAGAGGCGCCGTTTTCACTCGTTGGTGGGCAGCCTCATATACGCGGCGGTAAACACCCGACCGGACGTCGCGTTTGCTACCGGACAGTTGGCTAGGGTTGTTCAATGCCCTAATGAGGAGCAGGTAGCAGCTGGAATGAGAGTGGCCAAGTATCTTGGCCAAACACCGACCGTTGGGCTGCAATATTCGGCGGCGGCGCAAAGGCGCCAAAAGGGCGCGGATGGTGTTGAACCCGGGCGTTTGTTCCTCACCGCATTCTCGGATGCTTCTTTTGCATCAGAACCAGAGGACATGACAAGTGTTGGAGGGTTCATTTGCTGTGTTGGTGGAGGCCCAACTGCTTGGGAGAGCAAGAAGCAGGTGGATCAAGCATTGAGCTCGGTGGAGTCCGAGTATATGGCACTCTTCCGTGCCGTACGGGAGATTGTGTGGCAGCGGCGTTTGTTGGCTGAATTGGGGGAGGAGCAGCAAGGACCTACCCCACTGTACTGTGACAGCCAGGGTGCCATTGCTCTTGCTAAGAACCCTGTGTTGCATGGCCTCACCAAGCACATGAGGGTGAAGTGGCATTGGACGAGGAGCATGGTGGCCGCGGGTGAAGTTGAGTTGCACTATGTGAAGACGACAAGGCAGCCAGCTGACATGATGACCAAGAGGCTGGTGGAGCAGCAGCATTGGAAGTGTTGCAAGCTGGCTGGGATGGCTCTGAACTGAGAGAGAGCAACATATCCTAAGGCCAACAATCGGAGGGGGAGTTTGTTGGTGCAACCCTACGGTTTGCATTCGGCTTGTTGTCCGTGTGCGTGCATGCGTGTGTGCATGGAATGGTATGAGGGCATGAAATAATATATATTTCATGTTTACAATAGTGTGTGTATGATGAAGCATGATTTTGAATGTGTGCGTCGAGTCAATAGCGAGTTATCGCTAGTCGCGTGTCACGTCGTCGTTTGCGTGTCGTGTGCGGTTTTCTATTTTGTCGTGTGTGGAACGTTCGGCGTGTCGCAGGTGTGCGCAGCAGACTTCCAAGAACTCAAGGAAGAATTTACCTTGAAGAACCAGAGCCTTGGTTTCAAGATTCAAGTTATTTCGAAGCTCTCCAAAACGGTAAACTTTAAGATAGTGAGAATAGTTGCATTACTTTGTGTAGTGTAACATTTCTCTTGGTGTAGGCCCTTGTGGAGGGTAGTTTCGAGACCCTTCGTGGTTGGGGACAGTGTGGCACTGTTCCACATCACTGTACCTCGGCTCTTGGGGTTTGTAGGAGCTGGGAGTCATTCCCAACTCGTAACTCTTCCTATCTTGTGTTCTAAGACTATAGTGGATGCCATAGTACCGTTCGTTCAAACCGACGCTGTGTCGTCAAATCTTTATCAAATCGTGCAATCTAAATTGCTAATTGTAGACGACGTGAAAACGCTCCAGATCCAATTTGAATCAAGTCATTTGCAGCTGTGAGCAGAACGCTATCAACGTTTGTAGCCGCTGTGCAGAAATCCGTCTGTGCTCTCTATCTTTCGTTTTAGGCACATTCAAGCCTATTGTGACTATAACAAGGTCGCGGTGCCATGGTTGGGTTGTCGAATGTGAGGGTGCAGAGGGGTGCAAAGGAGTGGTCAGAAACGTCAGTTGGGGTCCAGAGGTAGGAGGTTTCAGAGGCCCGAGGGATGAATGAACTGGAGAGGTAGAGTCGGTCCAGTCTGGAGGCGGGCGGGAGAGCAGTGCCAGCGCTGGCCCGTCGGCCAAAGTAGGAAAAAACGGGGGCGGTAGGGTGGAGTGAGCGGTACACGTCGGACAGTGCGTGCGATAGCAGGAGATTAGACACCATGGTGGCTTCGCTGAGTTCGTGACCAAGTAGCGGGCGGTTACGGTCTGAGGGGGAGATTACCGAGTTGAAGTCACCGGCAAGGATTGTGGCAGCAGCTGCGGTGGGTTGCTCCAGTGCGGGAGTTAGGATGGATCTCCACCAGATCCGGCGGTCAGTGGCAGGTCTCGGCGCATAGATAGCGAGGATGCGAAGTTGCTCCCGCAGGAAGTTGATATGTACGGATAGAAGGCGGCCATCGGCGGAGGGGGAAGGGGAGGTGAGAGATATTGCTCTGTTGAAGGATAAGATGGAGATGCCGCCGGGTTGCGGACATGGATGACCGTTTGAATTCAGTGCGTAGAGGGTGGGTGCGTGTACCGAAGAGTGTGGCCGGAGTTGGAGTGACAGTTTAGGTAGGTTTTTGGAGAGGCGTGTGTCCACTAAAATGAGAATATCTGTGTGCGGTGAGGAGGAGGAGAGCCAACGCTTTAGAGCATTTCGTTTAACCGGCGTATTGATACCATTGATGTTGAGGCAGCGGACTCGTAGGGGCGTTAACATTCTACCAGGTGGGAGCCCACCGCGCAGGAGTGTGCGCGGATCCACGGGCGTGGGTGTTTATACAAAAGGGAAGGAAGTTGGTGGAGGTTGTGGGTAACACTCGAGCTGTCAACGAGTGCGAACCGAAGTTGGTGGTGGGTATGCTGGCATACTGGTTTGATTCGGACAACACCAGAGGCGCACAAGAAGGTAGGGAGATGTTGGGCGACAGAACCAGGGTGTAGAGGTGCCGCATACAAGTGAAGCTTGAGCAAGTGTGTGTTAAACTTAAGAGTGAGAAGTGAAGGGCTCCAGTTTTGAGTAGTAGCGAAGCTGATAGGTGGCGTGTGATCAATAATGCTTGAATGCGGCAAGGTGAAGCGTGGGATGAGTCTGCCTTTATGAGAGCAGTAAAAGTTGTATTCCTGGGTAGTGACGAGAAGGAGAGTACACCGGGGGTCGGGAGTGCTAGCGTATTCACAGGTGGAGCATGTCAACCATGACGACGTATGAGAACAAGTAGCGAAGTAACGCGGGGCATGCGGACGAGGGTCAGCAGGAACAAACGTGGTGGCAGGCGGACGAGGGGGGCTCTCTGGCGGGACCATCTCGCCTCTTCTGTGTCCGTGCGAGGGTTGATTTCGGTCGGTAGGTGCGTCGACCGAGTGAGAACCTCTGGCGGGAGGGGAGGCCACGATTACAGGGGGAGATTTTAAGGCGGGTGTGAGGAGGTGTTGCGGCCGCTGACGGCGGTCGGGGCGTACAAATGGGGGCGTGTGTGATAAACAGGCGTGGATGCTCGCTCTGGTGATTCATGGTGAGAGTGAGCTTGACATGGCTGCGCGTTAGGCGAGTGTCAAGCGGGGTTGGGGTATTGGTGTTAGTATTTTGGGGGGTTAGCCGACTGCGAAGGTCGTTCATTGTTGGGGCTTGGTTTGGACTGTTCACGGTAAGGCAACAATTGTGAGGGTGTGTGATCATGGTGGTTGGCTTGAAGCACACGCGTGCGGGGGGACGCAACTCCACCGGGCTGGCCAGGGCCTGAGGTGGCTGGCTTGGCCTGTGCGCGAGGGGTGAAGATTGGTAGAAGCGTGAGGTGGGTGAGGCAGGTGTGGGGTTGAGTAGTTGTTGGGGTGAGGGTTTAAAAATGGCGTATTTGGTTTTTTGCGTAGATGTGAGAGTTGGAGTGAAGACTAGCAAGGAAAATGATAATACGTAGAGTTTGACAAACATGATTGTGCGCACATGAGTTGCATATCCAAGGTCTAACTGGGTGCCTGCTAAATGACAGAGCCAAGGAACTAGCCACGCATCAAAGCCAAGGTGCGCAGGTCGTAACGCTAAGGGCGACCGCGAAGGAAGGCAGCCACCGGGGCCTTCTGCTGCAGCAGGGTGAGTGCGCGCCAGGGGCCAAATTCTTCCTTGGCAGCCGGGCGGTGAGCGGAGGCCTTCACGCGGTTGACGTGCAGGTCGGACTGGATATGCTCCATGGCGCTGTCGAGGGCAGCGCCGCAGGTGAAGTCGCAGAGAGCGCAGGTCCAATATTCGACCCAATCGCCCAGCCCAATGTAGAGGAGGCCGGGGTCGTTGCCGAAGGCGGTCGGCGCGGCATGATTGCCCAAAGAGTTGCCTGCAAGAGAGGAGGCGGGTGGGGGGAGACAGGGGGGGCAGGGGGGACGAGGGGGTGGACGAGGGGAGGGGAGGGGGAGTCAGGGAGGAGGGGGATGTGGGGGTGAAGGCCAAGAGGGGGGAGACCATGAGGTCTGGTTGGCTGCGGGTGGAGGGAGGTGCAGAGAGGGGTGGGAGGTGCGGGGGAGGGGCAGGGGTGTTCGGGGGCCCAGGCGGGGGGGGGAGAAGGAGCCAGAGGGGGGTGGATCGGCCTGCTCGAGAGCAATGAGGGAGAGGCCGGGGGAAGAGGGCTGTTGGCAGAGGGGGGGAGCCTCGGTGGGGATCGGGCAGCCCGGTTATAGCACAGGGGGCGGTTGCAGATGGGTTCCTGAGTGGGTGGGGGGTGAAGAAAGTGAAGAGGGGGTTGAAAAGAGTGAGGGGGGGGAAGGCGAGATTGAGGGTAGGGGGGGGGGAGGAGGGGAATCGGGGGAGAGGAAGTGGGGGGGGGAAGTCGGGGGGTCGGGGGAGCAGAGAGGGGTGCTGGTTGAAAAGGGGGGGATAGGGCAGGGGGAGAGGAGCGTCTCCATGCCAGCATAAGGTTGGGCAGGGGGCCCGCCCTCTGGAGAGATCGTGGGAGGAGTGTCGGGAGGGGGCAGAGAGGGGGGTACCGTAGGAGGGTCCAGTCTGCTAGTGGGAGGGGGGTGCGGATGGGGGTGCGGGTGGGAGGGGGGTGCGGGTGCGGGGGGTGCGGGTGGGAGGGCGGGGTACTGTCCTCCGAGGGGGAAGGGGCGGGAGTGTAGTGGGTGGTGGGGTTGACGTGGGTAGGGGCAGGGGGTGGGGGATCATGGGTGAGAAAGAGATTTCGCGATGCGGAGATTGCATGGGGGGTGTGGGAAGATGGGGGAGTCGTGAGGGTGGGCGGAGGCCCGACTGTAGGGGGGGGAGAGGAGGGTACATCACAAAAAACCTTGGTTTTTGAAGGGGGTTCGAAGGGGGGTACAGTTCAGGTGTTTTGGTTGGCGAAGTTCCGAAGCCAAATCGCGACCAATCACGGAATGAAATCGGACCGCGTTTGTTTGTCGAAGTCTAGATCGAATCCGCGACCCGGTACATTGCCGTTTATTTGAAGCGTGCCAAATTTGTTGTGATTTTGTAATTGGTTTTTTAAGCTTTGACTTCCCTAAAATGTGTCTGCTTGAAAATATGCTGGCCATTTTATTACAAGATAAATGCATCACATTTGATACTTATTAAGGAGATAGGTACTGTCCAGGTGGAATGCCTTCACCACATGGACGTGGCGGAGCAGCGCTTCAATCGGAATCACGGAGTACGCGTACATTCCTGTCGTCCACTTGAGGCGAAGACATCCTGTTGCTGTATCCTCTCCGCTTGCATTCCAATATCTAACGTAAGCCAGCTCCTCCCTCTCTCCACGTATTTTTGTATGGAACAACAGAAGCAACATTGCATACCACTCCTCTCTCCGACCATACCTTACACCCTCCACTGCAACATCCGAGTACCATGGCCTCTCAAAATAGTCAGGGGTTGCTCGAACGAAGTGAGAAACTCTTGAGAAGCTGGCGTCGTCTGCTGCAGGGATTGCCAGCGATGCATGGGCCTGCATAACAGTTGATGTTAGTCATGATGATACGAGCCAGCCAAATGATGGTTGATTGCATAAACTTGCAACTACTTACTCGAATCTTGGTGACGCATCCTGCATAACGCATAAGCGCATCCTTGAGGGCAGCTTGGGCACGAGGGTGTTGCTTGGCCCACTTCCTTGCAAACCAGTTGGTGGAGGTGGGTTCTTGTGGTAACTCCACAGGGAGGAAGTATGACTCCTTGATGAGCGTCCGTGTGTCGGTCTCAATCGCCTGCCAACATATGCTATTGATATTATTACATTCTGCATTCATATCCATGCAATTCAAGCACTAAACAGATTTACCTGCCGCATGGCGGTGTCCCGGCCAGCAGGATCATCCACCGGCACCACATCCGGAATGCGCCTAGCATGGAACTTCATGATCTGCCCATCTACATTGCGCTTGTTGGACCGACGGTAGATCCTCTTTACCAACGGTCCGTGCAAGTGCTCGAACATGTTGGTGCTGAATTCAGTCACATGGCCCGCGCGACGTATGGAGTCAACGTAGTGCGACATGAGATGTGTTTTCACAAGGCACCAAGAGGATGGCTGCTTTGGAAACGCAGCCTGCAACTGCTCAACGAGCCTGATGGGAGTGGGAGATGACAACACATGCAATCACAGAGTCTACTTATTCATTTGGTTTTCCTATTCCTGATCCTTTCCTATCAAAGTTTAGCACCAAACATCCTCACAAGATTGCCTACTACAAGAGCACATTTACAGTAGCCAAGCATTCATCCCATGCACGGGGGTTTACATGCGTGGTATTATTACCGAGAGGTCATCTTCTTCAGCTCCCGGAGGGACCGCTCAGTGTGCCCCTGAGGCTGGGAGCACAGGATGTACCAGCCAAGATAGGCACGAACGGCATCCATCTGGGGCTGGCGAAGCAGGCCTGCAAAAACAAACACCATGACCTGCAAAGAATGTGGATAGCAGCAAAGGGGAGGGTGAGCACAGATGGTGTGAGGAGTTGGGACAAACAATGGCAGCATGAGCAGACTGCTTGAGGGTTTAGGCCAGGACAAGCAACAGGGAATGGAGGGTTCATACCTGCATGACGGCCCTGTGCTCATAGGCCGCCACACATGCTCCGGTCTCGAAGTAGGCGCTCTCCGGCAGGCGCATGTGATTCAGGCGCGTGCGGTCGCGAATGAGAGACAGGCGCCTGCCCATACACATCAGTTCAGCGGTGGCAAAAGGGCAGAAACATGTCAGTAATAGGACAGAACTTATGGTTTGAGTAAATGTGACGAAGAGCAACGAATCCAATCCCCAAAACACTGACCTGTCCATCTGCTTCACACGCCGCTTCTTCATCTTGCGCACGACAGCCACAATGTGGCTCATGATGCCCAGGTCCGCCTGGTGCATGATGTCAGGCATCACCACGAGGTAGGGATTGCCCCACGCGGTCCCTGGGACATCCCACTTCCAGAGCACGCACTGGAAATGGGGATGTGGTGGGGAATGGAGGAGAGATGTACGTGAGAGTGGATAGCTAACCTAAACCACAAGTGGGGTGAGTTCAATGGGGCAGAGCACATCTGGCAATTCATGACGGGGCGGGCGAGAGCATAGACTACTCATGGGCCGGGGAAACAGGTCACTCACCTCAACAGGGTAGGTAGAGTAGGCCTTGCACGGATCAGCCTGGCTAGTTGTCGTCCCAGCCGCCTCGTTAACGATCCATTGCTGCTGTTCAGGCGTGCGCGGCGTGTTCCGTGCCTTGACAGCACTCAGATGCTCCTGTTGTAGCACGGGGGTGAGGGATGGGATAGAAAAGGTAAGGGTGGTAGCTATGTGGGTTCTATCAGGCGACCCACAAACGAGAATGTATTTGAATGCGTGCAGATGGCATGTGACCTCACCTTTGCAGCATAGCAGATGCTGCACGGCATCCGCGATCCATGCGAGAGTGTGCAACTGATCTTGCCGCTCTCGGGGTAGTCGCACACCCAGGCGTACAGCAGGGGCCGCACGGTTTGCCAATCACCGAAAGGGTCCCTGAGACGGAACCCGCTGCAAGGAACAGGTAGAGGGGCAACAGGAATTCGGGTTACGGCTTTTAGGGAGGAACGACGAGGGGCAAAGGGCCATGCTACATAAAGAGAGGGTTTGCATACCATGCAGGTGGTGAGATGATGTCTTAGCAAGATGCAAACCGAGTACGGACCTGGCAATGCCATCAAGAAGCGGCTGCAGCACGGTGATGACGCAACGCTGGAAGAGCATCACCTTCTCCACGGCAGACATTGCAGACGGGGGGATAGGAAGGAGGGCAAGTAGTGTGTGCCCGGCTTTCCCCCATCGCTTGGCCTGGGAGATGTTGGCCAGCGTCATCATGAGCGGCCACGCCTTCTTCCGGCCGTTGATGCTCATGTGCGTCACATCCGAATATAAGATGATCCCCCCCACAACTTCGGACCAACCGAAGTGTTCCTGCAGTGCACGACAAAGCGGCAACGGACACACGGTTTAGGGCTCAAGATGCTCTTGACAGATCAGTGCAGCGATGGAGGCATGAGGAAGGATTGGGTTTGGGGTGGCAACGTGGTCTTTCCTTACCTGAGCATCGTTCCACCACGTTCCTGTTTCAGGCGTGGTATAGCGACGGCTGCCTGCGTCAGGGTCCTCATCAGCACGCGCCTTGAGCTTGAAGCCGGGCGCGTTGTTGGGATGTCCAAACATTTCAGCGAATGCCTGGTGTACGGTGGCGAAGGCAGGTGAGAGGAGAGGCATGGTTAGTGGAGATGAAGGTGGGTGTACGGTTAATACAAGGATAACTACGTACATGCAAACCCTGTGTGCCTCATCATCATTTCACGGCCTTGAATGCAAAGTCGGCTTACCTGGGCTGAGTTCTGAAAGAGCAAGCGCTGTGGTGGATGACCGTCAATCTCGAAGGTCGCCACCGACCATCCGCGATTGAGCCCTGCCAAACGCTCCATCTCGAACCGCTCCAGATCCTTACAGTTCCGGAGCTCCGAGATCACAAGAGGCGCAAGGCCGGGCTCTACGACTAGCTGAAGCAGGTCGTTGATGTCAACCTCGGCCATTCCCATTCCGCCATTCACGCGCCGAACGAAATGCAGCAGCTTCAACGCGAGCGGATTGAGGGGCGTGGCATTGCTCTGTCCGGAGATGATTGTTGGCGGCGCGGCATGACTCCCTTCGGGCCGGCTCTCAGGATGGTCACTCGTGTCAGCCGCAGGAGCTCCTGGTTGTGGTTGATGTTCATCTTCAGGAGGCCCCTCGTTCACGTCGTTGGGAGTTTCGTCAACGTGAGCTTCAGGCACGCGTGGAGGACCGCTCACACTGACGGCGTTGGATGCGTTAGACGCTGTAGGTGAACCGGGAGCGGCTGGAGCGTCCGACAGAATGTCGTGGACGAATAGCAGAGCGTGAAGACCGGCGGTCGGTGCAGATCGCGTCGGCCTTGCCACGGCGGATAGTCCTTGGCCCGCCGTGACTTATGACCGCCATAAACTTGGGCGTTGGGGAACCATCTGTTGCAGAACTCGCAGACGACGCCTGGTAAAGAGCCCATGTGTTACGGATCCGTTGTAGAGTCGAGAAATCGCCTATGAAGCTACTAGCCGTGATGAAGCTTGTGAACGCATTAAGTACTCCGTTCAAGAAGCCTGTGACAGCTACACGATCATCGCCAATGCGCGCACTGTGGTGGGCGGCTTGTATCACTGCACGACTGGCACTTGACATTGGCGCTAATGTTTATGACTGGCTAACGATGTCGAGCCGCGTGGTCGTTACCAGGCACGATACAGACCGCCCACCTCACGGGCCGTCTTCACTACAAGGCGTGTCGCCCCCGTTTAGAGTGACCACGACGTGAGCAGAGGAGAATGCGGAGGATCTTAAGTCTCACGGTCGTGTGTGTGCGTCGCGAGCACGGTGAGAAGGACGTGCCTATTGAATCAAGAACTTGTGTTTAGGAACCGTGCGTGAGAGTCGAGTGGGATGAGGAAGAGCGGGAAGAGATCCGTTTGGATCTGTGATTGTGTCGCGAATCGATATAGGGGGGAAATCAGAATCACGTAGGTGAGCTCAAGAGGCTTCAAACAAACATGGAAATGCAAATGTACAATTACAACTTAACAAGACACTCAAGTCATTCATAACTAGTAAACATTCATATCCTTAGGACTGATGTTGAACAACCCTTACTTGATAACGATACGGGAAGTACCCAATAACTCCATGCCCTAACGTATGATTGTTGCGTGGAGCGAATACCTATAGCGTGTCTTCTCTCGAGGTGTAGTGTACCTCTACGCACCGTGCTGAATGAATATGCAAGAATGGATGACAATGTCGTACAATAACACAACGGTTTCAATGTCCATGCAATGTTGGATGACAATGCAACACCATACCACAACGGATTCACCATGTCGCGCAACCCGCAGGCCTGAAAGCTGCATCGTCGCACAGTCTAACCATGGCTGTCGATAACGCATCTACGCTTGTGCGTTGGGCCTGTGCTTCATACCACTCCTTCTAAGCACCTTGTTTAATGTCTGTGCAAGAATGGATGACAATCCAACACCATACCACAACGGATTCACGTTTGTTACTATTGATAATCGTGTTAGAATGTCGTCCGCTAGCCCTAAACCATTGTGGCAAAGCCTAAAAGTGCACAGTACATCTGTCACAAGTAATAATTTTGGACGGTCGTTGTGTGTGTGACGTAAGAATCACCGATTAACTTACCCCAACCCCGTGGTAAACCATTTGCAACTTAGAGTTTGATGAAATGCATTGTTGTATGTTTGAATAAAATTTAGTGATTTATGCGTTGGCAACCGTGATTGGCCGACGCATCTCAAACGATTCCCCCCGCAACACAGTCATCAGCCAAGAGGTACTTCAGCCATTGAGCGGCTGAGATCGAGCGGTAGGTGGGTTTATGCTAGGGTGGCTACACGTACACCGTCCAATATAGCCTGATAGGGTTACATTACTCTCTCTAGTCTCGCAACCCACCCACCTGCTTCCGTCACTCCCTGGACCAACACTTTGACGCTGCTCGTTGCCTTGACACACGCCTCTCCAGATCGGCCTTAGCGTGAAGCATAGTGGCTACTATGACAGATTTAGTTGAAGCGGCGGTTTTCGGAAACACATAACAGTGATAGACCGTCGATAATCCCATCGTGGGATTCAGTTGCAGAACCCTTTCGAAATCGGCTCAACCCTTCCACGCGATTTGCAACTTTGCTCCTCCTACAATTACCATGACACGTGCAACACGTAACCAAGCAATGGAGGAGGAACAGGCCGGCCGCCGCGCGACAAGGAGGACGTCTAAACAGATCGATAGGGAGTGTGGTGGCGGCGCTAAAAAAACTAATGCGTCCGTCGCTCGTGGCATTGGGCAGAAAAAAGCGGCGGCAAAAAAGGTCGCGCGCGGTCAACAGGAGGCCGGCAAGAAAGCGGAAGACAAGGGGCCTAAACCAACGCCACGCAAGCGTGTTTCTACAGTGAACAAAGATGCGGATGTTGCCTCTGCTGGAACCGAGCCCGGTCCGAGTAAAGACGGCACCACTGGCGGCAACGAAGATCCGGGGCGAGGGAGCGCGAGTCTTGCACTCCCGTCGGCGGAGATGGAGGGATCGGCGACGGAGGGAAATCACGGAGGCGATCCCCGCGCCGAGCATGCCGCAACCAAGGAGTCCGAGGCGGCGGCAACGCAACACCATCTGACGCTGCTCCAGCCGACCGTGGTCGAAGTTTCTGCAGCCGTGCTGGATAAGGACAAGGTGGGGGAGCACGAGTCGGTGGGGCTGGTCGGTGGCTCTCCACCTTCTGGTGGACGAGGGAGGCGTAGGCAGAGGAAGAGCGATGGGGAGGACGATTATGACACCGCCGTGCCCGGGGACCTCATTACGCGGGCGAAGAGGCGGCAGACGAGCCGACCTGCAGCAAGAAAAGCATCCGGCGGAAGGAGAGGCAAGAAAGCAGCGACGGGAACAAAGCCGAAACGGGGCGATGAAGACCCCGGTGATGCGGAGGAGGAGGAGGATGAGGAGGAGGATGCGGAGGGAGAGGAGGATGAAGAGGAAGCGGAGGAGGATGACGCGGATGTTGGGGAGGATGAAAAAGATGAGAATGATGGCGGGGAGGACGAAGAGGAGGAGGAGGAGGAGGAGGAGGAGGAGGAGGAGGAGGAGGAGTAGGAGGAGGAGGAGGAGGAGGAGGATGAGGAGGAGGAGGAGGAGGAGGAGGAGGAGGAGGAGGAGGAGGAGGAGGAGGAGGCAGAGGAGGAGGAGGAGGAGGAGGAGGAGGAGGAGGAGGAGGAGGAGGAGGAGGAGGAGGAGGAGGAGGCAGAGGAGGAGGAGGAGGAGGAGGAGGAGGAGGAGGAGGAGGAGGAGGAGGAGGAGGAGGAGGGTGACGACGAGGAGGAGGATGTGGAGGAGGAGGAGGAGGAGGAGGAGGAGGAGGAGGAGGAGGCAGCGGAGGAGGAGGAGGAGGAGGAGGAGGAGGAGGAGGAGGAGGAGGAGGAGGAGGAGGAGGATGTGGCGCCAGTGAAGGGACGGGGCGGGCGTGGCAGACGGGTGAGTGGTACAGGGAAGGAGGGGGGCCGGACTCGCCCTTACCGAAAACGCGGGGCAGTTGACGCTGCGCGCGGCGAAGCATCGGGCAAACCGAAGGCGCGTAAGGTGAAGGTCGAAAGTGAAGGGGTTGGTAAAAAGCAAGGGAGCCAGGGAGCAAAAGGGGATGGAGGAGGAAAGGGTGGCCGCGCCAAAGGGGTTCCAGTGGGTACCAGCAAGAAAGAACCTGCCGGTAAACGTCGCAGCGTCCGCCAAAGCACCCCGCGGAAAGGTGGCAACGAGAAGGCGCAGGCTGCCCCAAAACCGAAGGGACAGCAGAAAGGTGAGCATTGTGTCCAATAAAACTGGCGTGACGTGTTGAACCATCTGCTAAACCGTGCCAAAAAACACCCTTTTTTCACATTGTTTCTCCCATGCAGGGAAGGAGAAGGTCGACGAATCTGCCAAGCAAGGTAAACCCTCTTGTCTCAAACCAGTACAACCCTGAACCCGATCTAGATTCAAACCTTTCTGAATATGCATGCATGTCTGGCCCCGCCTTGAAACCGATCGACTCTAAATTTTTTTTCCGGCTCCCTCTACATCTCAGCCCCTCGCGTTACAGGCATTGGGCCGCCCGTAAGCGTGCAACGAATGCATCTAACGAAGGCTGCCGGAAGAGCGAGTGTTACACCGCTCTCCTCCGGAGCACCAAGGTACTACACGCCATGGGCCGGCCCGAGCAAAGTCGCTGCGACGGCACCAGGCGCGCCAAGAGGAGAGGAATCCGAATCCCCTCCACCCGCCCCCGTCACGCAGTCCCCACTCGCCTCACCCTCGTACCAATTTCGGCAACTCCACGCTTCTCCTGTCCGGGGCAGGGCGGTCTCCCCTCTCGCCGATCCTTCGTGCGGGCATCAGGCAGGCAGTTATGCCAATCCCTTCCCTGAGCTCCCCTTTTCCCGCCAGCGTGATAGTGTGAGGGCACACGGGACTGCTGCAGAAGACGTTGATCCCCTTGGCCAGAGGGGGGATTCTTCAAACCCTTTTCCTCCGCTCATGGGTGCCCTAGGTGAAAGTGCGGAGCACGAGCAGTTTGTTACACGGGAGGAGTTCCAGGCGCTGCGGTCTGAGATGTACGCCATGTTTGCACAGCTCGGCCTGCGTCGTGGAGTACCTGCCAGCTATGCCGGCGGGTCGGCAGCCCTGCCTATGGCTGGTACCCCGCCGCCGATGAGCGCCGTGGACAAGGCACGAGTGCTAGTGTTGCAGGAGACAAACCCATTCCCGGTATGTGGCGGGCCACATGGGGAGGGTTGGGGTTGACGTGGCAACAAGGGCGGGGTTGGGGCTGACGTGGCGGTTTCGAAGGGAACACGGGAGCGGCGCGTGACGAGGCGACGCGTATCAGGTGGGTGGGGGGTGACGTGGCATGGGGTGGGAGGGTGTGACGTGGCACGTGGGGCTGGTTGTTGGTGGACGTGGCGGATGCAGGAGGGTGTGACGTGGCACGTGGGGCTGGTTGGTGGACGTGGCGGACAAGGAGGGTGTGACGTGGCACGTGGGGCTGGTTGGTGGACGTGGCGGATGCAGGAGGGTGTGACGTGGCGGAAGGTGAGGGTGGGGGATGACGTGACAGATGCAGGTGGGTGTGACGTGGCGGAAGGTGAGGGTTGGGGATGACGTGGCACCCTAAAAGGGTACACGTGAGCGGCGCATGACGAAGCGAGGCGTCTCAGGTGGGTGGGGGGTGACGTGGCTCTTGGTGGGGGGTGTGACGTGGCAAGTAGGGCGGGTTGTTGGCGGATGCAAAAGGGTGTGACGTGGCAGAATGTGAGGGTTGGGGCTGACGTGGCGGTTTGGAATGGTACACGGGAGCGGCGCGTGACGAGGCGACGCGTGTCAGGTGGGTGGGGGGTGACGTGGCATGGGGTGGGAGGGTGTGACGTGGCACGTGGGCCTGGTTGTTGGTGGACGTGGCGGATGCAGGAGGGTGTGACGTGGCACGTGGGGCTGGTTGGTGGACGTGGCGGACAAGGAGGGTGTGACGTGGCGGAAGGTGAGGGTTGGGGATGACGTGGCGGATGCAGGTGGGTGTGACGTGGCGGAAGGTGAGGGTTGGGGATGACGTGGCGGTTAGAAATGGTACACGTGACCACTGCGCATGACGAAGCGAGGCGTGTCAGGTGGGTGGGGGGTGACGTGGCTTGTGGTAGGGGGGTGTGACGTGGCAAGTGGGCCGGGTTGTTGGTGGACGTGTCGGATGGCGCAGGGTGTGACGTGGCAAGTTCAAACAGTGTTGCTAGTCACCATCCCATGGTCACGCGGCCACCCTCATAACTGCTGGTTTCTCTCTTCCATGTCGTGTTGTATACCTTACACCCCTGCGCAGAACAAAGCCTACTTAGTGTGCTCTCAGCTCATGTTTCTGAACCCGCCGGAGAAAATACAGTACTACCCTGCACCGGAGGAAGTGTTCGGAGCGTTCTCTGTCCACTTGTCTGCAGAAGGGCTCGAGGCAATGAAGCTGCTGTGGTTGCACAATGACAAGTCAACCATGGGAGTCTTCAACCACCAGCTGTCCTCAACAAGGTCAACTATCAACTCCACCCTCAGGCGAGCAGCATACACCGGCATGGGCCTTGCCGATTACAGCCATCTCGTGGATAGCCTGCCCACTGAGCTACACCCAACGACTTGGTTCGACGACGATCAACTCCTAGCCGAGTACAGAGATGGCATGTGCAGTGCAACTCGAAAACACAATATGCCCTACCATATGCCCCTTGGCAGCTACATATCACCGTGCGATGTGGCTCACCCTGACTCTCATCCCCCCATTTGATTTCTCTACAAAACCCTTTCCAACCCATACCCTCCCTGCCAATAAGCAGAACAGTGGGCCCTCAACTGGCACTTTGACAAGGCCACCGGGACAACCTTCAGCAACCCCTTGTTCGCTTATGCGTTCAAGCTCTCCTTCAAGAGGGGCGGGGCGGTGTTCACCAAGTTCAAGAGCCGCATGGTGGCATGGGGCCTGTTTTCGGTAAGGATGTAGATATGTGTTTGTACCCCCATGCCTCATCCCCTTAACCCCTTGCCTGTACTTCAGCTAAAACCCTGGTCGATTAGGCCTTTGCAGTTACGTAGATAGTGACGACTGCAGCACCGCTTTCAGTTGCCTCATTTACCCGTAACCTACCCTCCTCATAAACCATCCACCCAACCCTACACCACATTGCAGATCGAATATCCCCTTCTGCAGGATAAGCGTCGCAAGCGAATCAGTAGCCAGCCGGAGCAGAACAGGCCAGACTACCAGGAGTGGTGCGAAAAGGTCAAACAGATGATCCATTTTGCTGTCGTAGAGCGGAGGATCCCCCACGATCCGGCTATGGGTGCGTTCGTCTTTCCGAACAAGTTCCTCATCGACGACGGCGACCTTGGAGATGTCGTCCTTGCCCACCGGGCGCTTTCAAGGCCCGCCAGTGCGTAGGCTATTTGACCTGGTGCTAAGACTGCTTGTTGCTAGAATGCTGAATAATGGTTCTTGTAAACCGCAATAATAAATGCAATTTTGAAATCCTCAATATCCAAAATGAACAAAAACAGAATTTAGTTTTAAATAATTTGGTCACGAATTTGCAACAAAACGGATTGCGCCCGAATGTCATCCGGAAAAGCTCGCGTGCCAAATTGGAACTTGAACCGAGCCAAACCTTGTCGCGAGATGTGTCTCGGAGCTCCTATCAAATGACTCCAACCGTCGGTCCAAATTGGCTCCGGATTTTTTTACGCGAAGACAATCGAAATCAAAATTCGTCCAAACTTGGCATAGGGTTTTTGTGATGTACAGAGGTGACAGGGGCTGAGCGTCCTTGGGCGGGGGCTTGCCTGCATGTGTTGGAAAGAGCAGGGAGGGGGGGGTGGCGTGGGGGGAAAAAGGGGTTGAGTGGGAGCCCCACAACATGGGGGGCCGGGGGGTGGGGGGCTGTAAGGGAGGGGTGGGTGACAGGGGGGAGGACAGGGTGAGGGGGGGCAGTTGGCACAGGGAGAGGAGTGAGAAGGGAGGGAACGAGGGGAGTGGGTAGGGGCAGAATGAAAGTGGGGGTGGCAGGGGCCCGGACGGCCGTGCGGGGGGGGGACAGCAAGGCAGTGGGGGGCGGGGGCTCTTAGGGAGGGAAGGACAGCGGGGGGGGAGCGCGGGTGTTGGATGGGAGCATGAAGGTTGCGCGATAGGGAGGGGGTAGACCGAGGGGGGAGTGGTGAGAGGATGGGGGGCAGCGGAGGAGCACATGAGGAGGCAACGGAGGCAGGCTAAGGGCGTGCAATGACAACAGGGAGGGAGGATTTTTGCGGTTAAGACAAGAGGGGAAGATTTCGTACCGTTTGACTGCTGCAGCTGAGCGATTGAGATGGTGTTCTTGTTCGTGAGGCGTCCTCGGCGGCGGGCAGCGAAATTCTCGTGGTCCGGTGCGCGGTGGTTGTTACCGCACAGCGTGCACACGTGGCAGGAGAAATTGAGCAGCATAGTTGGCTTGTTCTCCTCCAGCAGGAATTCGGACGGGATTCGTTCGAAATTCGGGTCATCGGGGGTGGCGACCGGGAGTCCTGCGAGGTGAGTGAAAAGGGTGTTCTCGTAGGGGTCGGAAGCGCGGTGAAAGTCAGTCAGATCCGCGAGCCAATGCGAACCATCCTCCTCGGTGGACCCGAGGAGGAAGGCGCGGATCTCCTCCGGATCGATCTCCAGGGGGACGTTTCGGATAGACAGGGTAGGAGCGCCGGCTGCCTTTGCCGCGGTAAAAGCTTCATACCGATCAACAAAGACCTTCAACATGACGGGGCGGGAGTTGGAGATTTTCAGCATGAGAGGAAAAAGCTTGCGAAAAACAGCCGCGTCTTCCTGCGACGGCCAAGAGAACAGCAGGCGGCCGTACACGTGGCGGGCCACGCGGAGGGAGTCGCCGACAGTGTGCTCGAAGGGGGGGATGATGCCCGAATCGAACATGAAGCCGCACAGCTGCGCGTTGATTCCGGCGAGGATTTCCGTGCGGTGCGACTCCAACACGGCCTCCGGGAGGAGGAGCGTGACTACCACGCGGCGGCGAAGGGGAAGGAGCATCGGGGTGGCTGCGGAGGTGCGCGCACGGCGGAGGTTGCGGGGGGGTCCGCCGGGTGCGGATGAGGCAAAGAGCGAGGCGGGCAGCGCGGGAGCCGGGTTAGCGCCGGAGGCGGCCGTTGCGTAGGCAGCAGCGCGGAGAACCGGGGCGTTGGGGGCGGCAGCTGTTGCTGCCAGAGAGGGCGCATGGCCTTGCTGAGTCAACGTGGGAGCAGCAGCGGCAGCGAGGAGCACAGGAGACGGCGCGGGCTGCGCCAGCGCCGAGTCGGAGGAGGTGGAGGGGGAGTTGAAGCTAGCAGGGCCAGCACCGGGGTCCATGCAGGGCTTCTTCGCAGCAGGGTGGTCAGGGGAGCTCGCGAGGTCATCGAGTAGTCCTTCGGGAAGGTCGTCGACCAAGAGATCGTCGCCGGATTCAGCGATATTTTCCTCTTCAGCGGCGGACATCGTGAGATCGGGGTTGAAAACCTGCTCAGCCATACAGAAGAATGTGTAAAGGAGTCGTAGGGGACTGGGAGGAGAGAAGTGAGTGATTGACGAAGGCTGAGGTGGGTTAAATAGGGCGGGAGCGAGGGAGCGCCCGCGGGGGAGCGTCAGGATGGAGGGGAGGCAGAGGAGCGGCGGAGGCGGACGGGCGTGAGGCCGTGGAGGCGAGGCTCTGATGGCGGCTCGTTGGGAAGGGTTGGGAGGAGGGCGGACGGGAAGGGGAGTGTCGGGAAACGCATGGGCAGCGCGTAGGCAACGGGAAACGTGGCGACGTGGCGAGTAAATTGAGGGCCAGAGGCGGGAGTGGGCGCCTAGTTGGCAGCCCGAAACCCGGGACCGTTCGAGGGTCCGAGCGCTCGCGCGCGAGAAACGAAACTGGCAGCCTAGGCGGCGCGCCAAGTTTCTGAGCCATGTAGTGGGCTCTGCCGGAGGCGGCAATTGAGTGGAAAGCGGGGCAAAGGCAGCAAAATTGCCAGAAGGGACGGGAGATCCGGGAGTGTTGGCGCTTGGGAAGGCACGGAAGTACAGAGGCAAGAGGAGATAGCACGTAGGCGAAAAAGGCGGGACGAAGGCAGGGGTGAAGGCGACCAGAAAAACGGGAGGAGATGGGGGGTTGGCTGTATTCGGCGATTGCAGTTTGTCGAGGAAGTCCTTGGAGTTCGATGCAGAACGGGACAGCTTGGCAGGAGGAGGCCGATCTGTTGGTGAGGGTTTGGAAACAACGCAACCGAGCTTCCTGGGAGGGGACGGGGCTGAGGCGAGGGAGTGGCGTGAGATTGGGTGAGTGCGCACAAAAAAAGGGAGGGAAGTTGGGGTTAGCTGGCGCTGAGGTTGGAGCAGAAATTTGCAGTGAGCGCGAGATGCCACGGGGGAAAAAAAGAAGGGGAGGGTTGCACTTACCTGGAACGAAGGTTGACGTGGCGCGTTGAGGCTGGGAGGGAGTCCGCCAGGGATCCGTTGGGGGAGGGAGTGGCCAATTGGAGTCAAAAAAAAGGAGGGGGCGGGGAGTGGGGGGCTATCCTGCTGGTGTAGAGACGGGGTGGGGAGTAGCCACGTGAAAACGAGAGCTGTAGAAAAGAAAAAGAAAAGGAAAAACGATAGCATAAACTTACCTGGAAACGAAGCTGAGTCGTATAGGGGGAACCTGCCTAGGCGGCTTAGGGTTTGACTAGCTTCGTAGCCTAACAGGCGGGTAGTTTGGGCCGAGGAGGCCATCGCGCTATCGATCGGGGAGGTTCACCAGAGAGGCAGCAAATCGAGTTGTTGCCACAACCTGCCACAACCTGCTGAGCGCGTAGGAATACTTGTATCCTTGCGTGAGTTGTTGCCACAACCTGCCTTGCCAATCGAGTGCGACCAATAGGAGCTGGCTGGCGAGTTGCAAATGCTCTCGTGCCACCATGCTGTCAAGCCTAGCCAATCGCGTGAGACCACAAGCATCTCGCTGTTTTGTTTTTTTTGCGCGAGTTCGTTTTTCTCGCCAAATGCAGAAATTCAGTCAGGTGCTTGCAACAAGGCGACGTGCAAATTTCAGTACAGTCATGGCGAGCTGGCACTCTCCTCACCTTTGCCGAGCCAATCGACGGCTTTGCTGACGTGTTCCATCACAAATCACCGAGCAAGTTTTCAGGGTGGCGTGATTTTGTGGCGATGCAGCAACGACAGTTTTTGACACCTCAGCTGCAATCTGGCAGTTTCTTGCGCTGGAGCAGTGAGAGCTAGGTTTGCCGTAACCCTCTCCCTCCCTCCATCCCACCCACCCCGTGCTTCCCTCTCCTTCCACCCCTGCTTACTCGACTTAGTTTCTCCTTTCTCACAAACTCAAACACAGTTTTCTAGGTCTCGTTCCAGTTAGTCTTTCACTCAGTTCCGCAGAGGTGTTTCAGTAGTTTTTCTTGACCACCATAGCTAACTAACTATTGCTATTTTCTTGCGTCACTTTGGTAACGATTCAAAAAAGCACCTGTTTCTTTTCCTGCGCTACCTCATCGTTTCTTTTCGATTCTGAAACTCGATCGTAATTTTTTTTTTCTCCGTTTCACAGCACTTCCTGACGATTTAAGGTAGGGTACTGGCCGACGACGTAATCACGTCCTCTGTCGCCCTATCCGTCACGCGTTTGTGACATTGGCGGAACTAACGCACTTGCTATGTTTGTTTGCAGAGCGACATTTGTCGGTGAGGTTCTTAGCGGTTCTGAGGGCGTGTTATCGACTTATGTCGCCTTGGTGTCGCTTTGTGCCAGAAGTATGGGCATGCTTTTGGAATTTCCCGCGGCGGCAGGACCAGGTACGTTACGCACCCTAATGTACAAGCTTGCTTTTTTTAATACTAACTACTAATCGCTGTTAGCTGCCTTTTGCTGAGTGTATCAGCATTCCAGGGGTTGTTTTGTATCTCATGGATGCATGACATGTAATGCTTTTTATTTTTCAATATGAGCAGTCACTATCCCCGGAAGTTTCTTGTGAAGCTGCTTTGTTATTAGTGAATACCATTTATTAAGCACTGCATGAGTGGTTTCAGCTCAAAATGAATTAGGAGGTTACCCTGAAAATGAAATTTTACAGTATCTGCTTTATAGAAATTGTTTAGAACCCATTAATTCGTATTCTGATTAGTTGGAAATGGATATATACAATTTTGCAGTTATAGTAGATGAAAGCACTATAGCTTGACGTTATTTGAGTGTACAGCTTATTTGTTGCAGTACACCTAATGCATATTATTGCATTTATTGCCTTCCGAAGCGCAATGTCGAAGCGCGATGAGTGGTCGATGCCAGTCCAAACTTCGCACAATAACCAATCGGAACACAGCCGGAAACGAAGTCCTGAACCGAGCCTGTGTAACACAGTGAAACCTCGAGAAAACCAGTCACGTTAGTGCCATGTGTTCAGTCGGATTTTGACCCTGGTTTTCAGTCAGATTTCAGCCGCGAGTCCTGAACTCGGACTGGAAACCAGCTGAAAACCAGACCGGAAGATTGTTGTTGGAAGGAAACGGTGGTGGGGCGGTGGTATGCCCCCAACCCACCGAGGGCACTTCGGTGCCTTCGATCCCTTTGACTAGGGATCGGTGGGGTGGCACCGATTGACTTCGGGAGACTCACCCTTCGGTGCCACGTGGCGGCACCACATTCCAACCTTCAAGTGCAAGGCGAATTCGGTGTGTTCGGTGTGAAATTCGGTGGTCGAATTTCACCCCAACCGAAATGTTACACGCGGCGCATTCGCGACGCGAGTGTAGCGATGTGATGTTACATGTGCGGTTCGATGTAATGCATTTGCTATAAATCGACCTGCTTTGTATGCATGCTTTATACTGAAATCCTGAACCTTCTTGTACATGGTCCATTCGAACAAAAATTCCAGAGAGGTCTATCCTTGCTTCTAAGAGCACTAGCAATCACGTGAACGCCACTATCTCGACGTATACTTGGGCGATTAACGTGTTTGATGGCTTGTTGGAAAGCCAAGACTGTGCTCTATCGTTTAGTGCAACTTAGAGTTCTTGCAAAGTAGAGGAGACGCCTCTACAACAATTGTGATGCAGGGAGAAGCTCTGCAACCAAAGATACGGAGGCTTGTTAGAATACATAGAAATACAAAACATAGACGGATCATGAAGTCGATTTTCCCACGGATGAACACAGTGCGTAACCATAAACAGATTTCTCTACCCCTGCATTTTCTGCACGCCAAAGCGTCGGTAGGTTACATTGTACCGCATACTTCGGCGAGAGATGCTTACCAGCGACAGCAGGAGCGGTATCGGGCGCGGAAACTGCGTTCGCCTCCGCAACAGGCGCCGAGGTTACGGCGAGCAGTAGTGCGGATAGCAGAACCAACCCGGAGAGGAACGCGAAAGTCCTCATATGCTGGCAAACGCCGAAAGCTGACACAACTGACGGGGCACAGGCGATGGCCGAATTCTCGATGACTAATGAAAAGCTGGTCGAATGTGTGACCTTAAAGCTTTCGTATACATTTGCAAGTACTGTTTGGACTTGCACTGTAGCCAGGGAAAAATTCGCCAGAACGAAACAACTGAGCGTGGCGAGAGGTTTGGCGAAAAATTGCAGCTTTGAGGAGTTCCAAACACAGGAAACTCCCCCGTCACCCAACCTTGGAGTCAGATTTCACTAGGAACCATGATATGTGACTAACATACGCTAAGCATAGATAGAGGAACCGGGGCGCGACAAAGAACATGCGGAGCATCGACACCGCTCAGATATTCTCATGTGAGATGAGTTTAGGTAACATTATAGGCTTGTGCGAGTGGGAAAATACATCTAGCTTGCACGCCAGCTCCTTTCCACTGCTGCGCCGTTCAGCGGCAATCGGAGAGGGAAAGGCTCTGCATTCGTCGAGCGCGTCGTGCTGCATTGATGGGCCCCGTCGAAGCCCTGTCAAGGGCGCCTCGACGGGTTGCATCACCACGCTGGGTAGGTGCGATCGAGTAAGCCGATTGAAAATTACGGAGCCGACGGCGGGATCGCATCGTTCCATGCGTTGGCCACGCCGCCACTCTCAACACCCGCTCGGTAGGCATTTCCCGCTTAGCGCCTCACCCACTGCGCGGGTCTCCCGCTTACCGCCTCCAATGCTGGGAGCTCTCCCGCTTAGCGCCTCACCCTCTGCGCGCCATGCCGCTTAGCGTATCACTCGCCGCGCGCCTTTCCCGCTTAGCGCCTGACCCGCTGCGCGCCTCTCCCGCTTAGCTCCGCAACCGCTGCGCGCCTCTCCCGCGCAACGAATCACTCGCTGCGCGCCTCTCTCATTTCGCGCCTCACCCCCTGTGCGCCTTTCCCGCGTGTCGCCTCACCCTCTCCCGCTTAGCGCCGCACCCGCTGCGCGCCTTTCCCGCTTAGCGCCCGCATAGCGCCTCTCCCGCTAAGCGCATCCTCTTCTAATTACCCCCCCTCCCCCCTTCTCCCCCTCACAACCCCCCCTACTCCCTCTCCACTTGCCTCCCTTCTCCCCCTCATTTCCCCCCCTTCTCCCCCTATTTTTCCCCCCTTCTCTCCCTCATTTTCCCCCCTTCTCTCCCTCATTTTCCCCCCTTCTCCCTCTCAGTTCTAACCCTTCTCCCCCTCATTCCCCCCATTCTTCCCCTCATTTCCCAGCCTTCTCCTCCTCATTCCCCCCATTCTTCCCCCTCATTCCCCCCCTTTTCTCCCTCAACCCCCCCCCCCTTCTCGCCCTCATTTCCCCCCCTTCTCCCTCTCACTTCCCCCACTGCTCCCCCTCATTTCCCCTCCTGCTCCTTCTCACTTCCCCCACTGCTCCCCCTCATTTCCCCTCCTGCTCCTTCTCACTTCCCCCACTGCTCCCCTTCATTTCCCCCCCTTCTCCCTCTCACTTCCCCCACTGCTCCCCCTCATTTCCCCTCCTGCTCCTTCTCACTTCCCCCACTGCTCCCCCTCATTTCCCCTCCTGCTCCTTCTCACTTCCCCCACTGCTCCCCTTCATTTCCCCTCCTTCTCCTTCTCACTTCCCCCACTGCTCCCCCTCATTTCCCCTCCTGCTCCTTCTCACTTCCCCCACTGCTCCCCTTCATTTCCCCTCCTGCTCCTTCTCACTTCCCCCACTGCTCCCCCTCATTTCCCCTCCTGCTCCTTCTCACTTCCCCCACTGCTCCCCCTCATTTCCCCTCCTGCTCCTTCTCACTTCCCCCACTGCTCCCCTTCATTTCCCCTCCTTCTCCTTCTCACTTCCCCCACTGCTCCCCCTCATTTCCCCTCCTGCTCCTTCTCACTTCCCCCACTGCTCCCCTTCATTTCCCCTCCTGCTCCTTCTCACTTCCCCCACTGCTCCCCTTCATTTCCCCTCCTGCTCCTTCTCACTTCCCCCACTGCTCCCCCTCATTTCCCCTCCTGCTCCTTCTCACTTCCCCCACTGCTCCCCCTCATTTCCCCTCCTGCTCCTTCTCACTTCCCCCACTGCTCCCCTTCATTTCCCCTCCTTCTCCTTCTCACTTCCCCCACTGCTCCCCCTCATTTCCCCTCCTGCTCCTTCTCACTTCCCCCACTGCTCCCCTTCATTTCCCCTCCTCCTCCCTCTCATTTCCCCCCTTACTCCTCTCATCTCCCCCCCTCCTCCCTCTCATTTCCCCCCTTGCTCCTCTCATCTCTCCCCCTCCTCCCTCTCATTTCCCCCCTTGCTCCTCTCATCTCTCCCCCTCCTCCCTCTCATTTCCCCCCTTGCTCCTCTCATCTCTCCCCCTCCTCCCTCTCATTTCCCCCCTTGCTCCTCTCATCTCTCCCCCTCTCCCTCTCATTTCCCCCCTTGCTCCTCTCATCTCTCCCCCTCCTCCCTCTCATTTCCCCCCTTGCCGCCTCTCATCTCTCCCCCTCCTCCCTCTCATTTCCCCCCTTGCTCCTCTCATCTCTCCCCCTCCTCCCTCTCATTTCCCCCCTTGCTCCTCTCATCTCTCCCCCTCCTCCCTCTCATTTCCCCCCTTGCTCCTCTCATCTCTCCCCCTCCTCCCTCTCATTTCCCCCCTTGCTCCTCTCATCTCTCCCCCTCCTCCCTCTCATTTCCCCCCTTGCTCCTCTCATCTCTCCCCCTCCTCCCTCTCATTTCCCCCCTTGCTCCTCTCATCTCTCCCCCTCCTCCCTCTCATTTCCCCCCTTGCTCCTCTCATCTCTCCCCCTCCTCCCTCTCATTTCCCCCTTTGCCGCCTCTCATCTCTCCCCCTCCTCCCTCTCATTTCCCCCCTTGCCGCCTCTCATCTCTCCCCCTCCTCCCTCTCATTTCCCCCCTTGCTCCTCTCATCTCTCCCCCTCCTCCCTCTCATTTCCCCCCTTGCTCCTCTCATCTCTCCCCCTCCTCCCTCTCATTTCCCCCTTTGCCGCCTCTCATCTCTCCCCCTCCTCCCTCTCATTTCCCCCCTTGCCGCCTCTCATCTCTCCCCCTCCTCCCTCTCATTTCCCCCCTTGCTCCTCTCATCTCTCCCCCTCCTCCCTCTCATTTCCCCCCTTGCCGCCTCTCACTTCCACCCTTGCTCACTCTCGCTTCCCCGCTTCCCTCTCATTTCCCTCCTTCACCCCTTCATTTCCCAACCTAAACCCTTATTTTCCCCACCTTGCTCCCCTTCATTTCCCTCCCAGCTCTGGCATAGCCCCACTGCCCTCCCGTCCTTTTCATCTTCCCTCCCTTACAGGGTGGATCCCTTGCAAAATACTGCCCCCCACTCGCTCCCTTCCATTCTCCCTTCCACGCTCTCCCATCGCCATGCCTTAATTTCTCATCCCCCCTCCTTCCAGGGTCATCTCACCTCCCATGAGATCCCACTCGCTCCTTCAGTCCCTGCCCATACTGCCGCCGCTGCTGCCTTTGCCGGAGCTGCCTCTGCTGCCACACCCAGTGTTCCTTCCTTTGGTGTTCCCCCCGGAGCAGGAGGTAGCTCAGGAAAGGAGGGGAAGGCATGGTGGAGGAGGAGGAGACATGAGGCGAGGAGCAGCCAGTGGGGAGGATTGTTCGCCCCACTCCTTTGACTATGGACTGCCGACGCCGGCTGTTGGCCCCAACCCGTGTGACTCTGCAACTGCCCCGGTTCTGACCATACTTCTGCTCCTGCGGATTGAGCTCCTACTGGACCTAGCATTTGTGGAGCAAATGTAGCAGCAGCTCCCACGAGGAGTTGGAGCTGGGATGATCTTGCAAGAACAGCGGCAGGTGCATGGGCAGCAACAGCAGAACCAAGAGCGAGTGAGCCCTGCTGCGGTCTCACAGCCGAGCGCGCTCATGAGTGCGCAAGCCGCAGGAGATGCAGCATGCCGGGTCTCTCACGCTGGGTGCACACTATCGAAGCAGCCATGTCAGCAGTGGACTGGGGAGCGAGCAGGGTGTGAGGCTCGATGAGGAAGCGAGGCGGAGGGAGAGGGAGAAGGAGGAGGTAGCGAGGCTGTTGCGGCAGATGGTGCGTGCAAGCGAGCTCGACTCATCTCAAGTTTTGTCCCATCGTTCACGCCTCTCAGGTACTGTGCGCGTCCCATCGCATGCCTTGGGACTTGCCTAGACAACCGTTTTCACGCCACTTGGATGACTAAGGGCACTCTCTCCAGGCTTTGGTTGAGCTCACCCTGATATGTGCCTTCTTTTTCCCCTTCCTCGTCCCTTTCTCAGCCCTGACCCCCCCCACTCCTCTCACCGGCAGGTCCACCAAGCAGCACACAATGCATCGCTCCCCTCTGCTGCACACCAACGCCAGGCATACAACAGCAGCCGCCAACTTGTGCGGCAGCTCCCTGCGTATTTATTACTATGCACTTGTGATTCAAGAAGCATGCATACACTCCCAACTCTAGTACATTTTTGGCACTTCAGGACCAAAATCAAGCTCGTAGCCTCACAACATGTTTTATAAAAAAAGTCCTTACAATTGTATCACTATATACATAACCTTTATCACCCAACCCTGGATTCTTCGATACCAATCACGTGACTAGTCATATGCCTGTGCACGAATGCAGGGAATGGAAGGGAATGGCAGGGAATGGAAGTGTATGGAAGGGAATGGAAGTGTATGGAAGGGAATGGAAGGGTATGGAAGGGTATGGCTGGGGTATGGAAGGGAATGGTAGGTATGGAAGGGTATGGAAGGGTATGGAAGGGAATGGAAGGGTATGGAAGGGAATGGAAGGGTATGGAAGGGAATGGAAGGTATGGAAGGGTATGGAAGGGAATGGAAGGGTATGACAGGGGATGGATGGGTATGGCTGGGGTATGGAAGGGAATGGTACACTTACGCTAGGGAAGGAAAGGTATGGCAGAGTATGGCAAGGTATGGCAGAATGAGGGACGGGCTTGGCTGGCGTATGGAAGGGTATGGGAGGAGATGGAAGGGTGTGGCGGTGTATGGCAGCGGATGGATGAGTATGGCATGCGATCATCCAAGGGTACGGTAGGGGTTAGAAGCATATGAGAGGGAGAAGGGGGGAAAATGAAAGGAGATGGGGGGAAATGAGCGGGGGGGAAACGAGATGGAGAAGGGGGGGGGAATGAGAAGGAGCACGTGGGGAAAGGAGAGGGAGATGGGGGGAAACGAGAGGGGGAAGGGGGGGGGAATGCGGGGAAATGAGAGGGAGGTTATGTGGCATTTAACTGAGTGGTTAAGGGGGGAATGAGAAGGAGCAGGGGGGAGAATGAGAGGGATAAGGGGGGGAAATGAGAGGAAGAAGGGGGGTACATGAGCGAGAGAAGGGGGGACATAACAGTGAGCAGGGGGGAGGATGAGAGGGAGAAAGGGGGGGAATGAGGGGCTTCATGGGGGGAATGAGAGGGAGTAGGGGGAGATATAAGAGGGGGAAGGGGAAGAAATGAGAGGGAGAATGGGGGGGAATGAGCGGGAGAAGGGGGTGACATGAGAGAGAGAAGGTGGGGACATGACAGGGAGCAGGGGGGGAGATGAGAGGGAGAAAGGGGGGGATGAGGGGCTTCATGGGGGGAATGAGAGGGAGAAGGGGGGAGGAATGAGGGAGAGCATGGGGGGGAAATGAGAGTGAGCAAGGGGGAAAATGAGAGTCTGCAAGGGGGGAAATGAGAGTGCGGCTGCCGCGGCTAGTGCGGAAACGTGGTAGCGAGGCTGTGCGATCGGGCGGCGACTGTGATGTGTGTTCGGCAGTTTGAGAAGGGAGGCGAGAAGGGATAATCGGGAGTGGGAAGGGGAAGCGGGGAGGCGGGAAGGGGAATTGGGGAGGCGGGAAGGGGAAATGGGGAGTGGGAAGGGGTAATGGGGAAGCGGGAAGGGGTCACGGGGAGGAGGGAAGGGGTAGTGGGGAGCGGGAAGGGGAATTGGGGAGGCGAGAAGGGGTAATGGGGAGCGGGAAGGGGAATTGGGGAGGCGGGAAGGGGTAATGGGGAGCGGGAAGGGGAATTGGGGAGGCGGGAAAGGGTAATGGGGAGCGGGAAGGGGAAACGAGGAGGCGGGAAGGGATAATGGGGAGCGAGAAGAGGAAATGGGGTGGCGGGAAGGGGAATTGCAGAGGCAGGAAGGGGTAATGGGGAGCGGGAAGGGGAAACGAGGAGGCGCGAAGGGGTAGTGGGGAGCGGGAAGAGGAAATGGGGTGTCGGGAAGGGGAATTGGGGAGGCGGGAAGGGGAAACGGGGAGGCGGGAAGAGGTAATGGGGAGCAATCGTTTCTGATTACCCTCGCGACACCTCAATTGCGGCTGCCGCCGCTACTGCGGAAACGTGGTAGCGAGGTCGCGCGATCGGGAAGCGACTGTGATCGTGCGTGTTCGGCAGTTTGAGACGCAGCGTGCGCGTTCATGGTGGCGTGAGGAGGCCGCGTGGTGAGGCAACGCGACGGACGACGAGGCGAGGCTGTGAGAAGGGGTCCGGCGGGCTCGCCGTGTTAGAGGGCGGAACTGACGTTGGCTCGGACGTGTAATTACACTAAACTGCCCCACGCGTCTAAGTTTGTGTCGGAAACGGGAGTGATTTGCGCTGGCTGTTGTCGCGATGTGCTTTGCTACGATTTATGCTGCCTGTTGAGCGTAGTGGCGTAGATCTCACATGGACTGGATTTCGTATACTTTTGTTATTCCAAAAGTTTTGAATCACCAGTGAGCCCTGGGTGACGGGGAGATCACCTCCCTTGTGAAGCGAGTGAAACTAGCTGTTTCTGGGTTACCAATATTTCAAATTTCAAAACTTTTGAACCTCCCTTTTTCAAATGTATACGAAAGCTTTAAAGGCAATCAGGGGCAGATTTTTATAGTTGTATGGTGGGATGGGGTGATTCTGGTGAAGGGGGGAGATTCGCGAAGGGGGAGGTTCGGTAGGGGCTAATTGTGGTGTTGGCAAGATTTGAGGCAAATTCGATGAAGCGATTGCGTGGCGACACATGCGCCAGCCTGGTGGCGGTTCGGATGATCTCTCACGTTCGGTAAAGAGACCTGGACTTGTGACCCATAACTTCTAGGCTCGTGTGTAGCTTCGGCCACAATAGGTGTATCTGCCCTGAAATTCTATCAGCTGCTCTCCTCCCCAACCTCCCACCAATCCTGGGCTTGAAAAAGCTCGGGATCAAAGCTGGCCGCTTTGTTCAAAAGACGGCGGCGCGCCACTGGCTGAAAGTGGCTTTGGCTTGGCAGATCCATGGATGGAATTGAAGTACAGTAAAAAGTCAATCGGGGGGGAGGCTTCTTTGTTGACGGCGGAAGGCTAGCGGCTCGGCTTGCAGGTGCGATATACTCATCTTCGATACTGCCTTCCTCATATTTAAAAGTAGAAAGGGAAGCAAAATGTTCCAATGATACTTACAACAAACTGTCTGATTACGTTATCCTCCTCGTTCAAACTCACAAAACAGTCACATTTTGATTCGACTGATAGTGTTGTGTACAACATGCAAGCCATCACACCAATGCAACAACTAGATTATGCCCAATCAAACAATTTTTTTATTACCACTCACCACATCACATCCAAATGCTCATCCAGTCATCACACAGCTACAACCAGCAATAGAAGGCCCTCCAAAGAAGTCATACATGTTCTATTCAACAATCATTCTTGCAGCGCTTGTACTTGTAGTCACACTCGTCATCGTGGTCGTCCCTGCACTGCTTCTTGACGTACTTGCACCAGTCGTTGCAGCTAGACGACGGCTTCTTGTCGCCGTATTTGCAAGTCTTGAATTTCTTGTACGCCTTCGCCTCGCACCTGTCAATCTTCCGCGTGCACTCGTAGCTGTCGTACGACGAGTCGCTATGGTCGCAGCACTTATGATCCCTCCTGCAATTCGACTGACTTTTCTTGAATTTTCCCAGGCACGACGAGTCGTCACGGCTCAGAACACGCCTGTTCCCCAAAGAAGGGACACGTTCTGCACGCGAAGACACGACGTTATTCGTGACTTGGCAGAAAAAGTGTGTTTGCGTTGCTTGCAAAGGAGCCTCGCTGAATAAGGACTTTATTTCCCCAGAGAAGAAGGTCTACGAACGGAGAGCAGGACAAGCCCGCAGAGGAGGGCGGAAGTCTTCATACTGCCTGCAGGCGAGAACTCTCAGACTGTTCTATGGTCACTGGTGATCAACTAGTAGTGGTATTTCCTGCTAATGAATAAGTTGGCCTGGAATTTATTTCGTACCGAAATGCTGCTGCTGGGGGCTGAAATCCGTGGGAGGAAATGCGGAAACGGGAACGCCCGCTTTTTCACGGCCAGCTTTGGTTAGCGGCTCGTTTGGACATTCTAGTTCCGTTTTCGGGGCAAGGTTCTGGCTTGGAAGCTCCGCTGCTTGGGCCGATTGGTCTGAAGAGCAGCTTCCCCGGCCTGGCCCCTACCAAGCGATGAGACAACCTGGAAGACTGGTTCGGAAGGTCTGTGGTGCCATAGGAACCAGGTTAGGGGTTGTGGTCAGACATTGTATGAACTGGAAGGGGGTCAAAAGGGGTTGTTGGGATTGAAGGGAACAAGAGCAAGATGACAACTTGAGGTGGAATTGTTGCACTCGACATGAGAGGGAACCTGACAAGACATGCAATCAGGGTGATATCATAATATTTCAAGCGTGGTAGAGGAGAAGGTTCGTGTTGATACACCCATGATTCCGCCTGTGAAGGGGAAATCTATCTACACCGAACATTTGGACACTCATCAACTCGTGCCCGCAAATGTTTTCCCTGCAAAAAGCTGTGAAACTGTATTTGGCGCCATAGCGCTTTGGAGGTCGAACCTCGAGGTCAGCTCAGACACGGTACTTGACCAGCATTGTGTGGTCAGGAGAATTTCGAAAGGACAGAAGTAACACAGAGGCCAGAACCAGACTCGACTTTCGCACCACTCCGTACACCCGATTATCTGTCAAGCTTACTTCAATGTAACAAGAAGGCAGTCCGAAATTAGCTTACACCGCCTACTCTCAATTATATTTTGAATCAAATGGTGCCCCATATTTTACTTCACTATCACATTGGTAGGTGGTGCTATGCGGCTCCAAAAGCTATCTGCTCAACGAAATTGTTCACATTCCTGAAACCTTTCTTATTCTATTTGTAAACCAGCAGACCTACAGCCCCCTACATCCAGTAGAAAATTGAGAACACATGTGACCTGGTATCTCGTACAACCAAAAGGTTTCGTCTCAGCTTTCGTCACAATAAATGTGTCTCAGGAATAATGTAAATCTCCCTCCTTACAATGCAATTTTTTTAGTCCAAACCCAACATCTAAAGTCCCACCCCACAAGAAAATCTCCCCTTTCCCAACCCTTGCAAAAATCTTGTTGATACCACTGTGCAACGGGCCTTTCCCAAACTCGTTATTCCCATCACGAGCTCCCGAAATTCCAGAATAAGCGAAAATGCGCGAAGTGGTGTCGAAAATGCGCGGCGACACCCACTAAGAGCAGTTGTTCATAATGCAGTTGTTGTACTTCATCCCGCAGCTGCCCTTGTTCTCCTTCTTGCAGTTGTTGTAAAGCATCTTGCACAGCTTCTCGCAACTCGGCGGCTGGGGCGCCGGCTTCTTCGGGGGGAACTTGCAGATCTTAAAGCGCTTGTACGCCTTGGCGATGCAGCGGTCGGTCTTCTCCTTGCACTCGTCCGTTGCGCACATGTGATCCCTCACGCACTCCTTGCGGCTTTTCTTGAACTCCTCCATGCACGACGGTCCAGGGGTTTCCTCCTTCAGGACGCGCTCGACTTCCTCCATGATCGTAGATACATCTTCTGCGAGAGTATAAGTCCAGGGAAATTAGTCTAAGTTGATGTAGAAACTATTTCGCATTCAGCACTTCAACTAGTTCACGAAATCCACGAGAAAAAAAAATCCTTACCAGGGACGGCATTAGCAGCGACGAACACAGCGGCGAGCAGAACAAGCGCGCTGAGGAGAACGGAAGTCCTCATGCTGGCTGTGGGGAAAACCTCACCCTTGGAAGTAGGATGTAGATTCTGTTAGGAGAATCGAGAAGCAATGCTGCTTGTGCAAATGGAATTGGAGGTGCAATTTATAGAATTTGTAGATTGTGTAGCCAGGAGCTTGAATCCCAATTCCGATGTGGGGTGTTCTGTTGCTTGGTTCAATGAGGACAGAATTCGAAGTCCAGCTTTGGTGAGCGGTTCGTTTGGACATTACGGTTCGGGATTAGGCCGGAGATTTGGCTTGGCACGCCGTCCTGCTTGTACCATTGGTTGGAAGTGGAGCTTACCGGGCCTGAGCCGCTATTGTTACGAGACCAGGCAGGCTCGGTCACTGGTTCTGGAAGAACCAGGTATGGTTGTGACTGGGCCTAAACCCTGCGTAGCTAGAGCCTCGAGCAGTCTGAGGAAAAATTGCGCGACGTGCCGGCGCGAAAACTTCTCTCAATCCCAACGACCAGGCTCGCACCGCAGGTAGGGCGACCAAACCTCGTCCAAATGGATCGACCTACATGCTCCTCCCCGTTTTTTGCATGCTGCGAACGATGGCATCTTGACGTTACAGGTGCCATTTGGTTTTACGGCCAGAATCGCGTGATTACAGCTTGTGGTTTCGATCATTTCATTAAAGGCAAATTTTGCAACGTGTTACGTCACTTCAGTCTGGTCGAACAGACAAGGCTTGTATTATGCTGTTTTTGTTTGGTCTGGTGTTTTATACGGTGTAAAATGAACTAAGCACCTTGACAGTTCCCGTGTTTAGGGTTGATCCCTCCCGAATTGCACCACATTCAAGAAATTAACCCTAAACACCATGCTTCGCATGTTTAGGGTTGATGTGTCCCGAATTGTATCCCAGCCTTTAGAGGTTTATTTATTTTCAGCCCCTGCTTAGATTCAGAGCTCCGTAGATGTTTCAGAGTTTTGCGATTGACACGCGGCAATAAAAATAAGTATGTAGAAAAAAAACGTGACACGCGCACGAAACATTTTTCGGCCATTTTCAGGTGCATGCAACTTGGTCGGGAAAAGCTCCTCAGGTGCATGCTATCCCGTCGTGTTTCTCCCTCTGTTGTTATTGTTTCTACACCTCTGCCATGACAATTGCTGTTCTGCAAGGGGGTGCTACCCATGCGACTGACGCCAACTGGTGCAGCTCTCGCACGAACTCGTCATCCAACCATGCCAGTCGCAGCGTTACTGCGAACAAGGTCAATACATATCGCAATAGGCATGACTAAAAACTGGCAAAACAAATAAAACCCAATTGGAAACGCATGAGACTCGGGAGGAATCAACCCTAAACACCAGGGCGGTTCCCTGGTTTAGAGTTGATCTCTTCTAAAAAAACGAGTCCAGGCTCCCAAGTTATTTCTATTATTACTTTTTATTTCTACTGCCTTACGGGACATCAACCCTAAACACCAAGATTGTTCCCATATTTAGGATTGATCCATTCCTAACAATGTCCATGTTCCCTAAGAGTTGTATTTTACCTTTTCGTGCTTCTCTGCCAGGCCGATTTATGTGTTGTGTGTGCTGTATGTGTTGCACGTTTTGCATCTTCTGACAGAACAGTGTTTTTAGTGGCGGATGTGTACAAGCAGTGCAACAAAGGGAGAAACGCGACGGGATAGCATGCACCTGAGCAGCTTTTCCCGACTAAGTTGCATGCACATGAAAATGGCCGAACATTTTTGCGCCATCAGAAACAGACAAAACAACTGAAACTTGTAAGTTTATCGAGAAGTACTACCTGACAAAATTTGCTCCGAAGGTTCTGTTGGCGCTGCCGGGGAACATTTACGTGCACTTTTAATATGAGCACGTTTAGTTATTATGCTGGTTAGGAAGTCCAAACGTGATTGGTCGAAAAACGACACAAAATTTGTTCAGGGATGTATCAATCCTAAACAGCATGCGGCAAGTTGTTTATGGTTGATCCCTCCCAAAAATACGTCCGGAAAACTATATACCCTAACGGGAAAGGGATCCCATGCTTAGGGTTGAGTCCTCCCAAAAATGCACCGATGGGAAAGCATAAACCCTACACACCTTGCCGCATGGTGTTTAGGGTTGATGACTCCCTGAATGGCATACCACCTAAGAGGGTATATTGTTTTTTGCCTGAAAAAGTGAAGTCGACCGGTCGACATGGACGGCGACCGTCTATACGGACGATCATCGTCTGTTTGTTAACTGTTTTGACCAATCAGGGTTGGATTTCCTAACGAGCGTAATAAGTGAACGCTCTCATGTTGGAAATTCACGGAACTAGTCCCTAGCAGCGCTAACAGTGCCTTCGGAGCGAATTTTATCCACTAGTGCTTCTCGATAAACTAAAAACCCAACTTGTAAGGTCACGGCAATGTAGCCACAATTGCGACCTTGTTTTTACGAAAACACGAAAACCACCTGGCAAACATTATCCCACGCGAAACAGTAACTAGAAAACCCACCAATGCCTACACATTAAATTGGCTGTCAATATCGCGTAGGCGCATGTAGGTCGATTCATTTGGGAGGGGTTCGGTCGCCCTACTTGCGGTGCGATCTTGGTCAATAGGATTAAAAAAAGTCGGCTTGTCGCGCAATTTTGCCATTGTGGGTGAATTGTTGAGACCAGGGATTTTCGAAGGTGAATGGCTAGGCGTCTCCTCATCTCAACCACGAATGACGTTGCAAGCTGGGTTGAACCTGTGGTTGGGTGAACCTACCACCTCGATTATGGGTTTGTTCCCCATTTGCCCCATACAGTGTTTTGAGAATTGCCAGTCTCACTTGAGAAAAAAATTGGGTGTCGTGTGAAGAATCTAATTTTGGACGTAACACGATCAGGTTCGAGTTGCTCTGCCCGTAAAACCCGACCAAATCCAAACACCTTCAAACCAAACCAAGCCGAAAGCATGAATCTGGCTGCTTTGGTTGTTTTGGGGGAGAAAGGACGGCGGCGCCGCGTCGTGGCTGATTGGTTGCCTCGGTTGGGGGCTGAGTGAAGGTGCTTGCTTGGTCGAAGCTAGCAGCCAGCCACTCTTGTTTTATGACCAAGCGTGACCAGATTGGTTGGGAGGTTGGTTGAGACCTATCGCAGTCCAGCTAGCCGCAGTTTTGATATTGAACCACGTATAGTAAGTACAGTGCCTGCAAGTCCAACATAACTAATCCATCGGTAATGCAACCTGGGCATCACCTGCTTAGTTGTGAGCCTGGCATTTCCTGAGTGGTTTTGAGCCTAAACCCTGGGGGATTGATCTTTGGTAGCTGGTTTACCAAGCATGTCATTCGAAATCTTCGAGTCAAAGCCTTCTGCTTCTCAAAACCCAGTTCGGATAGGTTTCACTCACACGTACCAGCGCCTTTCCTCCCCAGTTGCAAATACAACAGTACCAGTATTGACCAGCCAAAGTAGCACAGACATTGGCACTGTTGCTTCCTTACATCCGATGTCAATACAAACCTGACATGGCAGAAATGGCACGAGTGGTGCCCACCAGCAACAGCTGGGCTTCTATGTTGGGAAGCTGCTTGTAGCAGTCATGCTGGCTTGCAGCTAAGGACTTGTGCTTGGTACTGTTTGCTCCATGTGCTTCAAATCAAAGGACTTCGGTCAGTGCTGCAACTTCCCTTGCATGCCTGCTGTGTTGATGCTGCTCGTGTTGTCGATGTTTGCGCTGCCGTTGCTGTTAATGCTGTTGTGTCTCTTGCTTCTGCTACTGCTGACGCTGCAATTTTTGCAAGTGATGTATCTATGCTTGCTGATTGATGACACTGCTGTCGTTCCAATGCTGATGCTGCTTCATCTGTTGCTGTTGCTTCTCTTGTTGCTGGTGCTGGTGCTGCTGCTGCTACTAAAGCTTCTTGTTGCCACTGCTGCTGCTGTTGCTTTTGCGGCTGCTGCTACTTCTGTTTCGATGCTACTGCTGTTGCCGCCGCCACTGCTTCTGCTGTTGTAATGATACTACTGCTGCTGTTGACATAGCTGCTGCTATCGCTGTCGCCATTGCTGCCACTGCTGTTGCCGTTACTGCTGGTGCTGCTGCTGCCGTTACAGCTGCTGCTGTTGTTGCCTCTGCAACTGCTGCTGCCGTTGTTACACCAGCAGGACCGGCAACTCAATCTGCACACCAAACAGCAGCCCGCAGTCCCCAGACCTCTCAGCCAGACCAAATAGCTTCGGTCACACCACCAAGATCTCCAAACCAGCTCACAGCGTCACTCTCACACCAGCAGACAGCAGCAGCGTCAGTCACACCAGCAGACACCTACAGCAGCAGTCACATCTCACACCAGCAGGCACCAATAGCTTTTGAGCCGACTCAACAGTCGACAGCTCACCGCTGCTCCCCGAGCCTTTTCTCACCTTCGCACCAGTGTGATCCGAAGCTCAGGCTCGGCAAGCACTTGACCTCCGGACCAAACAGGTCCGGCGCCAGCAGCAGCACATCCACCAATCAACAGCTCTTCCCTTCTCAACACATCTCCGTCTCAACATCCCAGCCACACACGCACCTCACTTCCTCCCCCCTCCGTTCCCCCACCTCCCAAACACCTCTCCCCACCGAACCTCCGGCTGGTTCGGGAACAGCTTCTGAATCCTCGGGTCGGGCCGAGCCAGCCAGGAGCAGTAAAACCCAGCCGCAGCAAAAACAGCCGCCATGGACATGGCAGCGAGAGCCGCAAAGTGCTTAGGATCGTGAACGACTATGGCGAGTCCTAGCATTAGTAGCTCCGCCAGGCTGGCGAGGGCGATTTCGGTGGTTCCGATGAGATTGGCCGAGGCAGGGGGGATGGCTGTTTGGATGATCTGAGAGTCGACGATTTCAAACGTCCAATGGCCCACTCGGGAAAGCACCTGGAGGATAAGAGGGTAATGAGAGGTTGCGAGAGGTTATGAGAGGTTATGAGAGGGTCATGCATGAGAGGTGATGAGAGATGATGACAGGTGATGATCTCAAATGTCCAGTGGCCCACTCGAAAGAGCACCTGGAGGGAACATGGGTCGGGAATGGAGCAGGTGTGAGAGGTGATGAGACGTGACGAGGGGTGATGAGGGGAAATGAGGGGCGAGAGCAAGCATACAAGATGCTGAGAGCCCCCTGCTGTAGCACTGAAGGGCAGCATGCATGTGTGAGAGTGAATCTGTTGAAAATTAAAAAAAAAAGAATAATAATAATAATAATAACAATAATAATAAAGATTGAGCACCCTGCTGCAGCACTGAAGGTCAGCGCGAGGGAGTGTATGTGCGAGAGTGAAGGATTGAGCAGAGAGAGAGTGGACCCACAGCTAGCAGGAGGAAGAGCAGCAGCATCCCCTGCTGCAGCACCGGAGGGCAGCATGAGAGACGTCATACTCGTGAAACAAAGTGTGTTGGGTGAGAGAGGGTGTGTGTGTGAGAGAGAATGTGTTTGGGCGAGTGAGATAGGGCGTGTGTGAGAGAGAGACTCACGACGAGCAAGAGGAAGAGTAGCATCAGCCCCTGCTGCAGCACCGGAGGGCAGCGTGAGAGAGAGGAGAAGATTCCCACTGCGAGGGCAAGGAGGAGAGCTTGGAAGACAAGAGCAGCACTGCCAGCCTGGGGTGGAGAGGGGGTTCGGGGGGAGGGTAAGTAAGAGAAAAGTGCGTGTGTGAATGCGAGCGGGTTACGGGGGCCAGGAGAGGAGAAGGGCTTGGAAGACAAGCGCAGCGCTGCCAGGGAGTTTTTGAGAATTCTCAAGAACTCCCTGCAACGTCCAGGAGAGGAGAAGGGCTTGGAAGACAAGTGCAGCACTGCCAGCCTGATGGGATGAAAGGGGAACGGGGGAGTAAAAAGCAGGAGAGTGCATGTGCACGTGTGCGAGAGAGATGAGACGATGGCAACTGTGCGGGACATCTTGGAATGACGAGTGGGCAAGGGAGAGGTGGATAAGGAGGGAGTGATGGGACTGGGGGGGTGTGGGAGCGTGTGTGAGAGAGGGGAGAAGGGCAAAGATGCGAGGGTGGGGAGGGAGGGATGCATGGAAGAAGAGAGCAGCACTGCCAGCATGAACAGTCCATTCGCCTCCCACTGCACACCATTGTACCACACAGCACCCCGCCACAACCCATGGCCCCGCACTGCACCACACTGCACCACTCTGCACCGCACAGCACCCCACTGCACTACAATACCTGTAGCGCACCCAGACGTGCCACGAGCAGTGGCGAAACTAAGGTGGCCTCAAAGCCCATGGCAGCACAGTCATTCCCTTCTCACTGCACCGCTACAGCACAACCCTGCACCCTTCGAGAACCGCACTGCATCGCACCGCACCTGTAGCACACCCAGACGTGCCACGAGCGGTGGCGAAACAAAGGTGGCCACAAAGCCCATGGCAGCACAGGCGCCCCTGAAGGCCCCTATCACTGACATCTGCACGCCTGGTAGTTGGGGAAAGGGGGAAAGGAAGGGGGAAAGGAAGGGGGGGATTAATATGTGAGTGGAAAAGGAAGGGAGGGTATAAGGCGCCCTTCAACGCCCCTAAAATCTGCACGCGTGGTAGTGTGCGTGTGGGAAGACAGGGAGAGGGGAGAGAGGAGGCGGCAGAGGGGAGAAAGAGATAATGGGACGTTGCGGCACAGGCACCCCTGAACGCCCCTATCACTGACACGGGGAAGGGGAAACGGGGAAGGGAAGGAACGGAAGGAAGGGAGGATGTGAGCACTCCCCCGGGCGAAAGCACTGCGTTGAAGAAGAGCAGCACGTAGGCTGCACTGGCGGGCATGACAGCCTGGTGCACGTAGGCATGGGTAGGCATGATGACTCCCTTGAACACTCACCGTGTTGCGAGAGGAAGGATGTGAGGAGCCCTCCAGGCGAGAGAACAGCATTGAAAAAGAGCAGCACGTAGGCTACACTGGCGGGCAGCACAGCCTGCTGCAGGCATGTAGGCATGGGAAGGGATGACTAGGCAGGAGGATACTCACCATGCTGTGACAGAAAAGAGGTGAGGATCCGTCCAGGCGAGAGAACAGCATTGAGGAAGAGCAACTCATAGGCCGCACTGGCGGGCATGACAAGGCGTAACTAGCAGACGAGGCAGGCAGATTTTTACCGTGTTGGGAGAGGAAAGATGTCAGAAGCCCCCCTGGTGACAGCACTGCATTGAAGAAGAGCAGCATGTAGGCGGCACTGGCGGGCATCACAGCCTGCTGCACGTAGGCATGACTCGAGATGAGATGACTGGGCATGACAGACAGATTCTTACCATGTTGCGACAGGATCGACGTGAGAAGCTGTCAAGAGAGGACAGGTGGGCTGCAAAGGCCTTACTTCCATCAATCTCGTGTTGTACTAGACCAACGAAACAAACTCCATGAAGTGATGGCGGAAGGAGCCTGGGTGTGCGCTAGCTTAGAGTGTTATCGAGAGAGCCAGTTTGAGACAAATCTTCATTAAAGACTGGGCATGACTCGAGATGAGATGACTGGGCATGACAGACAGATTCTTACCATGTTGCGAACGACGTGAGAAGGCCCCCGGGTGACAGCACAGCATTGAAGAAGAGCAGCACGTAGGCCGCACTGGCGGGCATGCACTCACCATGAGTGTGGGAACAACAGCATACAACGCAACCAGTGTACTTACCATGCTGCGACAGGAACGACGTAAGGAGGCCCCCGGGAGACAGCACAGCATTGAAGAAGAGCAGCACGTAGGCCGCACTGGCGGGCATGCACTCACCATGAGTGTGGGAACAACAGCATACAACGCAACCAGTGTACTTACCATGCTGCGACAGGAACGACGTAAGGAGGCCCCCGGGAGACAGCACAGCATTGAAGAAGAGCAGCACGTAGGCCGCACTGGCTGGCATCACAGCCTGCTGCACGTAGCACCGCCACCCCTTCCCTGCTGCCTCTGCCACTTTCCCCACCCCGGCTGCTGCTTTATCGAGTGCTTTTCCTGCTGTCTTGGTCACTCTCCCCAACCCCTCCAATGCTTTATCCAGCGCTTTCCCATCACCATCTGCAGCAACAGTAACAGCAGGAGCAGCGGCGGGGGCAGCAGCGGCGGGACCAGCAGCAGCAGCAGGGGCAGTGGCAGTGGCAGCAGGGGCGGCAGCAGCAGCACCGCAATCGCGATCAGTGCTGCACGCGCGTGGCAGCGTGTGCCTGTGATCGGCTGTATGTGAATGTGCTGTCATTGCAGCTAAACCCAGTGATGTCATCGCAGCACTCTGCGGCACAGGCCCGGGAAGCAAGCATGAACGGTACGATGTGTGTGGCCCGTGTGACCCGGGAACAGGGTGCAAGGACGAGCAGTGGCAGCATAGTGCCAAGGAAGGTGCTACTCCTGTAGCTGGAGCGCTGCTGCCGAAAGCAGACGAGGCGAGAAGGGGGAGGAGGGGCGAGGATGGTGGGGAGAAGGAGTGAAGTGCATAGGACCCCTCAAAGGAGTGGAGTAGTGAGGACGATGCGGGGGACGCGGAGGGCTTATGCTGCTTCGACTTTAGATCAGTCATGGGAACATTCCCATTACACTCGTTTGAAGTCTTATCTCCGCTTTGGCAATCATTCTCAGACTTCTCAGGTCGAGGTCTGCTGAGAGCTCCGTGGGAGATGCGGTTGGTGAGCGTGGTGAGGGCAAGCTGGGGGGGTGAAGGGGAGGGGTGAGGTGAAAGGAGGGGGGAGGAGAGAGGTGAAACGCTGTGTTAACAAACCTAAAGCACTGTTCCTTCATAGGCCGAGGTCTCGTGATTGAAGAAGTGTTTTGAGACGTCTCAAAACACTTCTTCAATCACGTGCACTGTTTCTTCATAGGCCGAGGTCTGCTGGGTGCTCCGTAGGAGAGGCGGTTGGTGAGCGTGGTGAGGGCGAGCTGTGAGGGGTGAAGGGGGAGAAGAGGGGAGTGACGCCGTGAGAAACCCATGAAGGAATACAGGAAGGAAAACCCTGTGTCAGCAGAGCCAAGGCATTCTCTGTATTTGAGTCGACTCAAAAGCAAACCCCATGTCAGCAGAGCCAAGGCATTCTCTGTAGATACGCCGGGAGAGCTCCGTGGGAGAGGCGGTTGGTGAGCGTGGTGAGGGCGAGCTGGGGGGAGGGGGTGAAGGGGAGAAGAGGAGGGCAACAGGAAGAGAGGAAGGGAGGCCTCAAGAGTCAGGAGGCAAAGGCAGACAGCAGAAAGCATACCAGTGCAGAAAGCAAGAGAACGATGAGGGGTACTTTGGGTTGAAGTGATTATTACACCTAAAAATCAGATGGTAAAAGGAGCAAACGACATACCAGGGCAGGAAACAGAGACGTACCAGGGCAGGGAGGGAGAGTGCAACGAGGGCAACACATGCTCTGGCACAAATCAGTGGGCCAAAGGCAACAATAAGCCAGCCAAAGATGAGTGGTGCTGCTACCTGAAGCGGAAGAGGGAAGGGAGTGGCAAAAGGAGAGGAGGAAGAAAAGAGAGCGGGCACAAGAAAGTGAGTCGAGAGAATGGAGAGAGAAGGACTGGCAAACAGGGAATACACGAGGTTGAGGGAGCATCAACAAGCCACGGCCCAGGGCAGAGGCATCCTTATATGTTGTTGCACCACCACATGAAATCGGATTTCTTGCTCGACGATGCAACCCATCCCCCCTCACCTCACAGCACAGACCCACCTCCCTGGGCCTGAGCATGGCATTGGCATTGGCATTGGCATTGGCATTGGCGTTGGGCAGAGCAGAGCTTAAGAACAGCTAATAGACAATGCCAATGCCATGCTCAGTCTATCGACTGTAGAGCCACCTACACTCTACCCCCCTCACCTCGCAGCACAAGCCCACCCTCCTCAGCATGGCGTTGGCATTGGCCAGAGCCACAGTCCAATCACAACCCAAAACCGATTGCTACCTCAATGAACACCCACCCACTCCCCCTCACCTCACAACAAAGGTCTACCCTGCTCAGCATGGCGTTGGCATTGGCCAGAGCCACCACCCCTTGATGTGCACTGCGGAAACAGACTGTTAGCTCACAAAATACCCAACCCCCTCACCTCGCAGCACAAATCCACCCTCCTCAGCATGGCGTTGGCATTGGCCAGAGCCACGGGTCGATCCTGACCAGCCAGCTGGGAAACGGACACAACAAGGTCAAAGGGACAAGGGAAGAGGAGGAAAGGAAGGGATGAGGGAAGAGAAGTGGGTACGAATTGAGCTGCGGAACGGGTACAACAGAATGTAACGAGACGGGGAAGAGAAAAAAAAACCGACAGGTTTCACACTCGCACTCGAACTCACACTCACGCTCACCACGATCACCCAGTCCCTATCAAACGCCACTCCAGGGCCCAGCCCAGTGAGCCCCTCAACAGCGCCAGCCACCACCAGCAGCACAACAAGTCACAGACCCTCTTGCCCGCACTCACACCCATGCTCACAGCCACGTGTCAACTCTCACACTCCCTCTCACGCTCACGAACACACACTCACCACAATCACCCAGTCCCGTTCGAACGCCACTCCTGACGCCAGGCCAGTGAGCCTCTCAACAGCGCCAGCCACCACCAGCACCACGAACCACACTTGCCGCAGCACTGCCGTGCCCGGAAGAGCAGCCAGCGCTGACGTGGCAGCCGACGCGGCAGCTGACGTGGCGGCTGACGTGGCAACTGCGCCTGCAGCAGTGGCTGTTGCTGCAGCTGGGGCGGCGAGTTGAATGGCGTGTATGGTGGCTAGTGCTGCTACCACCATGGCTGTGGTCTGCGTATGTATGAATAAATCAAGTGAAGAAAACGGAGAAAGATGGGAGTAGGGACCGCATGGAACGAGAGGGAAGGAAGACTGAAGTGAGTGGCTGCGGGGACCGCTGCTAATAACCGTGGCACAAGCCTGTCTATATGGAGGATAGGACGGTCAGGTTTGGGTAATGGGGAATGAGGGAGAGGAGAGGAACGCCGCCCTTGGCAATCACAAAACACAGAAGATATGAGAGGACACAGAAAACACATGCATCACCTGGAGATTCACCTGAAAACTCACCTGAGCAACAGAGATGGTGCTGAAGGCAGCCACTCTAGGAGCTGAGTCCATGAGCTCTCCCACCAGAGGTGCGCCTATAAATACCACCAACTGTAGATGGGGAGGGAAGGGGGGAGAGAGGGGAGGGTAGGGGTGAGGTGGGGAAGGGGAAGGCGGGGGAGGTGGGGCTGAAAGCACGCACCCGAGGAGCTGAGTCCATGAGCTCTCCCACCAGAGGTGCGCCTAGAAATACCACCAACTGTAGACGGGGAGGCATCGGGGAGAAGAGAAATTAGGGGAGGGTGGGGAGGGGAAAGGAAGTGGAATGTGTGGGGAGGGGAAAGGAAGTGGAATGTGTGGGGAGGGGAAAGGAAGTGGAATGTGTGGGGAGGCACACACTTTATGTATGTTAATATGGTATTACTGTGTGAGTGATAAAATAAAGTTTCAAATGCCCCCGGTAGAGGCGCACACAGTAATACCACCAGTTGCAGACAGGGGGGGTGGGGAGGGGAGGGCGGGAGCGAGGGGGGAGGGCTTCGCCTGGCTAACGAAGCTGGCCACAGCCACGGGCAGCAGCGAGTGACGGAGCAGCAACGCTTTACCTCGCCCACTCGTGTTGCACAAGTGCTGTGTGCGCGAGTGCTAGCAGCCTACTTGGTGCTAGCGCCTCATCAGCAGCGAGTGGTGCAGCAGTGCGAGCAGCGAGTGACAAGTGCAGCATGCACTTGTGCTGTGCACGTGAGTAAGCACAACGCAAGCGCCTCACCTGGCTGACGAAGCTGGCCACAGCCACGGGCAGCAGCGAGTGATGCAGCAGTGCGAGCAGCGAGTGACAAGTGCAGCATGCACTTGTGCTGTGCACGTGAGTAAGTACAACGCAAGCGCCTCACCTGGCTGACGAAGCTGGCCACAGCCACGGGCAGCAGCGAGTGATGCAGCAGCGCGAGCAGCGCTGCTCCCCCAAACCGCCACGAGTGCTCGCCAAAACAGTTGAACACGTATGTCCAGTAGAAGGCTGCAGCGGGAGGGAAGAGGTGGAGCAAAGGGATGATGGAATGGGGAAAGGGAAGGGAGAAAAGAAGCAGTTGACGACGTATGTTCAGTAGACGGGCTGCGGCGATTGGGAGGGAGGGGGAGACAAAGGGATGATGGAGATGGGGAAAGAAGGAAAAAAAAAAGAGAAGGGAGAAAGGGAGGAAGGAACAAGGAAAGGCAAGGGAAGAAAACGCAGTTACATCGAACCAGCCTTGTCACCCTCCCTACGCAACGCTACTCACCCTTCAAAGCAGCAGGATGAGCAGCCTCGGCAGGTTCGGCAGGCTCAGCAGGTTCGGCAGGTCCAGCTGTCTGGATAGGCTCGGCAGCCAACACAGACGACGCCTCTTGCAATGTTAAATCCCCCGCTACCTCCGCCCCCACCCGCTCCTCGCCCCCCTCATCAGCTAAGTTTTGCTGCAGCGGGTGAAATTCCACCGATTTCGCAACCTCGTTCCGTCTCTGGTTCTGATGCTGCTCCCGCTGCGAGTCGTCCAATAGCGGGGAATCTTCCCTCAGCAGCGGAAGGGCATCCGGAATAAACAACTCCTTCTCAGAATCCACACTCGGTACCCCTCTCTCCCACTTCTCCCACTCCCCAATTCCCCACGTGTCACTCTCAGACTCACTTCTGTCTACGTTTACTTGAGAATCGCGCCCTTCGAACCAGTTCACCCAATCCTGTAGCGAATCCATTGATTCGTTTTTTAACGAGGATGACCACCCATCCAGGTTGTTTGGAACTACCAAAACGTCTGGCGGCAATCCCAAGGGGTTAAACGAATCAGCATCGGGAATGACGGCTCGTCCGCTAGACTCTGTAACAGATGCCACGTCAGCTTGCGCCAGCACTCTCTCAAGCTGCGCCACGTCATCAGCCCCAGGCACGAAGTTCGCATCTAAATTCAAGGCCCCGCTAATATCACAGTCAAGCACCGCCCCCGCCCCCGGCGCCGCCGCTGTTGCTGCTCCCCCGTTCGTTGCAATCGCACCGCACAAACCCGCCGCCATTTCTTGGCTAGTAAAGCTCCCAAAACCAACGCTGCTGCCGCTGCTGCTGCTGCTGTCATTCACACAGCTGTTGCTGCAGCCGCTGCTGCTGCTTCCGCTGCTGCTGTCTCTCACACAAGTGGCGCTGCTGCTGCTGTGGTCGCACGACTGTTCAACCCGCGCCTCCACCGCTTCTTGCACCGAGACTCGGCTCTTCTGCGCGCGCCGCCGCCCCCTCAACGCCCGTCGTGGAGTCCTGCCGGGCAAGGGCACGGACAACCATTGAGACGTCTCGTAAATCACCGAGGTCCTCATGACATATACATATATATTTTCGAAGGGCACTAACAGATGTAAGTACTTACATGGGTGCAGACGAGTTACGGTGCTGGCCGGTCCTCGTACGTGATTGGGTACCAAACGCAGATCGCCGGAACGATCGTGCGTGCGACGTACTTGCGACCGGACCAAGGGTTCCTATGCGAATCGCCGAGGCGAACTGGAACGACCGCGCCGACGGATGCGAAACGTTACATGATGGTAACGTGCGAAGCGATCGAACGCTAGCGACGCTCGCGAGGAGACACGGCGACCAAAGAGGCGACGAGATGCCGGTACGTGCCGAGAAAAATCCCTCGGATGAGTCGCGAGGCGACGACACCCCGTCGACGTTTGCGACCCGATGCGAAACTCTCGACAAGCGAGCGACGTTTGAAAAGCTTGAACTACGAACTGCGGACCCCAAAAAAACGCCACTGTGGGATTCACTGGAAACACTACCCGAGCCTAGCCCCGAACCACCCAAACATCGTTCCGTACCACCCGCATGGAGCCCCGAACCACGCGGACATAACCCCGGCCGCGAGCTATGACAACTCTCTACTCTTTTCGCCAACAAGCGACTCGCCAACGAATGCTCTAGAGATTCTGTCACGGCTGCTGCCTGTACAATCCTGTTGCCGCGGCTGGGTATTGGATTGCCTGTGTAGAACAAGGCGCTGCGCAGACCAGAGAGGTCCGAATGACGAGGCTTTTTTCTCAACAAATGATTTTTTTCCGCGATTAGGGCGTTGGTTGAGAGAAGAACAGAAGAGATGATGGGTTGGGCGCCGAGGAGAGCCATGGAGGATGCTGAGACGCTGGGACGCCAGGAGGGGAGCGCGGAGAGGAGCGGGGAGAGGAGTGCGGAGGGGAGTGCGGGGGGGAGAGCGGAGGGGAACGAGGAGGGGAGCGACGAGAGGATGCCGACGGGGAGACAGGAGGGATGCCGAGACGGCCCTCATGTACGAGTTAGGGACCAGGATGCTTGGTTCGAAGCAGACTTCTAAGGAACCACAAAAGTCGGCCCGAGCAGGCCCTTATGTATGACCAGGGTGGTTGGTTCGAAGCGGCTGTGTATTGGTTCGAAGCGGCTGGTTCGGAGCAGGCCCTTATGTACGAGTTAAGGACCAGGGTGATTGGTTCGGAGCAGGCCTGTATTGGATGTGACGCAGCTGTGCTGCAAAGGGGACTGCGCGCGAGTTACTACGCAAGTGTCGCGGAGAACACTATAACGCAGCAGGGCTTTGTCGTCAAGAGCCACTGAATGTTATTGGTGATAGAACGCCGGTTAACGCTCATAACGAAAAGCTCGTGCAACGGCTTTATGCGGAGACCGCACAAAACAGGTCGCGCAGACAGGAGCGAGAATAAAGGTCTGTTCCAAAACCAAGAAAAGCAGGTCCCTAAATCTGGTGGTCGGCAGCTAAGAAACGGGAGCAGTGGATTACAAAAGCAGTTGATGCAAATCTGCAGTTGCTGAGGAAGAGTTTAGGGTAAGCGAAAATAGAGGAACGCGGGAGGGGAGCGGGAGGGATAGGTGTGAGATATTAGGGGAAGACGAAGAAGTGAGGAGGCATCATACGCACATGGGAAGCAGTGGGGTGGGACAAGGTTTTGAGAGAAGCTGAGGGAGGTGGACATAGTTTTCAGGCGGTTGAGCGAGGTAAGTGGTCAAGGGAAGGTTCGAGAGAAAGAGAAAGGGTGGCGCGCGTGTGGTGAAGAGATGTGAAATTTTAGGGAACAAAGGAAAACCTGGCGGAAGCGGTGACAAGTTTTCCGCCAACAAGGTGGGACAGCAGAGTTGTTGGGTTGGGGGAAAGGAGGGACGGGGAGGGTGGGGCAGGTTGGGGCCCGCGCGACCAATCCCAAGGGCCCTGGTGAGCAGCGCAGTCGTGGGGCGCTTTGCCACGTCATCCGGTTGGTCGAGTTTGCGCGACTGTATTCCCGCCCGCTGTTGCCGAGTCAGGAAAAATGGTTTTGGCCTGGAGGATGGCCCGGCACTGCGACAAGTCGGCGGCGACTGGTGAGTGATGTGACGTACGATCAGACTGACGAAGGAGAAGGATCCAGGAAACCCTGGAGAATTCGTCGCAATAACCGACGTGGCACCGATAATTTCATTCGTTTTGTTCGCATCCTCTTGTTGAGGATATCGAGCTTCGTGGACGAATCCTGAGAGCTTTGCGGCGGGCTTCTTGCAAGCATACGATTGGCTACTGAGTGAACACGCCAAACTCTAGGGACTTTTCATTCTAGGTATGGGACTGAGCAAATGTGTGACAACCCATAAACGAAGTTATCGTACTGAAACCTATTTTACCGCGCAGAGAAACAATCAGAACGTACGAAACCCTACTGACAGGAGAAACGCCCCGACTTGCAGACCCAGCATTCTTGGATTCCTGTGACATAATCCAGGGCGTCAATATGTCCATTTCGTGTATTCCACGACTGTGATCACTTGCACAAATGGTATGCATTTCAGGTCTGTTCAGAATGTAATGGTCGAACTCCTACTGTATGTAAGAGTAACTGCCACCTCCTAAGGCAGTACAATCAGCAACCTTTTTATGCAAGGGAGGAACCTTATAGATGAGAATGACATCGTGCAGCAAAAGTCAACGTTGCACATCCAAAGCTCAGATCAATTGAGGCGGCTAGGGCGTGCATTCCTGCTTGCACGGCTGGCACGACTCGCACGACTCGCACGACTGGCGCGGCTAGCACGACTGGCGCGACTGGCCTGGCTGGCCCTGCTGCTGGCATTGTGTCCATTTAACCTGGTGTAAGGAAAAGCAACTACATCGAGGCCAGAGCCGCTACTTCCAAAGCCACCACCACCGCGTCCAGTCAGAATCTCCGCTGCCTCTCCCACTTCCCCACCAACACGTCCAGTCAACGCCGCCGCCGCTCCCCCCACCCCCTCCTCACCACCACCACCGTTGCTGCCGAAGCCACCACCACCGCGTCCAGTCAGCATCTCTGCTGCCTCCCCCACTTCCCCACCAATACGCCCTGTTACTGTCGTTGCTGCTGCCGCCGCTGCAGCAGCTGCCTCCCCATCAATGCCGCTGCTGCTGTCACCATTACAGCTGTTGCCACTGCCGATGCGGAGGAAGGGCGGGAGAAGAGACCAGATGCCTGAAAGTGGTTGGTTCACACATGGCGACTGCAGTGATGGTGGTGATACCGGTGATGACACTGGTGGGGTGAATGCGACAGTGGGTGGACTGGGAGGAGACGGCCCTCCCGAGTGGAGTGATCCAGTCAAGAAAGACCAGATGCCTGACAGGGGGTTGTTGACAGATAGTGATGGCAGTGATGTCAGCGATGTCGGTGGTGGCGGTGGTGGTGACGACGGTGGACTGGGAGGTGATGGCCATCCAAGGTGGGAGAATACAGCCGAGCTGTTGGAAATCGACTGATTTCCACCACTGCCACCACCGAGACCATCACCACCATTGTTAGACGAAGAGTTGAGCGGAAATTCTGGCAGGGGCTGTGCTGGAATAGAGTTGTTGGAAACTGATTGGTTTCCACTGCTGCTGCTGCCACCGCTAAGCCCATCGCCACCACTGCTAGACAGAGAGTTGAACGAAACTTCTGGCATGGGCTCTGCTGGAATGGAGTCGCTCAGAGTGCGGTGCCTGACAAGCGAACCGGCATGAGTTTCATGAGCATCTTGTGCGGTTCTGCGGATTTTCAGCACCTTGCCACGAGATGCCAATGCCACGGTTGATCCTGCAGCCACCATTTGGGGATTGAGAAGCAGGGATTCAATTAGATGAAAAAATCGATGAATCCGTGACTAAAGAACCGCTGCGAGTCTAGGGGTGGCCGGTAATCACAAAAAGAAAGTGACAAAGCCAACAAAGCAAAGTCACAGGACACACAAGCAGCAATTAATCACCTGACAAAATCAGCACACAAAGGATCATTGCAGTCGGACCCGTAAGCGATTTGAGCGACGCCATTTTCGTCAGATGTTAGCTCTGGGATACAACAACTCAGACTTAGCTCGTTGCTCTGCTGACTTCACGCTACGAGCCTCTTCTTATACCAACGACAAGCACTGAAAGAGCAAGGTCCAGGAATGGCGTCTGTCACGTCTACCTGAGACGACTGTCGCTACCCGCGACAGGCAATCCGACCGAGAATTGCCAAGAGCGAGACGAACCGGATTCTACATGTCGGCAAAAGGTGTCACGTCAACTCGAACTGATACTCTTCGCAAGGCTTGCTTGAAGTAGTAATGACGCGACATCACTACTCTGAGACACATTACGTAGACCACTCCATGACAGCGAACTATCAAGGGTTTCTGCTTAGTGCTACATCAAAAGTCGGACTTTGATGTGACATATACCACTCCATGACAGCGAACTATCAAGGGTTCCCGCGTAGTGCTACATCATGAGTCGCGTGGATGCAGGCCAAACCGCAAGTAGGCATGCCGCCCCGCGCGACCGTATCATTCTCGTTGCGAACCAGTTTGGCTCGGCTCAAGACTGTGGCACCTGAAAAACGTTGAGATACTCAAGGCTTGGACTGGGCAAGATTCCGCTCTCTGCACACACGCAGCAGTCGCATCACGTTGAACGTTACTCTTTCAAATTGAGCTCTGGTGTTTTCGTCTTAAATCGCCAGGCTGTTTTCTCACAGGGCCAACCTCACTTGTCGCTGGAACTTGAACGCTACTGGAGCTACAGCACAACATAGACAACGTGAGTGGAGAAGGCATCGAACGCACATTTGAATGAAATGAGACAGGACAGGAGGAGGGGAATTTCTGCTTGGTTTGGTGTGCCATGAGGAATAATGGAACGCTCCTAGTCAGTGCTAAGAACTGGTGGTTCTAGACTTGACAAGGAGCCATTGTTGGTGACTAGTGGAATCTCCGCAACGAAACCAAGCACGTCATGTCAGACATACACCAGGCGGGAAATATTATGGCCGGTTGTGCGTTTTGAGAATTCTCGATACAAGAGTCTGAACCAGAATAGATAAACCTTGCTGAATAGTACAGGAGAATTGTCATGCTTTCACTGAGCCCTAATGGAATATAGACTAAACGTTCCTATAATTTAGATATGGAGGGCAAGGACCCCTTGAAAGCTGGGAATGCATCCTGACGTGTCTAGTAAAGACACACACAAATTTGAGGCCACATGCCAGGAAAGATAGGGCTACAAGTCAAGTGGTGAGTCGGCGACAATTTTGGAAATAGCTCATGGCCAAACCAGTTAGGAGAAAAGAGCTGCCAACAGCTCCATGGCCTGTAAATTCAACACATGCCAGCAAACCACGCCAAATCAACAAACGCCATACCATCCCACCTCACACCCCAGAAAATATAACCCAGCAAGGAAGAATGCAGCAGAGCCCAGTAGCAAAAGAAAGTATACATGCAAGAAACAGCAAGCAGTAACGCATAAAGAATTCAAACCAACTAGCAAAATCTGTAAGATTGGGACAGATCACAACTTCACGCACCTTTGGATGGAGGGTAGGTGGGCCCGACCGCAACACATTCCGCAAGTACCGCATGCCTCCGCTGTTCCGAATATTGCTTCTGTGCGTCGGGCTGTGCTTCGCCAGCTGCAGCAACGCCTCCACCGCATCCCTCACCGCCGCAGGGTAATCCAGCCGTAACACGGTTACCAGTGACGGGATTGCCTCGCCCATCGCCTCCCTCCCGTCCGGCACCGTCGCAAGCCGTGACAGCGCTTGACACGTGGCGACCACTGTTTCGTTGTTCAGATTCGCCTGCAGGGCCACTGCCAGGGCGGGAATCACCCCTTCCCCGACTAGCTTGCTCCGCTGCGACTCACACTGGGCAAGACACGCGACTGCCTCTGCTGCAGCCTGCCTCGACGGGGTATCATACCCAGGATGCATCCCTTCGTTGTTCGATCCCGTGAGCTGCTTCACCAGTGGTGGGACGGCTCCTGCGTCGATAACCAGCCCCCGGGCGCGGTCTGAGAAGGACGCAGCGCATTTCATGACATTGGCCGCGGATGATCCGGCCGCAGGGGAGAAATCCGCGCGTTTGAGCGCCTGGATGAGCAGCGGGAGGTGCGTGAGCAGCTCCTGCTTCCCCATCTCATCACTTGACAGGTTCAACAGAGCAGCAAGCGCGGATTCTGCTCCCTTAGGGTCCCTCGGCCCACCCACAGCCAGCGGCAGCAGAGCATCAACAGCACCAGCCTCTCGAAATGTTGATCGGTTGGCAGCTGAGATTGACGCGTACCACCCGACGAGCCCTGCTGCCCGGCCCTTCTCCTCTGCCGATCCAAACAGCAGATTCTGCACGATCTGCTGCGGAGCCTCGGGATCATATGCCGCCAGGTCCGCTTCCGGATCGGAGCATTCCGCACCTGTCCCACCGCCGCCCTCCCCAGCAAACTCCCCCGCCATTCCCCCCATATCCCCGTTTCCCCCAGGCCTATCCACACTGCTAGTACGCCCTGTCTTAGATCGGGTGCGGGACCCGCCACTGACGCTGCTAGCAGAGCTGCCTCCGCTGCCCGTCTTCCCCATCTTATCCTTCTCTCTTCCACTCGAGCTGCCTGTTCGAGCCCTCGTCGGGTCATCCATATACTCCAAATCGTCGCCGCCCTTCCTGCCGCCCATGTCGAATGGTGACTTGGATCGGGCGTCGCCCGCGCCTGCCCCCCCGGTGCTTTTAGAACCTGGCATGCCCGTGCCCGCACCGGGTTCGTCCTTGCCTCGGTCCCTCCGCTCCGTGCTCCTCCTATGCTCCCTCTCCCCTCGCACTGCCCTGTTCCGGTCCTTATGCCGATCGTCGTCCGTCCGCCCGCCTCCATCCCCCTCCCCATCCCTAAACCGCGAATGCTGCTGCTGCTGCTGCTGCTGCTGGGTCTGCGAGTCGTACCTATCATGCTGCGACTCCCGCCCGCTCTCCCCCGCACCACCGCCCTCCGCACCTGACCGCCTGCTTCGGCGCTCCCGCCCTGCCGACCCGCTCCCGCCGCTCCCTGTAAGCGACAGCCCAGCAGCATCCCCAGTCATATCATCCACAGCGTTTGCCAGCAGCATCATACGGCGGCGGGTGGGGCTGAGCAGCTCTTTGGGGGACTTGGGGACGGACGAGGTGCCTGAGAGGCCGCTGCTGCCGCGCTGCCCGGCGCCTGAGCTGGCTGCTGCTGCTGCGGAGGCTCTCTCCCGGGCGAGCTTCGCCTGGGACTCCTTGAAGGCAGGGAGCTCCCGCTCCATGCGCATCAGAATGGTGATCAGCTGGTGGGGGGTTTGGGGTTGGGGTTGTAGATGAGGGCGGAAGGAGGGGTAAAGGTAGGTGAAGGTGGGGATATACTGGCGAGCCTCGCCTGGGACTCCTTGAAGGCGGGGAGTTCCTGCTCCATGCGCATCAGGATGGTGATCAGCTGGTGGGATGGTATGGGGACAGGGGTGGGGGTGGAAGGGGGAGTAAGAACAGGTGAGGATGTGCGCCGGAACAGGTGAGGACGTGCGCCGGCTTCACCTGGGATTCCTTGAAGGCGGGGAGCTCGCGTTCCATGCGCATCAGGATGGTGAGCAGCTGAAAGAGGTGTGGGTTCGTGTGGGGGTGGGGTTGGGGTTGGGGTTGAGGGGTGGGAGGGAGGAGCGGGGAGAATCTAAGGGTGAGGTTGTGTGAAGGACCTTCGCCTGGGATTCCTTGAAGGCTGGGAGGAAAACATAGGCCAAGTGTGGAGATGGGAGGGAGCTTCACCTTTTCTTCCTGCCCCTTTTACCCATTTTCCCCACCCTTTTTTTTGAGACGTCTCACACCCTTTCCCACCCCACTGACCTGATCCATCAGCGCCTTCTGCCCATTGCCTCTGCCTACCTTCCTCTCCGCTTCTTCCCCACATCCCCCTCCCTCATCCCCCCGCTCTCCCCGCCCTTTCTCCCCTTTTTGCCCACTCTTCGCCCCCCTTCTTCTCCCCATCTTTCCCCCCCCCCCCCACTGACCTGATCCATGAGCGCTTCTTGCGCCTTATCCCTGGTCTCCGTGGCCTTGCGCTTCTCCAGCGCCAGTACCAAAACCGTCTCTCTCCCTCCCCCCTCTTCCACTTCATTCTTCCCCTTTCCTACTTCCCTTGCCTCCCCCCCAACTGACCTGATCCATGAGCGCCTCTTGCGTCTTATCCCTGCTCTCCGCGGCCTTGCGCTTCTCCAGCGCGAGCGCCTCCTGCTCCTTGCGGAACGCGCCCCCGCCGTCCATGCCCAGCGCGTCCGCGAGCTGCCCCGCGGGGAACTGGCTCTGCGTGTAAGGGGTCCCCAGGCTGCTGCTGCGGCGCACGCCCGCGCCCCCGCTGCCCCCGCCGTCCTGCTGCAGCGACTGCAGCTGCTGCTTCATGTCGGGCGTGAAGAGATCCTCGAAGCACGCGTCGTGGATCTGCTTGAGCGTGGCTTGGATCTGGTTCAGAGGGAGGGAAAAACAAGCAGGTAGCAGGGGGGTTGATACGGGGGAGGAAGGGACGGAGCAGAGGGGAGACGGGAAGGGCATGAGTCTGCAGCTGCTACTTCATGTCGACCGTAAAGCGGCCCTCGATGCACGCGTCGTGGATACGCATGAGCGTGGATTGGAGCGGGATCAGAGGGAAGGAGGGGAGAAGGGAAGGGGGACAAAAGGGGGCAGGCGGGGAGGGGGAAGAAAGCGGAGAAGATGAAAGTTGGACTAGGGTGTTCGGCAGGAAGGAATCATACAGGGGAAGATAGTGCTGAGTCGGCTCAAGACGTGAAGGGAAAAAGAAGGTGTACAGGAAAATGACGACAAAGGGAGGCAACATCGGTCGGCTCTTCTCATTGTCCTCCCCTCTCTTCATCGGCTCATCTTATCATCAACACACCGGTTTCGCAAGCTAAGGACGCGTTGAAAGTGGCGACTAATATGGACATTCAGAAAACGTGGACCGATACGTCGCGCAAAAAATAACAGATAACAATGACAAAAGATGTGTATAAACAGGCTTAATCCAACGGCGCCATTACGTGCTTACGAAAACGCAGTTGAGGGGAGGATCGAAAGTCTGGTAAAATGTTGAGAGTCGCAGGTTCATTATTAGACTAGCTGCCTTTACGATGCGACTTAGAGTTGACACAAGAAGCCCCCCAGCTACAACTACCCAACTACCTAGTTTCCTCTACGATCACCGTTCCGAGTCACGCGGAGTCCCACCTGTTACATCCACGTAACCACATTTGTAACACGCTATTGCGTACCTGCGCGACGAGGTCATCCAGCGTGGCGTCTTTGGGGATGGCGAGAAGGCAGGCTTCCAGCTATTTATTTAGACGACTCAAAAATCACATTTGTAATGTCTGGAACGTTCTATCGCGTACCTGCGCTACGAGATCATCCTGCATGGCGTCTGTGGGGATGGCGAGCAGGCAGGCTTCCAGCTCAGCATGCATGGTGACGAAATCGTCGAGCTTGATCGTCGTATCTGACACCAGCTGTGCGCGAAAAAGGAAATCAATGCGCGCGGAAAGGGAATCCAAGGGGAGAAATTGATTCGCATGATACAACGATTTCAACGGCTTCCAGCTCAGCATGCATGGTGACGAAATCGCCGAGCTTGATCGTCGTCTCTGAAACGAGCTGCGCGCGGAAGCGAATGAAGTAAGGAAACAAATATATATTCTCATGTGACGACTTTTACAGCTTTCGTAATGAGCCATCAAGAGATGCAAGCTTTGCAATGTCACCCTGATTGAGTGTTACTTTTGAGTTCTCAAAAGTAGCACCCTGATTGCTTGTTAGGCGACTTGTTTGTGTGGGAGGCTTTCGACATCTCAGAACTTGAGTACGGTCGCCGAGCGAGCGATGCAAGCTTCGCAATGTGTCCCTGATAGCTTCTCAGGCTATCTACATTGTGTGGGAGGTGCGGTGCAGCGACTGATGGTGACATATTCTAACAAGGTTCAACATTAGCTATTTACTTTGCACGATGCCATCAGACAAGATCGCCGACTAATATATGAGATGACGCAGTTTAATGGCAGCAATAGCAAAAATAAGTAAACATATAAACTTGGAAAAAGAGACACGAACCTGCAGAAGCTTGCTTCGCGCGCTGATGCAGCGCTGCAGCAGCCCCGTGCACTTCCTCAGAAAATCCTCCAGCTTCTGAAACGCCTTCTTTGCCGCATCCGTCGTCGCTCCCCAGTTTTTAAACTTCTTGCAGTTTTCGAGCAGCGAGTGGATGCTGGCGACAGAGTCTAGAACCAGGCTGAAGTTCTTAAAGTATGCACACGTGGACATGTTCTCCTTGAGCTGTAACGCGAACTGCGTTAGTGTCATGCAGCTCGCTATAAGGAGGGTCAGCACCATGTCCATCATCTTGGCGGCTTTTTATGATCGTCCGAAATAGAAATAAGAGGGTGAGACAGAAATAGGATGCAGGTAGTTAAAACCCTCCGATAACTCTATGTCTCAACCACCCAACGCCTGAAAGCCCCGAACTTGGAAGGGTGTACAAACAGAAGCATTTACCACAAAGATGTATCGTTGCTCTCTGGACGGGCAATAAGCAGAAGCCTATTTAGAGAAATGTAAATTCCAGGCGCTAGGCGGCAATCTCGATGTCAGAAATCTCAGCTTTCGGAATGAACAGAGCTGGAATGGAGGACGATGTCTTATCTCGCCCTGTGCTCAAGCCAGCCAGCCAGCCAATCTCGTGTTTCCCTGTATCAACCTGTTTGGATCGAAAATTGTGTCACATTATAAAGCCAACCACGGTTCTCTTTGGTTTGTTACGGTTGAAAGACGTTAGGATTAAGAACCAGAATATACCAAATTAAATCCTTCTTCACCGCACTGAACGACAAGTAGATCAATCTCGAGGGTCGCATCCTGGAGAACCTTGGGAACTCCCAGCGCACCGACTCAGGGACGGACAGTCAGCCAGATAGATTAGAGATAAGGACAGCTCTAGGGTAACCGGAGCAACTTCTGTCAGCTTGACCAGAGAGTTGCTTCACCAGAGGAGTGCAGCAACTCACTTCTCCCATCTCCATTCCTTGCATAGACTCTGAAAAGAATAATAACACGGACACAAGTCCAAACCAGCCAAGGTGTTACTTGAAGCCGGAAACGCACACCCTGGGAACCTAGGTACAGAGATTCAACCAGACAGGGACACAGACTAACTCAAACCTGATTTTCCATGAAACAAACATATATACACTCGGGCTGAAAGTGTACACATCGTAGTGACAATCAGGAAAGACCTTCCAATCATTTCAGCTACAGTGACTATCAGCTTGTTCCCGGGCCTAGAGGCTCAAACTGGTGAGCCAGACCACCCAATCCGAGCCTACTCTTCTCTGTCGCCCCATCAGCAAAATCACATGCCAGAATCTCAGTAACCTGCAGACGCGGGAAAGGGCTAGGCTGAGTTTCGGGGACGTCCGCTGGCCGTCAGGACAAGCTGCCGAGCGCCCAAGCAGACGTTTTGGTGCTTCCTTGCTGCAACTGCTCCGTTCCCTCGTCAGGTTTGGAAACTGAGGTTTGGGGACTTGCGCCATCCTTGTTTGAAGCCTCACCCCCGTCCCCAACAAGAATTTCATGTATTATATTTCCGTTCACTAACATTTCACAAATATCAAGCACCAGACCTACTTGAAACCTCTACAGGAAATGGAGCATCCTTCAGGAGCAAGAGATCAGCATTCCCCTCTGCTAGTAGCCATGCCATCAAGGCTTCGCGATTCGCAACCAGTCGGCCTCTGTTCCACGGTGCTGGAGCGAAGGGGAGTTGAAGCGACTGAACAGCTTGCACCATGGCTTTATTCACAGGTGCTGCATCGGCCTCATCCTTGTTGGGACTCTCATCACCCCACCTGACGTGTATCATTGATCAAGCATAGGAAATTTATGGAAAAAACATCACTTTGCAACAAATACACTAGAGGACGACAAAAGACCAACGAATGATGATAATGAAAATCCAGCTACACTTGGGGAAAAAATTTTTAACTACATAAACCCTCACCTTGTGACTATACTGAAAAGTGGAGGAAGTTCTGCTGGCTCCAGCACAGCTGTCTCATGCACTTGGGAGAGCCAGTGGTGCAGAAACACACAGGCCGCCCCTTGTGACATGCTGCAGGGGAGAAAAGGGGATTTGAAGAAATGGTGGGGTTGGGATGAGGGTAGGGCGGGGTTGGGATGGGGTTGGGGGTAGGGAATAGTGGGGGGTTTCCGTGCACTTGAGAGGGCCAGTGGTGCAGAAGCACAAACGCCGCCCCTTGCGACATGCTGTAGGTAGGAGAGAGAAGGGTATTGGAATAAATGGTGGGGGTGAGACGGGGGTAGGGTGGGGGTGGGATGGGGTTGAGGGATGAAAATCGTCGAGTTTCCCGTGCACTTGAGAGCACCATGACAAAATACCAACTCGTTCGAAACCCAGTCACGAAGCTGAGGCGATTTTAGAGTCAAACTGACAGGACCTCAAAGAACAGAATCAGGGCGACTTGTGAGCCAAACTTGGACTTCTGAACAGAACTGACCGGTGCACATCAAGGGACGAGTCGACTCAAAAGTCAACTTGTGAGCCAAACTTGGACTTCTGAGCAGAACTGACCGGTGCGCATCAAGGGACCAGAGGCACGGGTCGGGGAGCAGATGCAGCGACCAGAGGGTCGGGTCGAGAAGTCCCAAAACGACCAATTTAATATCAGTTAATTTGAAACGACTGCATATCCTTGACAGCTCGGCAGAACAGAAGAACTGACCGGTGCACGTCCAGGGACCAGAGGGTCGGGTCGGAGAGCTATTTTGACAAGTCTCAAAACAATTCAATTCTTTTGATTTGAAACGGCTTCAAATCCTTGACAGCTCGGCAGAACAGAAGAACTGACCGGTGCACGTCGAGGGACCAGAGGGTGGGCGAGCGGTAGGAAGCTTCCGGGAAGACGGCGAGGCTGGTGGCTGGTGCGTGCAGCTTGAGGGCTGTGGCTCGCCTGCCCGCCCACCAGAGGGCGTCCATGAGGGCGTTGAGGAAGACTCGGTTGACCGCCACTCCCTCCCTCTGTGCAGGAGGGGAATGAAGGGACACACACAAGGGAACAGAGGCATCCTTGACTGGTGCGTGCAGCTTGAGTGCTGTGGCCCGCCTGCCCGCCCACCAGAGGGCGTCCATGAGGGCGTTGAGGAAGACCCGGTTGACCGCCACTCCCTCCCTCTGCACACAGGGAGAATGAAACATCCTTTAGTGCATGCGTGCATGAGTGCAGCTTGAGTGCTGTGGCCCGCCTGCCCGCCCACCAGAGGGCGTCCATGAGGGCGTTGAGGAAAACACGGTTGACTGCCACTCCCTCCCTCTGAGTTGAGAAACTGTGAGAGGAAATGAAGGGGCACACACACCACACAGAGGAGAGGAGAGGAGAGGAGAGGCATGGAGGACTGTTGAGTCCAGCTTGAGTGCTGTGGCTCGCCTGCCCGCCCACCAGAGGGCGTCCATGAGCGCATTGAGAAAGACTCGGTTGACCTCCACTCCCTCCCTCTGCACACAGGGAAAAAGAGGCATCCTTGAGTGCATGAGCGCAGCCTGAGTGCAGCTTGAGTGGTGTGTTGACTCAAAAACAGCCCCCCCTCCAGCCTATGTGTGTTGTGTAATGCAGTATGGGGCGATGAACTCGTCTCACCTTGAGTCTCCCAAAGAAGTCCTCTGCGATCGGCCAGAACTCCTCCGACTCATACTGCCCCACCAGCAGCAGCCTGTACATCATGCATCTTGAACCGTTTCAGGACTGGAAAGTAAAGTCAGCAGCAGTCAACGCAGCTCACCTTGAGGCGTCCAAAGAAGTCCTCTGCAATCGGCCAGAACTCCTCCGACTCATACCGCCCCACCAGCAGTCCCCTCACCACCCGGTGCTCCTCCCCCGTTCCGCCCCCCTCCATCTCCGCGATCAGCCGCCTCATGTCCTGCCACCTGGGAGGGTGTGGAGTGGAGCAACAGACGGAGAAAAACGGATCAAACTTGGAAAGACGTCTCAAAGCTCCTCCCCCGTTCCGCCCCCCTCCATCTCCGCGATCAGCCGCCGCATGTCCTGCCACCTGGGGCAATGGGGAGTAAGAGAATGGGAAGCGGGTGGGAAGGAGATGGGAAGGGGATGGGAAGGAGATGGGAAGGGGTGTGGAGTGGAGCAACAGGCGGAGAAAACCCCTCAAGCCTCGAAAGACGTCTCATCGCTCCTCACCTTCCATCTACGCCTGGTCACCTTCCATCTACGCCTGGTCACCTTCCATCTACGCCTGGTCACCTTCCATCTACGCCTGGTCACCTTCCATCTACGCCTGGTCACCTTCCATCTACGCCTGGTCACCTTCGATCTACGCCTGGTCACCTTCCATCTACGCCTGGTCACCTTCCATCTACGCCTGGTCACCTTCCATCTACGCCTGGTCACCTTCCATCTACGCCTGGTCACCTTCCATCTACGCCTGGTCACCTTCCATCTACGCCTGGTCACCTTCCATCTACGCCTGGTCACCTTCCATCTACGCCTGGTCACCTTCCATCTACGCCTGGTCACCTTCCATCTACGCCTGGTCACCTTCCATCTACGCCTGGTCACCTTCCATCTACGCCTGGTCACCTTCCATCTACGCCTGGTCACCTTCCCCTTCTGGCACACAGCGCAAGCAGGTGGCAGTAGCTGGCAGCAGGTGGCAGTAGCTGGCAGCAGGTGGCAGTAGCTGGCAGCAGGTGGCAGTAGCTGGCAGCAGGTGGCAGTAGCTAGCAGCAGGTGGCAGTAGCTGGCAGCAGGTGGCAGTAGCTAGCAGCAGGTGGCATAGCTGGCAGCAGGTGGCAGTAGCTGGCAGCAGGTGGCAGTAGCTGGCAGCAGGTGGCAGTAGCTAGCAGCAGGTGGCAGTAGCTGGCAGCAGGTGGCAGTAGCTGGCAGCAGGTGGCAGTAGCTGGCAGCAGGTGGCAGTAGCTGGCAGCAGGTGGCAGTAGCTAGCAGCAGGTGGCAGTAGCTGGCAGCAGGTGGCAGTAGCTAGCAGCAGGTGGCAGTAGCTAGCAGCAGGTGGCAGTAGCTGGCAGCAGGTGGCAGTAGCTGGCAGCAGGTGGCAGTAGCTGGCAGCAGGTGGCAGTAGCTGGCAGCAGGTGGCAGTAGCTAGCAGCAGGTGGCAGTAGCTGGTAGCAGGTGGCAGTAGCTGGCAGCAGGTGGCAGTAGCTGGCAGCAGGTGGCAGTAGCTAGCAGCAGGTGGCAGTAGCTGGCAGCAGGTGGCAGTAGCTAGCAGCAGGTGGCAGTAGCTAGCAGCAGGTGGCAGTAGCTGGCAGCAGGTGGCAGTAGCTGGCAGCAGGTGGCAGTAGCTGGCAGCAGGTGGCAGTAGCTGGCAGCAGGTGGCAGTAGCTAGCAGCAGGTGGCAGTAGCTGGCAGCAGGTGGCAGTAGCTGGCAGCAGGTGGCAGTAGCTGGCAGCAGGTGGCAGTAGCTGGCAGCAGGTGGCAGTAGCTGGCAGCAGGTGGCAGTAGCTGGCAGCAGGTGGCAGTAGCTGGCAGCAGGTGGCAGTAGCTGGCAGCAGGTGGCAGTAGCTGGCAGCAGGTGGCAGTAGCTGGCAGCAGGTGGCAGTAGCTAGCAGCAGGTGGCAGTAGCTGGCAGCAGGTGGCAGTAGCTGGCAGCAGGTGGCAGTAGCTGGCAGCAGGTGGCAGTAGCTGGCAGCAGGTGGCAGTAGCTAGCAGCAGGTGGCAGTAGCTGGCAGCAGGTGGCAGTAGCTGGCAGCAGGTGGCAGTAGCTAGCATCAGGTGGCAGTAGCTGGCAGCAGGTGGCAGTAGCTGGCAGCAGGTGGCAGTAGCTGGCAGCAGGTGGCAGTAGCTGGCAGCAGGTGGCAGTAGCTGGCAGCAGGTGGCAGTAGCTAGCAGCAGGTGGCAGTAGCTGGCAGCAGGTGGCAGTAGCTGGCAGCAGGTGGCAGTAGCTGGCAGCAGGTGGCAGTAGCTGGCAGCAGGTGGCAGTAGCTGGCAGCAGGTGGCAGTAGCTGGCAGCAGGTGGCAGTAGCTAGCAGCAGGTGGCAGTAGCTGGCAGCAGGTGGCAGTAGCTGGCAGCAGGTGGCAGTAGCTGGCAGCAGGTGGCAGTAGCTGGCAGCAGGTGGCAGTAGCTAGCAGCAGGTGGCAGTAGCTGGCAGCAGGTGGCAGTAGCTAGCAGCAGGTGGCAGTAGCTAGCAGCAGGTGGCAGTAGCTGGCAGCAGGTGGCAGTAGCTGGCAGCAGGTGGCAGTAGCTGGCAGCAGGTGGCAGTAGCTGGCAGCAGGTGGCAGTAGCTAGCAGCAGGTGGCAGTAGCTGGTAGCAGGTGGCAGTAGCTGGCAGCAGGTGGCAGTAGCTGGCAGCAGGTGGCAGTAGCTAGCAGCAGGTGGCAGTAGCTGGCAGCAGGTGGCAGTAGCTAGCAGCAGGTGGCAGTAGCTAGCAGCAGGTGGCAGTAGCTGGCAGCAGGTGGCAGTAGCTGGCAGCAGGTGGCAGTAGCTGGCAGCAGGTGGCAGTAGCTGGCAGCAGGTGGCAGTAGCTGGCAGCAGGTGGCAGTAGCTGGCAGCAGGTGGCAGTAGCTGGCAGCAGGTGGCAGTAGCTGGCAGCAGGTGGCAGTAGCTGGCAGCAGGTGGCAGTAGCTGGCAGCAGGTGGCAGTAGCTGGCAGCAGGTGGCAGTAGCTAGCAGCAGGTGGCAGTAGCTGGCAGCAGGTGGCAGTAGCTAGCAGCAGGTGGCAGTAGCTGGCAGCAGGTGGCAGTAGCTGGCAGCAGGTGGCAGTAGCTAGCAGCAGGTGGCAGTAGCTGGCAGCAGGTGGCAGTAGCTGGCAGCAGGTGGCACTAGCTGGCAGCAGGTGGCAGTAGCTGGCAGCAGGTGGCAGTAGCTGGCAGCAGGTGGCAGTAGCTGGCAGCAGGTGGCAGTAGCTAGCAGCAGGTGGCATAGCTGGCAGCAGGTGGCAGTAGCTGGCAGCAGGTGGCAGTAGCTGGCAGCAGGTGGCAGTAGCTAGCAGCAGGTGGCAGTAGCTGGCAGCAGGTGGCAGTAGCTAGCAGCAGGTGGCAGTAGCTAGCAGCAGGTGGCAGTAGCTGGCAGCAGGTGGCAGTAGCTGGCAGCAGGTGGCAGTAGCTGGCAGCAGGTGGCAGTAGCTGGCAGCAGGTGGCAGTAGCTAGCAGCAGGTGGCAGTAGCTGGCAGCAGGTGGCAGTAGCTGGCAGCAGGTGGCAGTAGCTAGCATCAGGTGGCAGTAGCTGGCAGCAGGTGGCAGTAGCTGGCAGCAGGTGGCAGTAGCTGGCAGCAGGTGGCAGTAGCTGGCAGCAGGTGGCAGTAGCTGGCAGCAGGTGGCAGTAGCTAGCAGCAGGTGGCAGTAGCTGGCAGCAGGTGGCAGTAGCTGGCAGCAGGTGGCAGTAGCTGGCAGCAGGTGGCAGTAGCTGGCAGCAGGTGGCAGTAGCTGGCAGCAGGTGGCAGTAGCTGGCAGCAGGTGGCAGTAGCTAGCAGCAGGTGGCAGTAGCTGGCAGCAGGTGGCAGTAGCTGGCAGCAGGTGGCAGTAGCTGGCAGCAGGTGGCAGTAGCTGGCAGCAGGTGGCAGTAGCTAGCAGCAGGTGGCAGTAGCTGGCAGCAGGTGGCAGTAGCTAGCAGCAGGTGGCAGTAGCTAGCAGCAGGTGGCAGTAGCTGGCAGCAGGTGGCAGTAGCTGGCAGCAGGTGGCAGTAGCTGGCAGCAGGTGGCAGTAGCTGGCAGCAGGTGGCAGTAGCTAGCAGCAGGTGGCAGTAGCTGGTAGCAGGTGGCAGTAGCTGGCAGCAGGTGGCAGTAGCTGGCAGCAGGTGGCAGTAGCTAGCAGCAGGTGGCAGTAGCTGGCAGCAGGTGGCAGTAGCTAGCAGCAGGTGGCAGTAGCTAGCAGCAGGTGGCAGTAGCTGGCAGCAGGTGGCAGTAGCTGGCAGCAGGTGGCAGTAGCTGGCAGCAGGTGGCAGTAGCTGGCAGCAGGTGGCAGTAGCTGGCAGCAGGTGGCAGTAGCTGGCAGCAGGTGGCAGTAGCTGGCAGCAGGTGGCAGTAGCTGGCAGCAGGTGGCAGTAGCTGGCAGCAGGTGGCAGTAGCTGGCAGCAGGTGGCAGTAGCTGGCAGCAGGTGGCAGTAGCTAGCAGCAGGTGGCAGTAGCTGGCAGCAGGTGGCAGTAGCTAGCAGCAGGTGGCAGTAGCTGGCAGCAGGTGGCAGTAGCTGGCAGCAGGTGGCAGTAGCTAGCAGCAGGTGGCAGTAGCTGGCAGCAGGTGGCAGTAGCTGGCAGCAGGTGGCACTAGCTGGCAGCAGGTGGCAGTAGCTGGCAGCAGGTGGCAGTAGCTGGCAGCAGGTGGCAGTAGCTGGCAGCAGGTGGCAGTAGCTAGCAGCAGGTGGCATAGCTGGCAGCAGGTGGCAGTAGCTGGCAGCAGGTGGCAGTAGCTGGCAGCAGGTGGCAGTAGCTGGCAGCAGGTGGCAGTAGCTAGCAGCAGGTGGCAGTAGCTGGCAGCAGGTGGCAGTAGCTGGCAGCAGGTGGCAGTAGCTGGCAGCAGGTGGCAGTAGCTGGCAGCAGGTGGCAGTAGCTGGCAGCAGGTGGCAGTAGCTGGCAGCAGGTGGCAGTAGCTAGCAGCAGGTGGCAGTAGCTGGCAGCAGGTGGCAGTAGCTGGCAGCAGGTGGCAGTAGCTGGCAGCAGGTGGCAGTAGCTGGCAGCAGGTGGCAGTAGCTGGCAGCAGGTGGCAGTAGCTAGCAGCAGGTGGCAGTAGCTGGCAGCAGGTGGCAGTAGCTGGCAGCAGGTGGCAGTAGCTGGCAGCAGGTGGCAGTAGCTAGCAGCAGGTGGCAGTAGCTGGCAGCAGGTGGCAGTAGCTGGCAGCAGGTGGCAGTAGCTAGCAGCAGGTGGCAGTAGCTAGCAGCAGGTGGCAGTAGCTGGCAGCAGGTGGCAGTAGCTGGCAGCAGGTGGCAGTAGCTGGCAGCAGGTGGCAGTAGCTGGCAGCAGGTGGCAGTAGCTAGCAGCAGGTGGCAGTAGCTGGCAGCAGGTGGCAGTAGCTAGCAGCAGGTGGCAGTAGCTGGCAGCAGGTGGCAGTAGCTAGCAGCAGGTGGCAGTAGCTGGCAGCAGGTGGCAGTAGCTGGCAGCAGGTGGCAGTAGCTAGCAGCAGGTGGCAGTAGCTAGCAGCAGGTGGCAGTAGCTGGCAGCAGGTGGCAGTAGCTAGCAGCAGGTGGCAGTAGCTGGCAGCAGGTGGCAGTAGCTAGCAGCAGGTGGCAGTAGCTGGCAGCAGGTGGCAGTAGCTAGCAGCAGGTGGCAGTAGCTGGCAGCAGGTGGCAGTAGCTAGCAGCAGGTGGCAGTAGCTGGCAGCAGGTGGCAGTAGCTGGCAGCAGGTGGCAGTAGCTAGCAGCCTATGCTTCGCTCACCTTCCCCTTCTGGCACAGAGCGCCATGCCCTCCTCCCTGATCTCTGTCGTCTGTGCGTAAGCCGACACAAGCCTATGCTTTCGCTCACCTTCCCCTTCTGGCACAGAGCGCCAGCAAATGGCAGTAACTGGCAGCGGGCGGCACCATGCCCTCCTCCCTGATCTCTGTCGTCTGTGCATAAGCGGCCTCAAACGTGCCTGCAGCGCTGTATGCAGCCACCATGGCTGCGTGGGTTGCCAGAGAGGGCCGGCAGTTGGCTTGCTCCATGTCCTGTGAGGGGTGAGAAGAGGTATGCGGTGAGAAGGTTTGGCAAAGGGTGAAGGCGCAAAGAGGGGGAGGCGAGCAGGAGGGCAGCCAGTCACCCCCTGCTGCCTGCAGTGCTGTATGCTGTGACCATGGCTGCATGCGTTGCCAGGGAGGGGCGGCAGTTGGCCTGCTCCATGTCCTGTTGCATGGGGTGAGATTGGGTTGCATGGGGTGAGATTGGGTTGCATGGGGTGAGATTGGGTTGCAAGGGGTGAGATTGGGTTGCATGGGGTGAGATTGGGTTGCATGGGGTGAGATTGGGTTGCATGGGGTGAGATTGGGTTGCATGGGGTGAGATTGGGTTGCAAGGGGTGAGATTGGGTTGCATGGGGTGAGATTGGGTTGCATGGGGTGAGATTGGGTTGCATGGGGTGAGATTGGGTTGCATGGGGTGAGATTGGTTGCATGGGGTGAGATTGGGTTGTATGGGGTGAGATTGGGTTGCATGGGGTGAGATTGGGTTGCATGAAGGTGAGATCGGGTTGCATGGGGTGAGATTGGGTGCATGGGGTGAGATTGGGTTGCATGGGGTGAGATTGGGTTGCAAGGGGTGAGATTGGGTTGCATGGGGTGAGATTGGGTTGCATGGGGTGAGATTGGGTTGCATGGGGTGAGATTGGGTTGCATGGGGTGAGATTGGGTTGCATGGGGTGAGATTGGGTTGCATGGGGTGAGATTGGGTTGCATGAAGGTGAGATCGGGTTGCATGGGGTGAGATTGGTTGCATGGGGTGAGATTGGGTTGCATGGGGTGAGATTGGGTTGCAAGGGGTGAGATTGGGTTGCATGGGGTGAGATTGGGTTGCATGGGGTGAGATTGGATTGCAAGGGGTGAGATTGGGTTGCATGGGGTGAGATTGGGTTGCATGGGGTGAGATTGGGTTGCAAGGGGTGAGATTGGGTTGCATGGGGTGAGATTGGGTTGCATGGGGTGAGATTGGGTTGCATGGGGTGAGATTGGGTTGCATGGGGTGAGATTGGGTTGCATGGGGTGAGATTGGGTTGCATGGGGTGAGATTGGGTTGCATGGGGTGAGATTGGGTTGCAAGGGGCGAAGGTGTGAGATTAAGGTTGCAAGAGAATGCATTGCATCGAAAAAAGCCACATTGACAAACCGTTACACAGTCACTTAAATCCCGTTACACACTCGCTCACACCTCGTTACACTCGCTCACACCTCGTTCCACTCACCTCGCTGACTTTGATCGCTTCATCATACAGCCCCCCTTCAGTAAACGCCTCGATGAGAGCATTAAAGGTCCTCAGAGACGCATCAGCAGGATACGGATCAGCGGAGGAGGTGGAGGAGGCGGAGGGAGAGGAGGTGAGGGCGGGGGAAGAGAGCGAGACAGCTGTGTTTCCCGCACTTGCGGTGGTGTCATCACTCACACCACGTTACACTCACCTCGCTGACTTCGATTGCTTCATTGTAAACGCCTCGATAAGAGAATTGAAGGTCCTCAGCTCAGAGACGCATCAGCAGGGGGTAACGACCAGAGCCACCAGTGAGAGAAGGAGAAGACTTTTGAGACGCCTCAAAGACCCTCAGAGGCGCATCAGCAGGGTATGGGCCAGCAGAACCACCGGTGAGAGAAGGAGAGGAGGGAGAGGACTTTTGAGGTGTCTCAAAGACCCTCAGAGACGCATCAGCAGGGGGTGCGGACCAAAACCACCAATCACACTCACCTCGCTGACTTTAATCGCTTCGTTGTAGAGCCCCCCTTTAGTGAACGCCTCGATAAGAGCATTGAACGTCCGCAGAGACGCATCAGCGGGATACGGATCAGAGGAGGAGGCGGAGGAGGAGGAGGAGGGAGAGGAGGTGAGGGCCGGGGAAGAGAGCGAGACAGCTGTGTTTCCTGCATTAGCTGTGTCTCCTGACAAAAATCCCCCTGCTGCTGCTCCTGTTGTTCCTCCTGCTGCTCCTGCTGCTGTGCCTGCTGCTGCTCTCCCCCCATCGGATTGCATCATGAGAGCAAAGACGAACGCTGCGTCGTCGTGCATGCCCCCTGCTGCATACGCCTCCATGAGCGCGAGGAAAGGACCCTGTGGGAAGGGGGGGGGTAGGAAGGGTACATAGAGTATGGCAGATGCTACTGTCACTCACTGCCACAGTCTGCATCGTCGTGCATGCCCCCCGCTGCATACGCCTCCATGAGGGCGAGGAAGGGACCCTGAGGGAGGGAGCGGGGAAGATGGGAGGTGTGGGGGAAAGGGAGATGAAAGGAATGCTGCTGCTCCTGCTGCTGCGCCTGCGCCTGCTCCTGCTGCTGCCTCTCTCCCCCCATCAGATTGCATCATGAGGGCAAAGACGAACGCTGCATCGTCGTGCATGCCCCCTGCTGCATACGCCTCCATGAGCGCGAGGAAGGGACCCTGTGGGAGGGAGGCAGGCAAGGTGGGGGGAAGGAAAGATAAAGGGATGGATGTAACTCCACATAGGGATGAGCAAGGGGCGAACACAAACATGTTCGTGTTCGCCCCTACACGAACACATCCGTGTTCGGTTCGGCGAACACTTTTAGCAAAAACAGGTGTTCGCCGTTCGCCTGTGAACAGCGTGTTCGGGCGAACCTCGAACACGTTCGTGTTCGTCGCGGGGCAAATTGCAGCAGCGGCCCGAACACGAACAAAAACACTTTAAGCAAAAAAAACAAGCCTGTTCGGTTCGCCTCGAACACGTTCGAGGCAAACCGAACAGGTGTTCGTTTTTTTGCTCAACCCTAACTCCACACACGACCAGCACGCGCAAAAGAAGCGGCAGAAGCAGAAGCAGCAGAGCTATTTTGGCTGCCTGAATGCTGGGAGATGCGGCTCCTAAAGCTCACAATTATAATAGCTCACCGGCTGGTCTGAGAGTCCCATCTCCATGCTCTCATGCAGGGCCGTCAGTGCATGGTCGTACATGCCCGCCTGCCCATACGCCTACCTGCCTGGTTGCCCTTTCATCTTCCCAGCTCATCCACTCACAGGCTGGTCTGAGAGTCCCATCGCCATGCTCTCGTGCAGCCCTGTCAGTGCATGGTCGTGCATACCTGCCTGTCCATACGCACTTAGTGCATATCATATCCTACCGCTTCTACTGTTCCCTTGCTCCACCCACTCACCGGCTGGTCTGAGAGTCCCATCTCCATGCTCTCGTGTAAGGCCGTCAGTGCATGGTCGTACATGCCCGCCTGCCCATACGCGCTTATCAGAGCCTCCATTAACGAGGATGACGGCTGCACTTGTGAGCGCTCCCGCATGAACCTGATTGGAAGTGGGGGACAGTGGGAGAGAGAGAGAGAGGGGGGGACCTCAGCTATTGCCTGCCCATACGCGCTTATCAGACAGAGCCTCCATCAACGAGGACGACGGCTGCACTTGTGAGCGCTCCCGCATGAACCTGATTGGAAGTGGGGGACAGTGGGAGAGAGAGAGAGAGGGGGGGACCTCAGCTATTGCCTGCCCATACGCGCTTATCAGACAGAGCCTCCATCAACGAGGACGACGGCTGCACTTGTGAGCGCTCCCGCATGAACCTGATTGGAAGTGGGGGACAGTGGGAGAGAGAGAGAGAGAGAGAGGGGGGGACCTCAGCTATTGCCTGCCCATACGCGCTTATCAGACAGAGCCTCCATCACGAGCAGAGAAGTAAACGCGCCTTCATCCACCTCCACCCCATCCTCCTCCTCAACCCCTATTCCCTTCCTATGTGACTCAATACAACACTATTCACCTGTATATTTCCGTTGCTTCAGTTGTGAGCCCCCCTAATCCACACGCCACGAGCAGAGAGGTGAACGCCCCTTCGTCCACCTCCACGCCATCCTCCTCCATGTCCCAGAACAGCCGTGAAGCTTCTCGGAAGAACCCTCCAGAAATAAAAACGTCTAGCAGGGTCCGGTACGTGGCGAGGTCGGGTTTCCTCCCAGAGGCCTTCATTTGGGTGAAAACGGATCGCACGTGGTGGTAGCTGCCGTTGGACCCGAGGGCCTTGAGGAGCGCCGTGTAGGTGGCCACGTTGGGAATGCAGCCGGCCTGCTGCATCTCGTTGAACACCTGATGTGTGGGACGGGGGGGAGGGGGAAGGGAGGAGGAGGGGGGAGGGGGGGCGGAGCAGGGGAGGAGGAGAAGAGAGGGGAGCAGGGAGGGAATAAGGAGGAAAGGGGAGGTAAATTAGGTTTCCGGCCAGAGGCCTTCATCTGGGTGAAGACGGAGCGCACGTGGTGGTAGCTGCCGTTGGACCCGAGGGCCTTGAGGAGCGCCGTGTAGGTGGCCACGTTGGGGATGCAGCCGGCCTGCTGCATCTCGTTGAACACCTGATGTGTGGGGAGAGGGGGAGGTAGAGGAGAGAAGGAGCAGGGAAGGCGCCTCAGAACTCGCCTCAGAACTCGCCTCAGAACTCGCCTCAAAAGTTGCCTCAAAAGTTTACACGTGTTGTCCATGTAATACATGGTGCTGCATGGTGCTGCATGGTGCTGCATGGTGCTGCATGGTGATGCATGGTGCTCAAAAGCTCTGGCACAAGCGTCCCTCCTTTTGAGGCGCCTCAAAAGATGTCTCCTGTCTCGCGGAAGAATAATTATTGCATGGAAGTGTGAGCGTCACCTTCAGCGGTTACTTGTAAGGGCGCGGTTACCAAAGTCACTCGCCAATACGCATGTATTGTTTTTCAACCTGGCAGAACAAGCGTCCATTCTCACCTCTCGAGCTGCTTGGTATTCTCCTCCCCATGCATAAGCATCGATGAGCATGTTGTAAGCTGACATGTCAGCCACCACGCCTTCCTTTCGCATGGCACATGTGCTGCTTTATGCTTACCACCAGAGATCCAATAAACACGTATCACATGCCCATTCTCACCTCTTGAGCTGCTTGGTACTCTTCCCCCCTTCCCATGGCACATGTGCTGCTTCATGCTTACCACCAGAGATCCAATCAGCACGTATCAGTGTATGACACGCCCATTCTCACCTCCTGAGCTGCTTGGTACTCTCCTCCCCACGCGTAAGCATCGATGAGCATGTTGTAAGCTGACACGTCCGCCACCACGCCTTCCTATGACACATGTGCTGCTTTATGCTTACCACCACTGATCCAATCCAATCAGCACGTATCATCCAATCAGTGAGAGTATCAGTGTATGACACATTCATTCTCACCTCCTGTGCCGCTTGGTACTCACTCTCCCCCCCATGCATAAGCATCGATGAGCATGTTGTAAGCCGACACGTCAGCCACCACCGGGCAAGCAAAGGTACATGTGCACAGTAGTAGTAAGCATGTATTCTCACCTCCTGTGCCACTTGGTACTCTTCCCCCCACGCGTAAGCATCGATGAGCATGTTGTAAGCCGACACGCCAGCCACCACACCACAGGGCAAGGGCAACTGTTTCCATTCTTACCTCCTGTGCCGCTTGGTACTCTCCCCCCCATGCATAAGCATCGATGAGCATGTTGTAAGCCGACACGTCAGCCACCACAGGGCAAGGGCACGTGTGTGTGGATATATCAGTGGTTAATTCTCACCTCTTGAGCTGCTTGATATTCACCCCCCCATGCATAAGCGTCGATGAGCATGTTGTATGCTGACACGTCAGCCACCACCCCTTCCTCCTCCGACATCTCCTGGAACAGACGACGCACGCCGCCCAGCTGCCCGCCCCGGCGGTGCGTGTCGACCAATGAGGCGTACGAGAGGGCGTTGGGCGGCACCTGGTAGGGAGAGAATGGAAGGGCCGGGAAATTTTGGCTTTTATGGACCCTTTGTTGTGTGGACTAGGTCACTAGGCCAGCCATGGGATTCATAAGAAGCGTCAGAAGAGTATGTAACAACATGGTGTCATAAGAATATCATCAGGGCAGAGAGGCTACATGTTGACTAGGCCAGCAGTAGCCGAGAGGCACCCTTACCTGGGAGGCAACCATAGAGCGGAAGACCATAGCTGATTGCTCCACAAGCGAGCGTGCATTGCAAGCTGCTAGCAGCGTGTTGAACGTGACTATGTCGGGCTGGTGAGAGGGGGTGACGGGGGGGAAAGGGGAAGAAAAAGGGGGGGGGGGGAGAGAGGTTAAGGAGCAAGAAGCAGGCTACTAGCAGCGCGTTGAATGTGACTATGTCGGGCTGGCGGGAGGATGGGGGGGAGGAGGGGGAGGGGAGGACGAGAAGAGGAGAGGCAGGAGAGGGGGAAGGGGTCAGAATCATTGCAGGCTGCTGGCAGCGTGTTGAAGGTCACTATGTCGGGCTGATGGGGAGAGTGAAGGGAAGGGGGGAGGGGGAGGGGTGGGGAGGTTAGGAAGGAGGGAGAATGAGCATGGAGCATTGCAGCCTGCTAGCAGCGTGTTGAATGTGACCATGTTGGGCTGGCGGGAGACGGAAAGGCTGGTGGGGGGAACGAGAGTGGGAAGGAAGGAGGGGTGAGGAGGGGAGAGACGGGGGAAAGAGCATTGCAGGCTGCTAGCAGCGTGTTGAACGTGACTATGTTGGGCTGATGGGAGGATTGAGAGGAGGGGATGAGAGAGGGGAGTGAGAGGAACAGAAAAGGGGGTGGGGGAGAGTGAGAAACTGGCACTGCAGGCTGCTAGCAGTGTGTTGAACGTTACTATTCGGGCTGGTGGGAGGAGAGTGAACAAGAGGCAAGGGGGGTGCGGAGAGTGAAGATGGGTCACTCACTCCGCCTCATCAGCCTGAGAGGGGAGGGAGCGGGAGCATGGCTGCAGGCCCTACCTTTGACCCCGGACCTTTGCTTCTCACCGGGACAATTCCGAGCAGCCCTGGCCTTCCGCATGGGCATCCGACAGAATGTACCCACTGTGTGCGAGTGTGGAGAACTCGTAGCCGACTGCAGCCTACCCAACCACCTACTCCGCTGCAGCACAGGCCCCGACAGGACACGCACACACAACCAGCTAGCTTTTGCCGTGGCTAAAATGGCAAGGGAAGCACAGCTGGTGGTATACCTGGAGAACGCCATGTACTCACCGCCGGATGACCCGAAGAAAGCCGATGTGATTGTACGCGACCCGGACAGTGGAGAGACTTGGATCACAGACACCACTATCACAGACCCCGTGCTGCAGAACCGGGACCCCAAAGCCCGCAAACCCCCAGGCTGGGCTGCTAGAGAGGCACAGAGGCGGAAGGAGAGGGAGTACTACCGACACACGGAACACGTGGTGTTCTGCGCCCTAGCCGTCGAGACCTACGGGGCAAACGCGCCCACCACGACTGCGTTCCTGAAGCTGCTGGCCACAGCAGCAGCTAGGAACCGGTTCAGGGCCAACCCCCTGGCGAAATCGGCCAAGAAGATGGCCTGCCACTTCAGCCAGCGCTGGTCAGTGGCCCTCCAGCGCTCCCAGGCTAATGCCCTGCACACCAAGGCCAGGGCTGGGATCGAGGCAGCGCACCCCCAGATGGCAGCGGACCCCTGGCCGCTGCACCTGGGGGACATCCTCCACACGCTGGAGGGCTAGAGGGTCACTCAGGGGGGGGGGTGAAGAGTGGTAAGTTTTGGGGCTTAAGGGATAGAGGTTATCATGGATAGCACCGCATGTTTGTACCCCTGCTGAATTAATACAAAGGACCGTTTGAAGATGGGACATTGCTAAACACTCCTACACACTCCCACACACTCCCTCTCCCTCTCATTCCCTTCCCTCCCCCCTCTCCATCTCACCTGCACGCCCTCCTGCCTCATCTTGGCGAATATATCAACGAGCCCATCCCAGGGCATGGCGCCCTTGGCAACCCAGACTCATACAAAATGCAAGGCACAATATCACGTTCCCACACACTCCATCTCCATGATGCCGATCATGATGGTGTAGATGTACTCGTTGGGCGCACACCATTGCTGCCGCTGCACGCACACAACAACAACAACACAGGAAATACAAGACATCAAGGGCACAAGGAAAACAACCGAAACTCAGTGCTGCTGCTGCTGCTGCTGCGTGCTGCCTCAGTAACCGAGTGGGCTGAAAAGGCAACCTTATGCCTCGATACTTCTTTTCAAACTAGTCGCATCGCATGGTACTCCCATGTACTCTATCCCAGACAACTCTGGCGGCTGCTAGAGTCGAGAAATACCCATCCGCACCCACCGAACCTTCCCTCCCCTCCCCCCCCCCACACCCCCCCCCCCCCCCTCCCCCCCCCCAGAATCGCCCTCCCCACCTGCATGTACTTGAACAGGCGCATGGCGCGGATCCCATCGCCAGCTGCGTACACCTCAACCCACTCCCCATTCTCCCCTCCCCCCACATCACACCTCCTCCCCCACCTGCATGTACTTGAACAGGCGCATGGCGCGGATCCAATCTCCCCTTTGCGCGAACTCCTTGAAGATCAGCGCATAAGTCCTGGGGAGGAGGGGAGAGGGGGGGAGGGGGAGGAGGGGGAGGGGAGGGGAAGCGGGTGGGGAGGAAGGGAAGAAGTGGGCTTGGGGTTTGGGAAGTGAGAATGGGGCAATGGCGAGAGCGTGGAACGCGTTGGGGAGAAATCTTGGCGAAAAACCAAGGAGAGAGGGGTTGGGGGCTTACTGCAGCTCGCCCTAAACCCTACCGGCAGCGCCAGCTTCCCCTTAAACGTCTCCAGATACAAGTCGGCTCAAACTTCCCCTCACTACTGCCGGTGGCTGAAACCCTAATCGATGTAGACGGCTACCACCAACCCTCATTTCTGTAGATAACCCTCGCTAACCCTACCGGCAGCGTCAGCTTCCCCTTGAACGTCTCCATGCATCGCGAGATGCTGCCACGTGGCGCCAGCGACACGAGATTGCTGATCACCGCCTCGAGCTCGTACGGAATCTTTCCGCCTCCCGATCTCCCCGCGCCCCCCGCGCGCCCGCTCGGCGGAGCGAGCTTCTGCTTCCGATCCCGCGGCGGCGCGCGGGTTCCGCCTTCCGCCGCAGCCACCACAACGTCCGCGCGCGCCAGCGCACTCGGAAGGCGGAGAGGTTCCCCCTTTCCCCCTTTTCGGCCAGGCACGGCACTGGTACCGCGGAACGCATTTTCACCGCCTATTCGCTCAGCTGGTGACGAGATTTTTAAGCCCGTGAAACGCGGAAGCACGGCGGAGCGATGGCGGCTCGACGACTGACAGTGGACGTCTGGAGATGAACGGAAGATGCGCGGAAGCGAAAGTTGCGCGGCCGCGGACGCCATTGTTGCGGACAAGCAGTTTTCACAGGAATGGAGGAAATGATGCTATTTACAATGCAATGAGAGGAAACGCTTTATTGTCTGTTTTGTTCCTATGCGAAATACTGATGCGCTGTAGTTGGCACCAGAACCTCCTCGCTATAAGTTCTCTATTCGCGATCCTGAAGGCATGTTCTGTGTTGAAGCTTGAAGTTCATGTCGTAGGTGACGAATCTCGCGAACGGTAAGTGTCGAATGCTCCAAATTTCAAGACCAGCGTATATCCGCGCGAGCTAATTCGCGAGCCTTACACGAAAGTAACTCTCAGTCGTTCTCGCATCGTCAATCGTTCAGGCCCATCAGCGACCAACTTTAGGCGGCAGCATGGCTTATCACCACACCGCCTCCTCACCCTAGAATCTGCAGAACACTTTTCTCTTTGCCATCTTCACCGTTTAAAGTATCATACAAACCGTTCAAAATATTATAAACACCGTGCAGCGCATGCCGTCTGCTAGTGCACTTTCCAACCCTTTCACCAACCCATCTATTTTATTAGTATTCTAATTAACTAGCTGTTGGGGCAACCATAACATTCCTAACAGGCTAACTTGTAGGAGCAGGAGACTAACGACCTGTAGGCTAGCGACAACAGGTAGGCTGCGACAGCCCAGCGCTGGGTTGTTGCTGAATGCGAACAGTGCAGCAACGTGCGACGATGTTTTCGCGTCGCACGTCCGGCGTTCCCGTGAACGAATGTCGCTGACTGGTGTACGACACTGTGCACTTGATTAAACCCGAATTAACGAAAACAAGCTCGACCGCTTGTGCTAGTAGCGAAATGGCTATAAGGCGAATATTCTTGGAACTTCCCTGGCGCCGCTATTCCGCCGCTTCACCAGCACTCCGCAGCGCCGCTTCTTCAGTGCACCTCGCCTTACTATCCTCCCCAGCGAACTTTTCGGAAACTCGGAACCAGCTCACCCTTCACACATCATTCTCTTCACTCAGGAGACTGTTCTGCCTGTGCTTACTCTACCTCGTCGCATGCTTGGCGTCGCACGCGTCGCCAGCTGTCGCCGCACGACCAACCACTGGTGCGACCTCGCATCCCCACCTTTCATCCCTCACTCTTCCCCACACCTTCCCCCTCCCCTCTCCCACCTTCTCCCCTATCTCTCCCCTTCTCCAACCATCTCCCTTTTCGTCCCCCCCCCCCCCCCCCCCCCCCCCCGCCCTTCTTCCCCTTGGTTTATTTCCTTCATATCATATTCCCAAACAAACCCTCGCAGTCCTTCCCTCCTCACAACTCCCCTCTGCCAGTTCTGCCATGTCCCTCCCCTGTCACACACACCCACACCCAGGTCCCTCCCCGTCCGTCCATACCCGTTCTAAGCCGCTTCAGTATACAGGGCGCAACATGCACTACACCTCATCGCATCCCATCCTTTCCCCCGTTATCCCCCTCCCTCTCCGCCCCCTACCCACCCACATGCACCCCCCACCAACACCAGTGCCCATCCGTATGGACTGTGGAAGCACAGTCGGCACAACTATAAATGGGAGTAATAGTGTCCCGCATTACCCCTTTCCCTCTCATCCCGTCCCACATTGTCCCCTTCCCTCTTCGCCCGCCCACACCAGTGCCCATCCGTATCGACTGTGGAAGCACAGTTGGCACAACCATTAACGGGATCCAATGGCAGGCAGACCAATACTTCGATATAAGCACATCTGGTAACCAGCGCAAGAACCCCACCGACCAGCGTAACGGGTTACCAGTTTCTCTCGCCCAAAACGTCGCCCTGGGGAACCTTTTATCCTCGGTAGAAGCATCTATGCGTTATTTCCCAACACTTAAGGGCTGCTACAGGGTTCCTGTATTTCCCGGGCGATACTTAGTGCGAATAGGGTTTGCTTATTATGATTACGATAACCAAAGCGCGCCGCCTTTTTTTTTAGTTAAACTGCAAAACACTGTAGTGGAGGCGGTGGATATGGGTGTAGTGGAGCAGAGGCTTGTATCAGGAGCGTACTATTCTGACTATATGGCGTATGCCCCTGGGGGAGGGACAGCCCCTGGGGGAGGGACAGCCCCTGGGGGAGGGACAGCCCCTGGGGGAGGGACAGCCCCTGGGGGAGGGACAGCCCCTTGGGGAGGGACAGCCCCTGGGGGAAATGGGGGGGGTGGAGGCGGAACTGGGATGGCAGCAGGAGGGGGGAATGGGGGGGCAGGAGTGGGAGGAGGAGGAGGAGCAGCAGGAGTGGGAGGAGCAGGAGGAGTAGGAGGAGCAGGAGCAGTGGGGTTAGGCAGAAAGGGACAGGATGTAGGGAAAGAGGGAAATGCCGCCCAGGCAGCAAAGGGTAGCAACGGAACAGAAGGGATCAGCAGCAATGGAACACCAAGGAGCAGCAATGGAACAGAGAGTAGCAGCAACGGAACCATTTCTATCTGTTTCCTCACACAGAACCCCTCCCACGCCCCTCCCATCATCAACTCCCTCGAGATTCTCCCCGTTGACTCAGAAGCTTACGACTCCGCCACCCTCGGCCCAGATATTATCCTCTCGTCTTATCTCCGGATCAACATGGGCGGCGGGCAGGTTGGGCCCGAGCCTCAGGACCCGGGGTTCCGAACCTGGATTGCGGATGTGGTTTGGGAGAAGGAGATGGCTCGGCTCGGGGGAGGTCTGGTGGGGAGGAGGAGAGGGTGGGCGAGAGGGAGAGGGATTGCGGGAACGAGAAAGCCACCTGAGTTTTTACCTGGGATGATATTTGAAGACTGGAGGTCGGCTGGGGGGTTGGAGTTGCAATCAGTGGACGGGAAGGGGCAGGGGCAGGGACAGGTGCCGGGACAGGGGCAGGGGCAGGGGCAGGGGCAGGGGCAGGGACCGGGGCCGGGGCAGGGAGGACAAGGGCAGGGGCCGGGGCAGGGGCAACAAGGACAAGGGCAGAGGCAGGTGCGTTCTCGCAGGCGACTGAGTTTCCGGGACCATGAGCTTTGCTCCAAGTGCCCTGCCCTGCTTCCCCAGATGCTCACAGAACCCTTTGCGAACCACAGCCACCTCAACAGCATGGTTCAACAACAGGAGTACGAGCATAGAGGGCAGCATGGGGGGCAGCACGGAGAGCAGCACAAGCAGCACATGCAGCACAGGCGAGTGCTCACAGGATTAGATCCCCAAGGCACAGCCGGAGCAGCAGGGGCAGCAGGGGCAGCAGGGGTAACCGGAGCAACAGGAGCAGCAGGAGCAGCAGGAGCAGCAGGAGCAGCAGGCACACTTCCTCCTCCTCCTCCTCCTTCCCCAGGAGCGCAGATCACGGGGTTCCGGATGGCTCTGATACCAGCGCACGTGTCGAACCTCTGGTACATGCGCTTCTACTTCGCCGAGATGAATGTAACTGCCAAGGTGGGCGACCGGCGGTTTGACATCCTGCTGGGGAGCGGCCGTCGGGTGGTGGCTCTGGGGAATAGAGTCGGGCTGCTGGACGGGCGAGGTGGGAAGGGGAGTGGGAGTGCTGGTGCTGGTGCTGGTGCTGGTGCTGCTGGTGGTGCTGCTAACTCGGCAGCAGAAGCAGCATTAGGATCGTCATCGTCAGCAGCAGCGGCAGCAGCGGAAGCATCGTCGGATTTCGACATTCTCTCGCACGTGCCGCCCCGCACGGCCCTCATCGTCCCCATCCTCTTCAACTTCTCCCGCTTCTCCCTCGGCCGTTCAGAGGATCTCGAGGTCCGTGTTATGCTCATTTGCTTCCGGGCTGCCTCCGCTTCTCCCACGGCCGCTCAGAGGATCTCGAGGTGTGTGTTCCTATTTTTGGGTCGACTCTAAAATAGCCCCGCACGGCCCTCATCGTGATTGAACAAGTGTTTTGAGACGTCTCAACACACTTCTTCAACCCCGCACGACCCTCATCGTGATTGAACAAGTGTTTTGAGACGTCTCAACACACTTCTTCAACCCCGCACGGCCCTCATCGTGATTGAACAAGTGTTTTGAGACGTCTCAACACACTTCTTCAACCCCGCACGGCCCTCATCGTGATTGAACAAGTGTTTTGAGACGTCTCAACACACTTCTTCAACCCCGCACGGCCCTCATCGTGATTGAACAAGTGTTTTGAGACGTCTCAACACACTTCTTCAACCCCGCACGACCCTCATCGTGATTGAACAAGTGTTTTGAGACGTCTCAACACACTTCTTCAACCCCGCACGGCCCTCATCGTGATTGAACAAGTGTTTTGAGACGTCTCAACACACTTCTTCAACCCCGCACGGCCCTCATCGTGCCCCTCCTCTTCAACTTCTCCCGCTTCTCCCACGGCCGCTCAGAGGACTTGGAGGTGCGTGTTGCTGGTAAAGCATCTTTACGTGCTCATTTGCGTCCGGGCAGCTTCCACTTCTCCCACGGCCGCTCAGAGGACCTCGAGGTGGGTTTTGCTGGTAAAGCATCATGATAAGCACATGAGCTTGTGAGCATCGTTACCAGCAAATTTGCTTTTGGGCTGCTTCCGCTTCTCCCGCGGCTCGGGGTTCATCTTGCTGCTGGTTGAGCATCATTATAAGCACATTCTTTTGTGAGCATCGCTATATGCACAATATCTTCTTTTCACCGTCAACACATTATGGGCGAACATTACTTTTAGATGGGTGTTTCTCATTGAGTCAACGCATTGGCGTATAGACACGTCAGCTCCAAGGCCCCTGACCTTGTGATTATCATCGAGGCTTCAGCTCCATCTCTCACTCATTATCACTTTGCCCTCACTTCTTGAGACGTCTCCTCACCTTGTGACTACCACTGAGGCTCAGAGCCCTATTGCTCACTTGCTCTTACTCATTCTCGCTTTGCCCTCGCCTCTTGAGACGTCTCAAGACATGTCAACTCCGTGACTCCTCACCTCATGATTACCACTGAGGCTCAGAGCCCCATCTCTCACTTGCTCCCACTCATTCTCGCTCTGACCTGGCTTTTCCCTTGTACCCCGACCAGGTAGGCGTGCGCACTGCAGCCAATAGCACGCTGCCAGCTGTCCTGAGTGCTGTGGAGCTATTCGAAGTGGTGCCAGTGTCCCTGGAGAAAGAGGAGGAGGAGGGAGAGGAGGGAGGAGAGGAGGTGAATGTGGTTCAAGGTGGAGGAGGGGGAACTGCAGCAGCAGCAGTGAGTGCAGCAGAAGCATCGCCACCGGTCGGAATAAGCAATGGTGAGAGCAGTGCCAGAGGAAGGGGAGGTCAGTGGACTGATGATGACTTGGGGAAATTGAATATTGTTGATGCTTTGTACTGTGATTTTTAATCGGCAGTGTACTTTGCCGTCATGTTCCGCTGCATTGCTGGTGCTTGTTGTCATCTTCGTGCCTGACTCTTGTTTCTGCGTCTCGTTTACAGGAATGCCCATTTGGTTGATAGTGGTCATTGTGGTGGGGAGTGTTCTTCTGCTGCTACTCGTGATACTTGCGGTCTGGTGGTGTTTACGTGGCAATCATAGATTCAAGCGCTTAGGTAAGGGCCGTGCAGCGCGTCAAGCGCACATTTGCACTTTCCCAATGTCCTGTTTCCACAATTGTGCTCATGTGTTGTGCATGTTTGCGGTGTTTTTTGTTTCATCTTGCAGAAGATGAGGCTTGATGCCACACGATTTCGACACGATTATAACAGGTGTGCAACTTCAGCATGAGGCGGTACATCATGCTGTGGGAGCAAGTTCATTCTTACACCACATACGGTAAGCCAAATGAAGATTATGTTAGCTGATTATGACTGCTATTTGTTTTGAAGGAATGTGACAACAATATCCTATTACGGAAAGGATAGTGAGCTGTACCTTGGAAATTCTATCAGCCGTTGACTTTGCTGAGCTGGCCTTTGTGCTTGGTTATTGGCGGGAAACCTCTCTTTCGCGTCGCGTATTGGCAAGCCGTGTCGGCCATGGTCTGACAGGAGTGTAGTACACTGACGGCTTGGCGAAGTTACGTGTGGGTAGTGCCTCATCGCTGGAACAAAACAAAATCATTCGCGACAGCCATGATGTCCGCAAACAGTCGCAACTTGACATAGCACTTCCACAACAATCGTTCGCGACGAGAGCATACCGTCGATCTTGGATATCTAGCCGTCGGGTACTACCTGGACTTCGCGCCTAGCCTTCGCAACTCGTCCAGTCTCCGTGACCTTTCGCAACAGTCGCCAAGGCCGACTCCATTCAGACATCTGAATGCATTCCTCTCGTAGCTTTCAGTTGCCTTGTTCTTCTCCAGCATCATCCGTGTGCCTGGAATCCTTAGAAAACATTACCGCATTCTTGAAGGCTTTATCTGCCTGCAACATGTGTTTGTCTTGTCTCGCCTCTCAGTTGTCTTTCAACTCGCTGTTTGGGTAGTCATAACGTTTGAGCGTCTCTCGCAATTCTGCGAAAGTATTCAGGGTTCCTAAGCGGTTCTTGCACGTAGTTGCAGCATGCTGGCGTAGCGCGCATAACGAAAGGATTGTTCCACTATTAGTAAGAGTAAATAGTCCTAGGAGAATGTTCATTGTAGCGGACAGGAGAGGCGCTCTGACTAAGGAGCAGACGCTAGAGACGATATTCGATTTTATCCCAGGAAATTCCGTAGGAGGAGCAACAGCACCGCGCGGAACAGCACCGCCAAGGAGACACACAACTGGCCATGGCTCCTCCTCCTCTTCATCCACTTTCTCATCCTCATCAACGTCCGCTTCTTCCTCCTCGCAACCCACCAGCGTTCCGCACTCCGCTTCCCGCACAGTCTCGCTTCCCCAGCTCTCCACCACCACCCTAGATTCCCCTCCCACTTCCTCAACAGATTCCGTTCACACTGTCAAAAACTCCGTTCAAACCGTGACAGATTCCATCGCCGCTTCATCCGTTTTCCCGTGCACGGACTCCGTTCGCACCTCGTTTGATTCCTCTCTCCCACGCGTATCCAACCCTGACCCAGCACCCACCGAGATCCCTCAACATGAAACTCCCCAACCGCAGCAGCAACGAACCTCTTCCTCTCCAGAATCAGCCGATTCCGGCTCATTCAGATTCACCATTTCGCCAGCGCTCTCTAATCTGAACCATCCGTTATCCCCTTCTCTCAGTTCACCAGCGGCCGAGATTATCCCGTCACCTGCTCCCTTCGGTCCCGCCGTCTCTGCTAGATACGGCCCGTCTCTCCCGCCGCCTGTCGAGCTCGGCCCTTCCGTTACCACCACCCTCGGCTTTTCCAGGTCTCGCTCTTTCCCAGCTAAGTGCGAAACGCTTAGCAAAGACATTCGCGAAGCGATTACGACAGCTGACGAAAATGGCGATATGTTCGTTGAGCCGCGCGAGGTTACAGAACCTCAGGTGTCTGGTAACAAACAGAGCGACCAATCAAATGGAGTTTCCCAGATTTCAGGTGGTTCGTCGTTCGTCGTAGTAGAGTCCGTTGACGGGTCGTCGCAGTCGTCGCAGTCGTCGCAATCGGATGGTCCAGGTCAAGACGGTCAAGCCATTCAAACCGGTCAAACAGGTCCAGCAGGCAATGTCTCTCACATCTCCTCTCCTCCGCGAGTAGCGCCGCAGATATTGGTGGTCCCTGATGTCGAGAGCCCTTGCACGGGAACAACCAGCATCCCATCGTCCTCGTTACATCATGCTTCGATTGAAGCGCCAGTCCTTTCGTCTTCTTGCGGCTGTTGTGGAGGGTTGGGCCTGGGGGAAGCGGAATCGGGAATGAGTGACGGCGGGGATGCGGCGAGGGGGAGAGTTGGTCGGCGGTGCTGCGCCGCGGCTAGGCGGAGACTGGATTGGGGGGAAGCGGCGGACGAACGTTCCGCAAGTGAGGGGGGAGCCGCTACTAGAGCCGCGCCGGAAGCTGCGGTTTTAGTGCGGAGCAGGAAGCGTATTTCAGTACACGTGGCAGCTCGGGAGGGGGACGTAGAGGCGCTGCGCGATGCGCTAACAGTTAGACCTGGTGCTATCAACGAGAGGCAATTGCCGGTGAGCGGAAGGAAATGAAGCTGTGGGTGACCTGCAATAATCCATCAGACAGCCTCACTGCGCAACTGCGCACGTTCCAATCCTGTCTTTTGAGACGTCTCAAAATACTTCTATCACGTGGAAATGAAAGCTGCGGGTGACTTGCAACAACCCATCGGACAGCCGCACTGCGCAACTGCGCACGTTCCAAGCCTGTCACGTCCCACTTCTGATGGATTATTCCAAGCCTGTCACGTCCCACTTCTGATGGATTATTCCAAGCCTGTCACGTCCCACTTCTGATGGATTATTCCAAGCCTGTCACGTCCCACTTCTGATGGATTATTCCAAGCCTGTCACGTCCCACTTCTGATGGATTATTCCAAGCCTGTCACGTCCCACTTCTGATGGATTATTCCAAGCCTGTCACGTCCCACTTCTGATGGATTATTCCAAGCCTGTCACGTCCCACTTCTGATGGATTATTCCAAGCCTGTCACGTCCCACTTCTGATGGATTATTCCAAGCCTGTCACGTCCCACTTCTGATGGATTATTCCAAGCCTGTCACGTCCCACTTCTGATGGATTATTCCAAGCCTGTCACGTCCCACCTCTGATGGATTATTCCAAGCCTGTCACGTCCCACTTCTGATGGATTATTCCAAGCCTGTCACGTCCCACTTCTGATGGATTATTCCAAGCCTGTCACGTCCCACTTCTGATGGATTATTCCAAGCCTGTCACGTCCCACTTCTGATGGATTATTCCAAGCCTGTCACGTCCCACTTCTGATGGATTATTCCAAGCCTGTCACGTCCCACTTCTGATGGATTATTCCAAGCCTGTCACGTCCCACTTCTGATGGATTATTCCAAGCCTGTCACGTCCCACTTCTGATGGATTATTCCAAGCCTGTCACGTCCCACTTCTGATGGATTATTCCAAGCCTGTCACGTCCCACTTCTGATGGATTATTCCAAGCCTGTCACGTCCCACTTCTGATGGATTATTCCAAGCCTGTCACGTCCCACTTCTGATGGATTATTCCAAGCCTGTCACGTCCCAGTGTCTCACTCTACCCACGTCACGCCCTTCCCATGCCACGCTTAACCCATGTTACGCCTCCCCTCGCCACCCCTCTCCACCCCTCTCCACTCCTCGTCACCCAGGTGTGTCAGACGCCTCTCCATCTCGCCGTGGCGGAGGGGCACCTCGAGGCGCTCCGCTTTCTCCTGGACTGGAGGGGGCAGTGCGGCGGGGCAGAAGTGAAAGCAGACGTGGAAGCGCGGAACATGGTGAGACGAGCTGACTGCTGTAACGGGGTTAATCAGCGTCGATTGTTGTGAGACCAGCGTGCTGAGCGCGGACGTCAAAGCACGAACCGTGGTGAGACGAGCTGACTGCTTTAACGGGGTTAATCAGCGTCGATTGTTGTGAGACCAGCGTGCTGAGCGCGGACGGACCGTGGTGAGACGAGTTGAACAAACGGCGAAGCTGTTGGCAGTGCTGTTATGGTAAAACAGGGTGCCCTCGGTTTGCGGTCAGAGTTTTGAGACTTCTCAAAAGTTTTGAGAAAACTTCTGAGACGTCTTCAAAGACGCTGTTAGCAGTGCTGTTCTGGTAAAACAGGATGTTGCCACCAGGTAGCAGTCAGAGTCCCTCAGAGTCTTAAGGGCAACGGGACAGTTGGAGAACCGAGTCTCCCCTTGCCCCCTTCCCCCTTCCCACCTCCCCCTTCCCCATTTCTCATTCCCCATTCCCCCGTCCCCATTCCCTCTTCCCCCTTCTCACTTCCCCCTTCCCTCTTCTCACGTCTCCCTCTCCCTTTTTCCTTCTCTGCAGTTCGGCGAGACCCCTGTGCACGTGGCGGCCAAGAGCAGCAACGCGGATGCCATTCGGCTGCTGCTACGAGCAGGCGCACTGGCGGACGTCGCTGCCACGGTAAGCTCCCTCTCTGCTCCACGATTTATTTAGAATTCTCCGAAACCAGCTTGTAGCAACGCGGATGCCATTGGGCTGCTGCTACGGGCAGGCGCTCGGGCAGACGTCGCTGCCACAGTAAGGCAGCCTTTCCGCCTTCCCGCTCCGACCCCTCTCCGCCCCTCCTCACCCCCACCCTTCATTTCGTCGTTTCCATTTCCTTTAGCTTGCTGCACCATTGAAAGAGGAAACTCTGCGTCTACAATATTCCTCCTAACTCTCTCCTCCCGAATGCCTGTTCAAACCAACCCTTTCCTTCCATCCCCCCATCCCCTTCGCTCCTACCTTCTCTATCTCATCCCCTCACCTGTCCATCTCGCCGTGTGGCCTGCTGTCCAATCCCTTATCTCTTCCCCCCACCTCGCCCTCCTACGCACTGTCCCCCCTCTCTCCTCTTTCCCCAAACCCACCATCAGAACGGCATGACTCCTCTTCATCTCGCCGTGTGGCCTGCTGTCCAATCTGCTAGTAGCAACACTGGCAGCGACACTGGTAGCAACTTCAACTGCAGCATTGCCGCCCATCCGCCTAGCAAGCCGCTAGCCACAGCAAAATCAGCACCTGAAGCGACACCTGGGCCAGCAAAGTCACCTGAATCGGCACCTGGATCACAGCAGCTAGCGCAGCAGCAGCAGCAGCAGCAGCAGCAGCACCTGACGCATAAAGCAGATCTGGCAGTCTCTCCCTCTAAACCATCTCCATTGCGCCACTCCCAAGGGGAACTCTCCCCCAAACCACTCTCCCCAGGGGAGCTCTCCCCCCGACCACTCTCCCCCTGCTCCCCTCGTCCGCTCTCCCCCCTGCCCCTCTCCCCTCGACTGCTTTCCCCGAGCGCCTATGGTTCGGCCTTCCCCACCTGCCCGCCACCCACACCATCGTCGCCCACCAGTTTCGACTCCCTGCCTGCAGCTGCTGCTGCCTCTGCTTCTGGTTCTGCTGCTGCGGACGGGTGTATGCTCTCCCCGTCCGCTGCTGCTGCTGCTGCTGCTGCTGCTGCTGCTCCTGGTGCTGGTTGTTCTGGTGTAAATGGTGGTGGTGCTGCTGGTGGAGTGAAGGGTGGTGGCAGCAGGGAGTGTGGTGGGGGAGTGGTGGCGGCTGTGGCAGTACTGCTAGAAGCCAATGCAGACCCGTGTGCTGTTGATAAGGTACGGTTTAGTGCAGTACGGAGAGGTCAAGAATGGTTCGGGATGGAAACACGCCCGTGGCTATGCTCCCCAGTCGACCCAGGTGTTCTGTGTGCCGAGAGGTGCAGGCTCTGCTGCAACAGCACACATTCATGTGCTCCTGTCCCTTTTCCTGGTGCCTCTTTCCCTCATGTCTCATCTCGACCTGTCTCCTTCCCCACACGTCGTCCCTCCTTCCCACGCCACCAGGACGGCAACACACCCATCGCGCTGCTTCCCAGCAGAGCCACACTTTGCCCTGTGTGTCGGGGGTTTTTGAGAATTCTCAAAAACACCCTAGAGCCACACTTTGCCGTGTGTGTGTCGGGAGGTGCAGGCTCTGCTGCGGCAACATGTGCTCATGCCTCTTCCCTCCCCGCACCCCCTTGGTCCCCATGCCAATGGCATCAGGACGGCAACACGCCCATGGCGCTGCTTCCCAGTCGAGCCGCACGGTGCTCTGTGTGCCAAGAGGTGCAGACTCTGCTGCAGCGATACATTCATGTGCTCCTGTCTCTCCTCCTCTCGTATCTTACCCTCGTGTCTCGTTCCCTCGTGCCTCCCACCCACTTCAGGACGGCAACACGCCCATGGCGCTGCTTCCCAGCCGAGCCACGAGGTGCTCTGTGTGCCAAGAGGTGCAGACTCTGCTGCAGCGACACGTGCTCATGCCTCTTCCCTTCCCCCGCCACCCCCTTGGGGCCCCCATGCCAATGGCATCAGGACGGCAACACGCCCATGGCGCTGCTTCCCAGCCGAGCCACGAGGTGCTCTGTGTGCCGGGAGGTGCAGGCACTGCTGCAACGACACATCAGCAGGCGAACGAGGCTGCAGGTACGATGTGCATGCCTGGATAAGTTCGGTGCATGAATATGTGTGCATGATCTGCGTATGCGTGCTGACATTAGAGTCGACTCAGGATTCAGGCTCTGCTGCAACGACACATCAGCAGGCGAACGAGGCTGCAGGTATGGTGGGCAGGCTTGGATAACGTTTGTGTCTGATATGATACAGGAAGCATACTGTAGTCTGAATAACACAATATGAAATATAGAAGCAGATTTCTTGGCAGCTGCAACATTTTGTTTTCTCTTTTCTCCCATGTGTTCCTCCCATTCGTTACAGGCTGAACTGGCGGTGCATAGAGCAAAGCTGGTAATGGATCAGCTAGAAAAGGAGCTATCCTCGTTAGTAGGCCTCCACTCGTTAAAGCAGCAGCTAAGGACATGGGGAAAGGGTCTCCTACTGGACCAAAGGCGCCGGGCACTTGGGCTGCCCGTCCCTCCCCGCCGCGCCCCACACATGGCTTTTCTGGGCAGCCCGGGCACCGGAAAAACAACCGTGGCGCGGGTGCTTGCCCGGATGCTGGCGCTGGTGGGTGTTTTACCCTTGAATAAGGTTATAGAGGTGCAAAGAACGGATTTAGTTGGGGAATATGTGGGGCATACGGGTCCGAAAACGAGGAGGAAGATCGAGGAAGCAGAAGGAGGGATTCTGTTCGTCGATGAGGCGTATAGGCTCATGCCGTGTCAAAGGAGTGAAGAGAAAGACTATGGGATAGAGGCTTTGGAGGAGATTATGACAGTGATGGATTCGGGGAAACTGGTGGTGATTTTTGCGGGGTATGCGGAGCCGATGCAGCGGGTTTTCGAGGCTAATGAGGGGTTTAAGAGGAGGGTTACTAAGTGTTTTACTTTTGATGATTTGAGCCCGAGGGAGATTGCCAGGGTGATGCTGCTGAAGATGGGGTATGGTCAGACGGGGGAACAGAGGAGATTGGGAGGTGCGGAGAAGCCGAGTTGTGAGAATTCTCGCCCTGAGGAGGAGACGCGGATTCAGCAGAAGGGGGGTGTGTCTGGGGGACAGAGGGAGCAGACGTATCTAAGGGGAGAGATGCAATGGGGAAGTAGCAAGACTGGGGAGCGAGTGGAGGAGCGAAGGAAGGAGGAGATGGAGCCACACGGGAAGCAGCGGGATGCAGGGGCGGATGAGAGGAAGGGAGGGGGACAGGGCGAGGAGTGTAGCAGTCTGGGTGGGAGGGGGATGGCATGTGACTGTAACGAGCGGTGTGGTAACCGCAGCAGCTGTGCGGCTTCGGATGGCAGCATCAGGAACGGCAGTGATGGGCCGGCAGGAGGCGGAGGGAGTATGCCCTGTGTAGCTGATGGTTCCATCAAGCAGCAACTGCAAGGAGAGGAAGTGGGGAAATGGCCGGTTGGAGTGGAGGCGGGTGGAAGAGGAGGGGATTTTGCGGATGGAAGCAGTGGCATTACCAATGAGAGCGGGAGTGGGAGTGGGAATGGGAGCGGTGGGAGCAAGGAGGAGATTGAAGCTGCAGATGACACGGACATGTCTCCGCTTACTGGCTTCAGGTGAGTCGTTCTGAATGGTGCACAGATAGATGTCTCTGCCGTATGTCCGCGTGTGATGAGTCGATTTTTGAGTGGACTCAACACATACAGAGTTACATGTCTCTTCCATATGTCGGTGCTGGTGCTGCTGGACAGTGGGGAGTGGTGATGGGTTCTTTCTTTCACCCATTTCCACCGCTTTCCACCCTCTCCACCCCCTCACACCCCACTCCAGGCTCCACTCCTCGTGTTCAGAAGAGGCATTGGCAGAGGCGATCGTAGCACACACGACAGCGAAGCAGCGCAAGGAGAGGAACGGAGGCATGGCGGTGCCGGTGCTGCTGGATGCCCGGGATCATCTGGACCTGCGGCTGCCCCTCGACTGCTGCTGCGAGGACGAGCTGATGACAATCCACATGCACGACATTGAAGCTGCTTTAGGGATGCTGCCACCGTGATGGGTGTGACAGGGTGCTTGTGAGTGTGGGGAAAGGGAGGACGAGGAGAGACGGGAGGAACGGTGCTGCTGGATGCCCGGGATCATCTGGACCTGCGGCTGCCCCTCGACTGCTGCTGCGAGGACGAGCTGATGACAATCCACATGCACGACATTGAAGCTGCTTTAGGGATGCTGCCACCGTGATGGGTGTGACAGGGTGCTTGTGAGTGTGGGGAAAGGGAGGACGAGGAGAGACGGGAGGAACGGTGCTGCTGGATGCCCGAGACCATATGGACCTGCGGCTGCCCCTCGACTGCTGCTGCGAGGACGAGCTGATGACAATCCACATGCACGACATTGAAGCTGCTTTAGGGATGCTGCCACCGTGATGGGTGTGACAGGGTGCTTGTGAGTGTGGGGAAAGGGAGGACGAGGAGAGACGGGAGGAACGGTGCTGCTGGATGCCCGGGATCATCTGGACCTGCGGCTGCCCCTCGACTGCTGCTGCGAGGACGAGCTGATGACAATCCACATGCACGACATTGAAGCTGCTTTAGGGATGCTGCCACCGTGATGGGTGTGACAGGGTGCTTGTGAGTGTGGGGAAAGGGAGGACGAGGAGAGACGGGAGGAACGGTGCTGCTGGATGTGTTGGTGCAACCCTACGGTTTGCACTCGGCTTGTTGTCCGTGTGCGTGAATGTGTGTGTGTATGGAATGGTATGAGGGCATGGAATAATATATATTTCATGCTTATAATTGTGTGTGAATGTTGAGTCATGATGTCGAGTGTGTGTGTCGAGTCAATAGCGAGTTATCGCTAGACGCGTGTTACGCGGTCGTTTGTGTCTCGCGCGCGGTTTTTATTTTGTCGTGCGCGGTTTCTATTTTGTCCTGTGTCGAACGTTCGGCGTGTCGCAGGTGTGTGCAGCAGACCCATCAAGAACTCAAGGATGAGTGTGTGATGAAGAACCCGAGCCTTGGTGTCAAGCCTCAAGTGATTTCGAAGCTCGCCAAAAGGGTACACCTCAAGATATTGAAGATAGTTACATTACTTTGTGTAGTGTAACATTTCACTTGGTGTAGGCCCTAGTGAAGGGTACTTTCGAGACCCTTCGTGGTTGGGGACAGTGTGGCACTGTTCCACATCACTGTATCTCGGCTCTTGGGGTTTGTAGGAGCTGGGAGTCATTCCCAACTCGTAACTCTTCCTATCTTATGTTCTAAGACTATAGTGACTGCCATAGTACCGTTCGTTCAAACCGACGCCGTGTCGTCAATTCTTTATCAAATCGTGCAATCTAAATTGCTAATTGTAGACGACGTGAAGACGCTCCAGATCCAATTTGAATCAAGTCATTTGCAACTGTGAGCAGAACGCTACCAACGTTTGAAGTCGCTGTGCAGAAATCCGTCTGTGCTCTCTATCTTTCGTTTTAGGCACATTCAAGCCTATTGTGACTATAACAAGTGGTATCAGAGCCCCTTGGAGCAGTTTCGACAATGTCTGGACCTGAGGAAAGGGGTGGCAGAGGTGCTGGTGGCAGTGGAGAAGCTCAAGCTCAAGGCCAACCCCGTGATTCAGCCATGGCGCCCATGCAACCAAGTCTTGGCCCACCTAGGGATGAGCCTAGGGTGTTTGGGCTTGACAAGTTCAACGGTGACAACTTTGCTGAATGGTCCTTCAAGATGGAGAACATCTTTGACCACTATGACCTGCTGGAGGTGATGGAAGGAACGGAGAAGCGCCCCGAGAACGACCCGGAGAAGAGCCCGTGGGTGCGGAAGAGCGCACAAGGCTATCTCTTACTTGGGCAAGCGTTGGGGAGCAGTCAGATCCGTCACATCAAGCCATTCCAGCGTGAACCAGAGAAAGGACCAAAGGCATGGGCTGCTCTCAAGGGTGTACATGCTCCTGCAACAGCGGCGGTAGCGGTGGTGTTGGAACGGCAAATGGCGGCACTACGAATTGAAGAAGACGAAGCGGTTGAAGAAGGGGTGCAGAAATTCTTCGACTTGTTGACGCGGCTTGAGGGAGCTGATTTGAACTACAGTGAGCTCCAAAAGAAGACCAAGTTGCTGGCTTTACTCCCAGAGTCATGGTCCTCGCTCATCATCAACCTTAATCGCGATTTGCCCCGCCTCTCGCTTGAAGACGTGAAGCGAGCTATCCTTCAAGAGGATTTCCGCCGCCGTGAGTTGGCGAGTGCGGATGGCGCTGGGGCAGCGAGCATCGGCCGTGGATATGGTCGAGGAAGAGGCAGAGGACGAGGGGGAGGAAGGTTTGGTGGCAGCAACTTCGGCGAAGGCCGCAGGAGTGGTGGTTACGGCAGCGACGACAAGAGCTACGGACGCGGTCGCGGCCGATTCGACGGCGAGTGTCACTATTGCCACAAGAGCGGACACATGTGGCGCGACTGCTACAAACTCCCTGATGGTTGGACCCCTGCTCAAGGCCAAGAGGGTAGAGGAGCAGGAGGAGGGAGAGGACGAGGCCGTGGAGGCCGTGGCGGTCGCGGTGGCGGAGCTGCAAACATGAAGAGCGGAGACAACGACAAGGACCCGAGCGACGATCGATACCCGGGTCTATTCTACTTCGTGTCGACGCAAGTACCGGCTGGTCCAGAGAAGGATGAAGGCTTTGAGGAGCCAGCAGCTGTGGGGAAGGTGACCCTACACCCCCTGGACTATTGGGTGATTGATAGTGGCGCTACCTATAGCATGACACCTCGCCCGGACTTGCTCACCGAACTCGAGCCGTCACCGGTGAAGCATGTCACATCGGCTTTGGGGCAGCGAGCAGAGGTGAAAGGCATGGGCAAGGCCATGTTCAAGGGTGCTGATGGGAAGATGGTGGGCCTCAAGAACGTGCTTTGGGTGCCCAGCCTTGCTGCAAACCTGATTTCCGTGCGGCGGTTGGCAAAGGCCGGCATGGACACGAACTCGAAGGGAGCCAAGACCTACACCGCAAGGCTTGGCGATCGAATTCTTTGGGACCTTCATGAGGACAGGGATGTCTACAACGAGATGTGGCAGATCCCAGTGGTCCCTATGCCTAAGGAGAGGCAAGTGGCAGCAAGCATCAGCACCAAGGATGGAGCGGTCGGTAGCGACGATGGCGCGAACGGTCGCGCTAAGGAGAATGAGCTCAAGAAGAGCAAACCTGGAGGGACCAGCAAGTTCAGTGAACCTAAGGAGAGTGGTGCAGCAACCAAGGAGCAGCAAAAGGGTGAGGAGAACTCAGAGGCAGCAGCGGAGGAGGACTACGGAGAGAGTATGTGGGGCGCTATTGCGAGCGCGGCATTCTCCAATCCAACTTCGGCTACGGGGGAGTGTGATTGGCTCACCTTGCTTCGGCGCATGGGGCATGTGGCCCTGCCCATCTTGCAGCAGCTAGTGAAGAATGAGATGGTTGCTGGCATACGTGTGAAGGGGGAGCCCGATGAGGTGCTTGGCTGCCCGACGTGCATTCAAGCAAAGTTCACCCGGTTTCCGTTCCCTAGTTCGGAGGCAACGGCAAAGGCACCGCTTGATGAGGTGGTGATGGACGTGGTGGGCCCCCTGAAGCTTGGAGCTGCTGGAGCTGAGTATTTTCTCACCATTGTCGACGTCTACACCCGCATGACTTGGGTCTACGTGCTGGCCAAGAAGAGCGACGTGGCTGAAACGTTGAAGACGGATTGGTTCCCGATGGTGGAGCGGCAACAAGACCGTCTAGTCAAGTCAATCCGCACCGATCGAGGGGGAGAGTTCCTGAGCAAGGAGTTTGGGTTGTGGCTGAAGAAGAATGGTATTCGGCACTCCCTCACCATGTCATACTCCCCTGCAATGAACGTCATCGCAGAGCGAGCGAACCGCACAATCACGGAGGCGGCACGCGGGTTGCTTATTGAAGTCGGGCTACCCGACTATTTCTGGCCTGATGCGGTGCGGAGCGCGTGTGTGGCCAAGAACAGAGTCTTGACTCATGTGGGAGCAGACAAATGGGTGCCCTATGTGGAGTGGCTAGGAAGGAAACCAAAGGTGGATATGCTTCGGGTGTTCGGGTGCATGTGCATGGCGCTCGTGCCTAAGCATCTTCGGCACAACAAGCTTGGTGCCAAGGCGGTGTGGGCCGTGCACTTGGGCATGGCTCAAAACAGCAAGGGATGGCTTCTTTGGGACCCATTCACCAAGAAGTTCTTGGTGAGCAGGGACTGCAAGTTCATGGAGAACTTCATGTACAAGGATTGGAAGGCGGAGAATGAGGCGAAGATAGGCGTGCGGTTTGGGGAGGTGAAGAGTTCCGGTTTGGAGCATGTGGAGCTGCCTTTGGAGCTGAGCAGCGGCAGCACAACCACAAGGCAATCCTCCCTTGTGAATGGGGGAGAGGAGGCCAATGATGCAGAGGAAGAAGAGGAGGAGGTGCAGCAAGTGAGCGAGCGTGCACCGTCACTCCCTTCCCGTACTACGAGTGCTCCACGGATTCGAGCCACACCGCAGCAACGCCAAGGCCTTCAAGTCCCTGCAGCTGAGGAGGAAGGAAGGAGGAAGAGGAGAGTTCAACCCCCTAATAGGCTGACTTATGATGCGCCGGGAAAGCAGAGCAAGACAGCCCTGGCCGGAGCGGCAATGATGGTCGGAGACGACGAGGAGAGTGACTACGAGGAGTGTGCCTTCGCGTTCTTCTCTCCGGTGGAGATGCCGGGAGAACCAGCAACTCTCAAGGAGGCTTTGGAGAGTAGTGATGCTGAGGAGTGGAAAAAGGCCATGGAGAGTGAGCTGAAGAACATCGAGGAGAATGACACGTTTGAATTGGTGGAGCTACCGGAGGGGCGTACGGCGATAACGTCCAAGTGGCTCTTCAAAATCAAGGCGGATGCCGACGGCAAGATCGAGCGCTACAAGTCTAGGCTTGTAGCCAAGGGGTACCAGCAGAAGGAGAAGGTGGACTTCAAGGAGCTGTTTGCCCCTGTGGTGAAGCCGACGACGCTGCGAACCCTATTCGCGGGAGCCGCCATCAAAGGATGGGTAGTAAAGC